CAAAGAGCTCAGTTGAAACAGTCATTGAGAGGAAGTCTTACACAATGGATAGACCTTCACAGGTGAAGGAAGAACCACTGTTTGCCATTGGTACTGGTTCTCAACAAAGTCCAGAGGTTGAACCAGTGAGCAGAGAGGATCAGCACCTCATATGCAGGTCTGAGAGAGTTACAAAGGGTGTACCACCAAAGAGGTACTCAAAGGAGTTTGCTAACTTAGCTGTTGCATGTGTTGCTATTGTTAACAACTCAAAACAGGTTGAAGCAGTTGAAGGAAAATAGAGGTGGCATCATGCGCTGATGATTCATAGGATTTATTTTAATGACCAGCGCTTTCAACCCATTAATTGCAGTGGCCCATTGCAATTCACTGGATTTTAACTTTTGCTAGATAATGCTTTACAATTTAAAAAATGGTTTTTAATAGATGTTTGTTTTCACAAGCCTTGTGGTTTGAGCAGTAGTAGTCTAGAAATGTAGCAGCAGTGGTAAAACTGGGGAAATGTGGAAGTGTGTGATAGTGTGGAATTACCACTGTACTTGGGTCTTTGGACCCCCAATTTCTATCTACCCTGTCTCTAAGCAAATTTCCACCTAGTTCAATAGCACTCTCAGGAGAGATTGTATCTCTCACAGATGCAAAGGGTACAAAGAGAAGTATATAGTCAAATTCTCTTTCTGTTCTTTCCAGGTCCGTGGTCAGCACTATGATCTGGTGCTTAATGGTAATGAGATTGGAGGTGGTTCCATTCGAATACACAGCGCAAAGCTGCAGCGTTTCATTCTTGAGACAGTGCTGAAGGTAATAGCAAAAGTGATTCTGCATATTACTTAAAACATTCGATCATATACTGCTCCTCATCCTATTGGATTTCACAGTGAGTTTCAATCAATATATGATGGTATCTATCAACCAGCTAGTCTGCATGCTTAGTTGTTCTTGTTCGGCGGCAGCCTGCTTCATCAGAAGAGGGAGAAGAGGACTATGCAGATTGCAACTCACAAGTGTTTCACACTTACACTGAGAAAATCTGAGCTGAGCCACACATGCTCACAGAAGGGGGGGGGGAAGCAGGGATTAGAAAGCAGGTTTACCAAGTCTGGCCCTTTAAGTCATGCTGGTTATTAATACTTGCTTTTTTCTAGGAGGACACAGAGCTCCTTTCTCACCTGCTTGAAGCACTGGACAGTGGGGCACCTCCGCATGGAGGAATAGCATTAGGTCAGTATCTGCTTTTACTTGAATCACAATTAACACTGACCATCAACACAAATATTACTTTTCATTGATACATTACACATACCCTGATGCTGGAGTGACTAAACTAACAGTTCCTGAATTAATCTAGCCTTCCACCCCTGCCCCAGTTGCAGTCCCTAAGAAAAACACGTTTGGATGAGCAGTATTTGTGGCAATCTGATTTTGCTGTGGGCTATTTTATTACCTGGGCACGTGTGTGTATGTGTGCGTGCACACTAACCTCACCTTTATCAAAGTCAGTTCAGAAAAGCATGTCGTTTTAACGCAAAAAATGTATTATACAAGGTACTCTTTTAAAAAAAGTCTGATTGCAGATTCTACACCTTGGGAAAATTTGCACATAAACCAAGTGCTCTAGATCACCACATTGCTGCAAAAGCCCTCAGTCATTTAATCTGCAACTCAAGTATGTTTGCTAGTTAGACTCCCAAGTGCAAGCAAAACCACTTTCTGAATCTCCTGAATAGAACTACAGCCAACAGCCATCCTGGATGGGAAAGCCCTCACACTAAGAACAATGAACACAAGATCTACGTATGTTCATCCACACTTCCAGTCTGTTTTGTTGCTAGAAGCAGAGCTTGAAACAAACAGTTCCAAATGTGCTCCAAATGATCTGCTGACAAAATCAAACATTATTATACTCGAGTCATTTTATTTAGCATTATCGTTTGCATGCACAATATATATTGGTCATGGAAAGGTTTTGGTGCAATGGAAGAATGGCCTCACAGCCAGACTAATCTTTCCAATGCCCATTGAAATTTGATGCTGCCACTAATATTCAATGTCTGTCTTTTAGGACTTGACAGGCTGATTTGCCTTCTAGTAGGAGCTGCAAGTATTCGAGATGTCATTGCCTTCCCCAAATCGTTCAAGGGAAGAGACCTGATGTGCAATTCTCCAGATTACATTGCCCCAGAAGAGCTTGAACCGTACCATGTCAAGATTGCAGAGCCCATGCCAGAAGTGAAAGTGAAAAGTAACTGACTACTGTACATGGCAGAAATGAAGAGTAAAACATCCAGTAGTGAACCCATTGGATTTTTGGAACTGTCAAGATGGCCTCCTGTACTTACTTTTGATGGGGAAATGGAGCGCTTCACCCTATAGCAGATCCCTTTGAGCATGTCTGCTGGAGAAATCAGGCACTAGTGACTAGATGGGTGCATAAGAAAGGGCATCAGGATGAGGTGTTGTCCTGTCTGTCCCACTCAAAGGTTTTTAAAAAATCAATGACTTGAGCCAAGTGAAGAATTGTATGTTTGTAAGCACAGGCTATAATTCATTTTTTATTGCACGTTTTTGTACTATTTTGTAAAACGCAGTAAAAACTAGTTGTATGGTTCAGATTTTGGAGCTCTCAGAAGTGTTTAGGAAGCTATTTTTCTAATTACCTTTAGATCCCACCTCAAGGTGCCATACATGAGTACTCTCATTTTATCCTCAAAATACTGAAGCAGGCTCAGCTGCTTCAGTAGCATGACAATGGGGGGGGAGTGTAAGTAGGGCATCAGAACATAATAAACCATAATAAACACCTAGCTCTCGCCCAGCGCAACTTTTTAGAATAATTAGGTCTTTAACAACTCTAGAGAAACAGCCAAATTTAAATACGAATTTGACTCACAGGTGTGAGGCATTTGTGAGCTTTTTTGTGGAGAAAAGTCTTGCTGCACTGTGACCTCCCTGCCAATTTGGATACAGTAACAGAATTGGAGGCCCCTCGACTGTCCTCAGGTCCAGTATTGGACCACTTCGATCGGATACTCCCTGCCAATGTAGACAGATTCCTCCGAGCTGGAAGGCCCACCACTTGCCCCCTTGACCCTCCTGGCTGATTAGAGCGTGTCCAGACGAGGTGCAGGACCCCCTGGGTGAGATCATCAATCAGTCCCTTGGCACAGATACTTTCCCAGGGAAGTTGAAGGAAGCAGTGGTGCGTCTGCTCTTAAAGAAAACATCTCTAGATCCTTTAAGGTAAAGGTACCCCTGCCCATACGGGTCAGTCGTGTCCGACTCTGGGGTTGCGCGCCCATCTCACTTAAGAGGCCGGGGGCCAGAGCTTCCGGGCCACGTGGCCAGCGTGACGAAGCTGCTCTGGCGAGCCAGCACCAGCGCCGCACATGGAAACGCCGTTTACCTTCCCGCTATAAAGCGGTACCTATTTATCTACTTGGACTTGGGAGTGCTTTCGAACTGCTAGGTGGGCAGGAGCTGGGACCGAAGACAGGAGCGCATCCCGCCGCGGGGATTCGAACCGCCGACCATACGATCAGCAAGTCCTAGGCACTGCGGTTTTACCCACAGCGCCACCCGGTTTTACCCACAGCAGCCTTCAACATGGTTGATCACGAACTTTTGGGCCACCGCCTTGCCGACGTGGGAATTCAGGGCAGTCAGACAATGGCTGTGCTCCTTTATCTCAGGTCGGGGACAGAGGGTGGCGCTAGGGAGGGAGTTGTCGCCGCGGCACTCCTTGGTGTGTGGAGTCCTGCAGGGCGCAATCCTTTCCCTGATGCTTTTTAATATCTTTATGCGCCCCCTTGCCCAAATTGTCTGGAGCTTTGGGCTGGGTTGTCATCAGTATGCTGGCACTCAGCTTTCTGTTGATGGACAGCCACCCTGACTGGGCCCCAGAAACACTGACCAGATGCTTGGAAGCTATGGCTGGATGGCTGCGTGGGAGCCAGTTGAAGTTAAATCCTTTAACACAGAGGTCCTCTGGCTGGGTTGGGACTACATGGGGTTGGGGGTGGCCAACTCCCATCTCTTGTGAGGGCTCAATTAGTACCAGCGCCTTTTGCAAAGAGTGTGGGTGTAACCTTCTACGCCTCCCTTTCCATGGAGGCACAGGTTGCAGCCACAGCAAGTGGCATTGTTCCTTCCTTTCTCACCCTGATCTGGCCAGTGATCCATGTGGTCACCTCCAGGCTTCATCATTGTAACTCGCTCTACGCAGGGCTGCCCTTGAAGCTGGTCCTCGCTGCTCGTACCTACGGGACCACGTCTCCTGGTATGCTCCACAGAGGACCTCAAGGTCCAGAAATGACATTTTGTAGGTCCCAGGTTTCAAGGTGGTTAGATTGGTCTCAACTAGGGCCAGGGTTTAGACTCAGTCTGACCCTTATGTTTCCCTCCCCTTATGGTCTTGATTTATCGACTATTTTAAAATGAGGTTGCATTTTAACCTGTATTTTAAATTGGTGAGCCCCCCCTTTTCCCCTATTATGTTTTTACTGTGATTTTATTGGTGTTAGCCGCCCTGAGCCCAGCTTTGGCTGCACATAAATAAAATTTATTATATCAAACAAAAGCCAGATTGTTCAATAATCAATTAACAAGCATATTCTTTGATGGATACCAATTATTTTAGGTGGTTTATTTGTAGATCCTTCCAGCTGAGACGAATGAAACTCTGGTCTTTGTTTGACCACATGAAATGTCACTTTTAACAAACCAAAATCAAGTGAGTGGGAAAAGAGACATGAGAAATATTAACTCTAAACAGGGCTTTCCTTTATCTGTGCACTAACAAAAACCTCAGAAGAGGTCTAATACAAGAGGGGGAAAGGTGACAGAATTAACTTTGAGAAAAGCACAAGGGTAACCTAGTCCAGCCCCTGGCAACATAGCAAACCTGTCTATGTATGGTTTACCATCAAGAAATATCGAATCTCACTGCTATTCAACTTTACCCATGTTTATACACCTCTGTTAAAAAGAAGCCGATGCAGTTCTGAGGTTGGATTAAATCCTTTATTGATTATATGTATATAACACCCTTCATCCAAGGAATACAGGGCAGCTTACAATATAGAAATATTGTCAAACAGGTGAGATCTTCAGACCACCAAATGGCAGGTGTTTATCCTTCCAGCCTTGGCATATAAGGGGGCCATTATTACAACTCTCCCACCCCCTATAACTTGGCCTTCTCATGAAAACCTAGGGTAGATGGCTCAGTTTTTTAAAAAAGCAATAGAAGTATAAGCACAATCACCACAGACATCCACCAAGTCAAGATTAGCATTGAACAATTACTTCCCCAATGCCAGTTGTGGCTATGCTACTCCTATCCAAAAATGGCAGCTTTACTTATAACTTGCTGCTGCCTCAACAGTTTATCCCATTTATTTGAATAAACTGTTAGGTATGAGGATGCACATGCTCAGCATTTTCATTTTGACTCAAACATCTGAAGAATCTACATCTATTGTAACCAAAGCTTATATTGAATATCCAGATGTCACAGAATTTACATTTGGGTTCTTCCACTATTTTAAGTTGAATGTCTTCTGGGCAAGGCTGCAACTTCACATCTAGGATGAAGAAGAAAGGGTGTCAAGCCAGTGCATTCCACATAAAACAGCTGCACATACCAGCAAATGAACAGATCAGACCTTGATATTTTCCATCATGTAGTCAGAGAGAGAGTTCAAGGTTATGTTTATCATCATATATCCATTCCCGCATCACCATATAGCAAGATAGATAGATACCTACCTTTCACATACAACTGTTAGTTCAAGATGTTCACCACCTACATTTGAAAGAGATATATAAAAGGGTAATGAATATGTCTTAAACACAGAATGGACAAAATCACTAAATGATTTGGAATAATCAAGTTGCACAAGTTTGTGAATCAACCTGTTCAGCGGATGGACTTTTACATTATTTCATTGCTGTAATCATTAACTCCACAGAAGCAGGCTGTGTTGTTACATTTAAAGTTTTACAATAGAATCTGTACAAATGTATTACAAGTGAAGGCCAAAAAAGGGACTTGTATACTTGTGGTCTGAAGCGAGATACATCAGATAGGAGCGAAAGACAGTTGCAGTTCTTCACCACAGTTCAATCTGCTGAACTATGTTATCATCACTGTATCTGCTCATTCTTGCCATTCTTCTCCTGTCCCTTACATACTTTTACTACCTCAGGGGAACATTTAGGTCCAATTTTTAAATATATATTTCAAACACAACCAATGCATGCTTACCAACTTAAAATGTTGTTCCTTTCCCAATCCAGAGCGTGTAGCACTTGCATCACACAGGCAGAGTTCTCCAGAACATTCCTGTTTAATCTGTAATGAAAGTTATATCTTATGTGCACCCAAGCAGCAATGCACTAAAAGGGAGCACTATTTCTGTACTGTTTCAGTGCAAATTCTCTTCACTTCTTTTCAGAGAGATTCCCATTGTTTTATACAATTTCATCATCAACAGTACAAACATACCGTGTGTGTGTTGAGCAAAAATCTCAGCAGATGCAGTATTTGATTAACACTTAGTTGGGCCCTGGTCACCAGCTTGGAGTTCCCTGCCACCTCCATCATTTACACTTAATTTATACCGTTGGCACTGGGTGGCCATGGGAAGGGTTCTTAACAGTGATAAATGTCATTTTTACAGCTTACCAGTGTATTGAGAAGCTCAGGCCTCTCCTCTCCATCAGTTTCCACTGTGTCTAAAAAAAGGAAGATATTTGCCATAGTTTAAACATTAGTTTATATATCAGACCTAAGACAAAGTTCTCATCATGAGCCAATCCAAGTTTTTGAGTGTACTCTTACGCAAAGGAGATGCCTATTAAGAAGTGCACATTCCCACTGCTGTAGAAACTTGTTTGATTCAGAAGTTCAGTCTTAGGTAGATAGTCAGTGGCCCTTATTCTGATTGCCCCTGCTAAGAACCTAGCAAGCTTTGCTGTTATCTGCTCTGTTTGGTCTGATAGGAGAAAGGACACTGTGGCAGTGGTTGTGCGCCCTGGGATGGTCAGTACGAGTGGGGTGATGATCTCATTCCTTAAAGACAGTCTTAGGTAAGTCATGGTACTTGACACGCCAAGAGCCAACGGCATGTCTCTGCTCAGCTACATTGTCCAACCCCCAATAAAAGCCTCAGCGCACAATTGTCAGAAATATTTTCTGTCCACTACTCTTAAAACATCATTGGCTTTTTTCCAGGCAGAGCCTGACTTAATTTGTGGTGTGAATTTCAAAAGGAAGAAAAACACAAAATATGAAAGCTGCTTTGTATGAACTCAGCCCATTGAGCCATCTAACCTAGTACTACCTACTTCAATTATCAGCAGCTTTCCAGTCTCCTATAAGCTGGACACCAGGAACTGAACCTGGGACCTTCTGCATGGAGTTAGGAGCTCTCCTCTGCACTACAGCCCCTCCCCAAAGCAGAACACAAGCCTATGGTGTCAGATTTCAAAACTAGTCATTTACTAACCTCTTTCAGCAGGTAACTCAAAACTGGAGAATCCTCAACCATTTGGACTTTAAAGAGAAAGAAACATTTGTTAATTAAGTTGCAACAGAGGATCTTATTACAGGGAACCAGCTTGGCTCGGCTCTGGAAAACGTTAAACTCATTTTGGCAACTTTTGCTTTAAGATTTGACTGGTAACACCTTCCCACAGGGAACTGCCCAAAGTTAAGCAGAACTGTGATGGCCAGAACCAAATGTTGGCATGGGTTGATCACAAACACAAAGGAACCTGGAACTTTATATTCGCGTGTTCTATTAATGTGAAACTAGAAAGTAATTTGTATTTCTGTAAGTTTCCTAACTAATGACCACAGATCAATGTAACCTCAGTATATAGAACGGTATGCTGTTAATTTCATGAGCAGTCATTTGGCGGAATCTATTATCATCACTGGTTACATGTGTGGTCTAGTACTGAGCAAGCTATGAAAAATGCCTAAAGTTATATAAACAATTAAAAATCGCCCAAATTAAAACCCTTATTACCATCATATCTGGAAGATCTAACAGGGAATTGTTGACAAGCAGTCCATACTAATCCCCTCATTATTGCTTGATCCTTCCAAAACATTTGCCAATGTTACTGCAATGCTGAACAAATTTTATCAGGTAGATGTCTTATAGTAACTTACCACTATCAGGAATGTAACTCTAAGGAGATCTTCAAAGTCGCCTCATGACCTAGAAAAGAAAGATTTCTTTAAGACAGCCCAGAGAAAGCTAGCTGCTAAACAGGAAAATGCAAGCAGATGCCCAAGTCAGGTAGAGCTAATTACAAATCTCCATTATTTAATTCAGCTTCATTGGCTTCTCATCACACAGGCTGCTTGCATTATATACTACACATTATAAAAATTCACCTTCACTGATATAACTAGAAGACCTTGTTCAGTGTTATACCTAAGATGCATTGGCACCTCCTAGGCAGGCTGCATGAGCAGTATTTATAATTGTGCTAGGAATAAATGGGACCCATATTTCAAAAGTATAGTCCAATAGCATTGGACTATTCTTGAAGAACTTCACAGCCTCTCTAAGCAAGTTTTATCACACTGCTCAACAAATATTGCAGTGAGGTTGGACTGACTGACAAATCACTTCCCAGTAACTAACCCACCTTTTTTGCTTCAGAACTCGTCTCATACAGCTGCATTACGGAGGCCTATAAAAGTGACAATAAGCGATTTTAGTCTTGAACCCAGCTTCACTCCTTTTTAAAACTACAACGAACGACTGTATCAGTGTTGATTCAATTATCCTCATTTGGATCAGCGACCTGATTCAGCATCATATACAGCAGATTTAATGTCTACATATAACCTAATAACTACAGCATTGGCAACTACATAGAATGGCTGCTTTGAAACCTCTGGAGAACAAAGGCAGGACAGGACACAAACTACCCAACAAATCCCAACGCTATTTAGAAAAGCAAAGAATGTACTGGAAAATTCTCATATGCCTGGGGATAAATACAATTTGGATCAATACAACTGCAGTGGACCAAACAATAAGGGCTACTGAAATCTCCAGTCTCTTATTATTACTGCAATTCATGCAGACCTGAGATTTAAGATGTGATTTAATACATGATGTAAAGTGTGTTATGAGTATTTTAAGAAGTTCAAAGACTGATATAATCTGACCCATTACAGCATAATGCAACCAAGTGTGCTTGGTAATAATATAACGGAGTGGGGAGAAACAGAAAACTTTTGGGCAGCCTAAGCATGCTGTGGGTCACTGCCGTTGTTCATGAGAGGTGCCCTGCCAATGCTCAAAATTCCCTTTCTGCCATAACTACACATTCAAATTTTTCCATGAAACATACCTGTTTGGCCATGTTAAGGAGCTGGACTGAAATTTATAGTATAGCAGCAACTAGGCCATATTGCAGCATACAGAGCAAATGCAGACCCTGCAAGAAAATTTTAATTCTGTTACAACTTATGAGCTTAATAGTCTAAATCCTCTTTTGCCAAACACTTTCACGCTGTTAATGGCATTAACTGTTTGACTGGTTGCCTCAGTAGACATCTATAGTTTTTACCTAGATAATATGCCTTGAGCTAAAAACGTTCCGTGTCCCCCCCCCCAAGTAGTAAATAGGCATATTATAAAATGGCCATCTCCTTGGCAAGCAAAGAATGTTGATGTTCGGCATTAAGTACAGAAACTATACCAATGATACTACCATCAAAATAACTCGGATGCATCAGATAGGAGCGAAAGACATCTGCAATCATCACAGATTATCTGCTGAACTATGCTTTCATCACACACATCCTTCAATCGCAATAGAGAAACCAAAGCTGCATTTAATGCTGCTAGCTTGCTCAACTTAAGTATATGCCGTTTAAAACTACTAGTCATACCTTAAGTTACAGACGCTTCAGGTTGCGGTTTTTCGAGTTACGGACGCGCCGAAATCCGGAAGTACTGCAATGGGTTACTTCCAGGTTTCGGAGGTTGCGTATGCGCAGAAGCGCCAAATCGCAAACTGGGTGTGCACAGACACAGCGCTGTGGGTTGCAAACGTGCCTCCCGCACGGATCATGTTCACAACCCGAGCATCCACTGTATATAAAACTCCCAGGAAAAGCTGGCAGAGGCTTTTATACAGATTGCTTTATCTTCTGTAGGACACTTACCCAAATATCTTCCTTCTGTAAGTACCAAACCATTTCTAAAACCCTGCAAGGAAAACAGCAAAAGTTACAAAACCTTTAAAAACAATTTAGATGCCCCTTAAAAAATGTTCAGTGCCTCAGTTTCAATTATAGGTGGTTGAGCATTCTCATCATTCTAATCAAGAGTAGCAAATAAGTGTCATCATTGTGGCACAAAGTTAGTTCTCATTTAAGCAAGCTATATATTGCATTCTGAAAAAGCCTAAACAGTTTTCTTTTAATCCAAAACAGAAAATATTACCTCCACAAATAGTATTGTCTTCACCTTCTGAGCCTATAAGGAAGCACACAAAAAAATATGTTAGAGCTCTCGTAAGTTAAAATGCTTCTAAAAACAAGTGGGCCCCTAACAACCTGGTATTTGACTGGGAATGCAAATCAGCAACCACCCTGCCATTGACCTGAAATAGTATTTCAGCCCAACATGCAACACAGAAATCTAAGCAACACAGGGCTACAGCAGCAGTTTAACTGTAACCACTCTCAGCTTCAAACCAACCCACAAAAGGGGTTTTAGTATATGTGGCAAACATTGTAGGGCTCTTGTAAACCATGCAAAGCCTAAACACTGGCCTGCAATATTCATTGAGGTACATTAGAGCTGCCATAAATTAATCTGCAACACAGGAATATCTGACTTTGAACTAGCAGGGCTATTTTAAAATGCCTCGTTGAACATTGAATATACCCAGGTCCTAATCCTGCTCAGAGATGTTGGTATTCATCATGCTCTCAGATGTCCCTACCAACATCATTTATCATCATGTGCAGGTACAGTGAAAGAGAGCTCATCCTTATCAGGAAATGACTTTTTAAAAAAGATGCCATGTGCTACCTTTGTTTGGTGCAGCTCACTTTACTTTTGTGAGAAGACTCGCTGCAACGGTTTCACTACCACACTCCAAATAAGGACTCCCCAGTGAGATTTCTTTTACATCCACTGTCCAAGTCATTAGTCTAGAAAATATACTTAGGGCAGGAGGAGAATTACTAGCCTGCAAGGGGTGGCAGCTCCATTCACTGAATTTTAATGCTAGGTATACAGGACATTTGCCATTTCTGCGAACCAGTGCGGCGCAGTGGTTGGAGGGGCAGACTAGCCCCCTGCCAGAAACTCGCCCGGTGATCTTGGGCCAGTCCCTCCCTCCGTCCAGCCTGCCTCACAAGGTTGTTGTGGGCATTCAATTGGCGGGGGGGGGGGCGCACTAGGCACGCGGCCTTGAGGTCCGGGGGGGGGGGGCTAAGGAAGGATAGAAATGCAAGAAATAAACAATTCCTCAGCTATTCCCGAGTTGCAATACCCGTTCACCATCAAGCTATTTCTGAGATCTATCCGGCCCCCGTGGGAAACTGACCTGAGTGAGTGCTAAATAAGCCCAGGGCGAATTTAGGGCAATGGCCAGAACTACGTTAAAAGCCGCGATCTGCCCCACCTAAGTCGACCCCCCGACCCCCCCCCCGGCGATCTGGGCTCCCGACGTGCAGATTGCATTCCCTCCGAAGGTTCTGCATTTCGTTTGCTACTCCTAATGAGGGCCGCGCTCGTCACTGCTGAGGCCTTTTGAAATTAGTATTTCGGCAGCCTTTTCCTCTGAGGGCCAGTCTGGAAGGAGGGCGCGCGCCGCCCAGGCGCCACTGGCTCGCCAGGCCCGAGCAGCCATCCGCCTCCATCCAGCGCCCCCCCGAGCCATCCGCGGGGGACGACACTGCCTAGGCAACCTGCGCGCTCCATAAAGCCCTACTGGGGTGGAAGTGGCTGAGAAGAAAAGCGAAGAAACCCGAACACTCACCATGGTCCCCAAAGGACAGCCGAGCGCAAGCAATGGCGACTTAGAAAAGAGAGAGCAACGTGGGGCCTCTCTCTTTATATACGCCCGCAGGCCCCGCCCTCCCTAGGATCACGTGAGGGCGCGAGGCTTTATTTGCATGGCCCCGCCCCCAGGGGCGAAGAAGAAAAGCACTCGGTCCCGCCTCCCCCAGTTCCACCCACCAATCGCGCGCGCTGGGGGTCACGAGGCGCCTCCCCCGGGCCCCCTCCCCATGGCGGGCTGGCGCCTCTGGGCGGGGCTGCCGGACGAGAAGCCTGGAGGAGAGCTAGTCAATCAGAAGAGGCGTCGGGGAAAGGGGGATGTTCTTCCGGGGCGTTGCCCGTCTGGGGGGTTTCGCTTCCGGAAGGGTGTTCGGGCTCGTCCCACCCCCCGCCCCCCACCCCTGGAGGTACGTAGACGGTATATTTCGGTCCCCTCGGGAAAGGGAAGGAGGTCTGGAGAGCGGCCGCCTCTCTCTTCTTCCCCCCGCCCCCCCACGCCTCTCAGGTGGACCCTCAGGAGGCCCCCCCCCTGGGCTGGCCTAACCTGCTCCCGGAATGAGGGGGCTCCCTTCCGGACCCCAATCCGTAGCGCTCCCCTGTCTCTTAGCAACTCAGTTTGCTCCTCCCTGGAACTGCTTCTGGCTAAAAGGTCGTGCGACCCCCACCCTCTTTTCCTTATTATTCCACCGCCTCCCACCAGGGAAGGAATGTCAATATTCATTTATTTCGGTCTCTCTCGACTCATTGCTTTTAACTGCCCCTCGTCTTTACGTGGCTGCTTTGTAATGTTCTGGCGTGTTGAGGGCTTGGGCATGCTGAGAGGTCCTGCCCGGGGTGCTGCTGCGCTTCCTGCGTGGGTGAGGGCATTTGGGACAAGGAACGGGAGGGGTGACGCCTGAACGCAGAAGCAGAGGACCACCGTCATTAAAACTGTCATTGCTACTATGTGGCGAATGTATCTCCTAGCTTTTGTATCCTATTAAAGGTTGTTGTTTTTCCTCCTGGTACAACTATACTTTATTCCATTCTAATGATTTGGGGTATCTTGTTTCTATTGCTTCCCTTCTGTTTTCTTAGTTCATACAAGAAAGGGATAGTCTGTGCAGGAAGTATGCAAATAATGTTGACTGTTGTGCCCACTTAAATGTATTTTGGAGCAGTGGTGTCCAGTCATTTACCTAAGGTGGGACTCTCTAGATTAGTATTATCCAAACTTGTTTTTTATCCAAGGCATGCTCTGAAACTGTCAAGGAAATTCCTTGCCTGCAAGGAGTGTGATTGAAGTGATAGATTAAACTAGGTAAAGGTGAAGGGACCCCTGACCATTAGGTCCAGTTGTGACCAACTCTGGGGTTAAAGCGCTCGTCTCGCTTTATTGGCCAAGGGAGCTGGCGTACAGCTTCCGGGTCATGTGGCCAGCTTGACTAAGCCATTTCTGGCGAACCAGAGCAGCACACGGTTTACCTTCCTGATTTATCTACTTGCACTTTGACGTGCTTTCGAACTGCGGGGATTCGAACTGCCGACCTTCTGATCAGCAAGTGCTAGGCTCTGTGGTTTAACCCACAGCACCACCCGCGTCCCTATAGATTAAACTAAAACACAGCAAATGAGTACTCCCCCCCCGAAGAATAGAATGCTAAAGCATTTGTTATCACCTTAAAATATGGATGTCTAAAGGCCCAGTTACAAAGACTATAGAAGATATGGGATCCAAAATAATATCTGCCCCTTATGTTTGGGCAGCCTCATTCAGAATTAACCACCTTTTGAGTATCCCACGTCAGCTAGATTCATTGGTCTTCAACTGGAGTGGACACCCCTGTACAATATGAATGGTTTCACAACCTCTCCCACCTCAAAAGGTGTGTTTTCTGTGTTTAATCATTGCATAGAAGAAGGAATTTAAATTGATGCAGATTTTCTTTTCATAACCCTGCTCTTACAAGCCGAATCTGCCATATTCCTTTTCAGTTGACAGTATAGCAGCCTGGCTATCTTTGCCTCTACTCTCCATATACAGAAAAGGAGAAAAACAAACATATACAGTAGACTAAAAGTGGGTCTCCTGAAAACTTAAGATGAGTTCCCAGTCTGAAAAAAATAGTCCTACGTATTCACAATACTGTTGTGCTAGGGTACTGTTATCACAAAGCAGGAGAATAGATGACGCACCCTGTCAAAAGCAGCAGATGAATGAAAGGGTTCTTTTCAAAGCCCCTAGCCTCCTTGTTACAGCCCACTGTCATACCCACAATGCTCTATCAGCACAAGCTGCTTCCAGATCTATAAATCTTTGCATCACTTAGAAGTGAGCCCCAAACCCACCCCACTCTCTGGGATACTGCTTCAGGAAGCATCTGTTTTCATTCATAAGTATAGGCGGCAGCAGATCTATCCAGTTAGGTAGCTACAGAAAACCCCAGCTGTAACACAGGGTGTGATTTCAGATCACTGATGCTCCTAAAGCAGGCATGGCCAAACTTGGCCCTCCAGCTGTTTTGGGACTACAACTCCCATCATCCCTAGCTAACAGGACCAGTGGTCAGGGATGATGGGAATTGTAGTCCCAAAACAGCTGGAGGGCCAAGTTTGACCAGGCTTGTCCTAAAGCTTGGTATGCTGATTCCTCTGTGTAGTTAAGATGTGTATTCCTAATCATTCTGCCATAGTTGCTTTTGTGTGGTCTCCATGACCTTCCCATCAGAAATCTGTTCTTAGCAACAGAAAGAATGGCAGAAGTCCAAAGCTGTGTTGGTATCTCTAAAAATAGTGCATAAATTCATGATTTGCCCTTTGAGCACTTGGTAAATGGGTCCCAAACATTTATTGCTACAACTTTCAAAAGGCTTCAAAACACTTATTTCTTCTCTTATTGTTAACTGATGCTGTTCTTTTTGGTATTATTAAGATGAATACCCAAGGGAGAAAGTTTAGACTATGTGTAATGTTATGTACAATGGAGGCCAACCTTGACTGCTTTTCTTCTGTTCTCAACCCCTCTAAATATGGTTGTGTTAAGCAACTAATTTTGAGCAATACGTTCTTTAAAAGAACTTGTATTTTATCCTCTTGTGAATCACAATCATATCTGAAAGTGTGTGCAAATTCATTGTCTGAGAAGTATTTATGGACACTCTTGTCTTCCTCGTGTAGTATGAGAAGCAGGCATAAAGAGAAATATTTTCTAATGCTTCCTGTGGTGCCATTTTGTTGTTGTTAGGGTTGCTCCACCTGCAACTGGAGCCGACATGGAGAAAAGTGGAAACATTCAGCTGGAGATTCCTGACTTCAGCAATTCTGTCCTGAGCCACCTCAACCAGCTGCGCATGCAGGGCCGGCTATGTGACATTGTAGTCAATGTGCAGGGCCAAGCATTCAGGGCACACAAAGTAGTACTGGCTGCCAGTTCACCTTACTTCCGGGACCACATGTCGCTCAACGAGATGAGTACGGTTTCCATCTCTGTCATCAAAAATCCCACTGTTTTTGAGCAACTCCTCTCTTTTTGCTACACGGGCCGGATATGCCTCCAGTTGGCTGATATCATAAGCTACCTGACTGCAGCTAGTTTCCTGCAGATGCAACATGTTATAGACAAGTGCACACAGATCTTGGAGGGCATTCATTTCAAAATTAACGTAGCCGGCGTTGAAGCAGAATTGAGCCAAACGAGGACAAAGCAGCATCAAGAACGGCCTCCAGAATCTCTGAATCGCTCTCTGAGTCCACACCACAGCACCCCGAAAGGAAGCCGCATGGGCCAGGTCAGCACTGTGCTGGACATTCGGGAACTTAGTCCTCCTGAGGAGTCTACAAGCCCTCAGATAATTGAGCAGAGCTCAGATGTGGAGAGCAGGGAGCCCATACTGAGGATTAATAGGGCAGGTCAGTGGTATGTGGAGACGGGAGTGGCAGACCATGGTGGGCAGGGTGACGATGACGTCAAAGTTCTTGGAGCAGTACGAATCAAAACGGAGAACCTGGAGGAGTGGCTGGGGACAGAAAACCAGCCATCTGGAGAAGATGGGAGCAGTGCTGAGGAGGTCACTGCCATGGTGATTGATACCACAGGCCATGGATCAATGGGACAGGAAAGTTACACATTAGGCTCATCAGGAGCAAAAGTGGCCAGGCCAACCAGCACAGAGATTGACAGGTGAGACTTTCTGTTGTTAAAAACTGATTTGCTTCCAAGAGTGTTCTGGGCATTGTACAGAATCTACAAGCACCATGATTCTCACTGTCTAGAGCTTGCTGTCTAAAAAAGTCATAGAAGATGGGGCATGATTAAAAGGACATATGAAAGTTGCAGTTTGTAGAGGATTAACAGCAGAAAGTGCATAAATGGTGATCTGGACAGTCAATATTCTATTATTTCGCATAAGCTCTAGAGTGGGACTTTATCTTCCCCAGGCAGAGATCTGCTCAGCTTTTGTAGCAGGGGAGGGGGGATCAGAAGCTGTGAAAGGCATATCTTCTTCCTATTAGAAATTTCTAGAAAAGTCCCTAACATACACAAGATCACTAACCCTTTCTCAGAAGTGGTTTCCGTGGTATGAGTTTAATACCTTCTACACCAAGTTTACTGTGTTTTTCAGTAGTCTCATAGCTGCCTGCCCAGCACTGGTATTTATTTATCTATTCACTGTATTTTATCTAAACTAATGGTTGATTCCACTTTACCATTTAACTTGTATATAGCCTGCCACACCCTGAAGGCTCAAGAGATGATAACAGTAATTTTTGTAGCACTTGCATCCAGAACGCACTTGAGCAGCTTCAAAACATAAAATATGCTGAAAACCTCGGCCCCCTTAATCCTAGTCAAAAAGGTTGCACAGGGCTGGCATAGATCACTAAGGGAGAGGAATTCATAGTTGTGAATCAGTCACTGAGAACACAACACCTCTTTGGTTCATTTCAGCCATCATCCCAGTCCATTCCAAACAGATTCAAGCTGCTTGCCTGCTTTCTTTTTTACATTTTCCCAGTTCTCCCATCTCTAGGTACAATGATCTCTGAAGGCAGAGCAATGACCGTGTGGTCGTCACACCAAGCCATGATCTTCAAAACATGGTCTGTCTATTCTGACCTCATGGTGAATTTTCCATAATGAAGTTTCTTTACTGTGGTTTAGCAGGATGACTGATTTGACCCTATTTGTTGGTATAATGTTGCTACTTGAAAAAAAAATATTAGTACTGAGAGAGCATTTCTGGCCCTTCTTGTTGAGGAGGTGGTCACAGGTTCATGCGTCAGGCATAGCAGTATGTAAAACAAAGGTACAGTGATACCTCTGGATACGAACGGGATCCGTTCCAGAGCCCCGTTCGCATCCTGAAGTAAACGTAAGACGCGAGTGCACGGGTCACGTTTAGCCACTTCTGTGCATGCACGTAACGTCATTTTGAGTGTCTGCGCATGCACAAGCGGCGAATTCCGGAAGTAACGCGCTCCGTTACTTCCGGAGTGCAACCTGAAAATATTCATCCCGAAGCTACTTCAACCCAAGGTATGACTGTAATGCCAAGTTAAATTATTCTTAATTCTTTGACAGATGGGAGTGCTGCTGCTTATAAATGGTAGAATGTACATCAACGAGTTGTGAAAAGCTTACTCATAGTTGTAGTGATTTTATTTATGTTTACCTATATGCATTTTCTGCAAATACAAATGTGCTCAAAGCAGTTTATAGAAAATAAGCTGTAAAAATGCAGTAATACAATAACCATGATCAATAATAAAGCTAATGTCACTTCAACATAAAACTAACAAGTCAATGATTAACAAAATATGTCAAAAATAAACAAATATTAAGTTTAGCAGTAGGTCAGCTAGCAGTATCCCAAAGTAGCCACCAGGCTACTGGCATTAATACCTAACAACTCATCCCCCAAACATGAACTCAAATGCTCAGAAACCCCCTCAAAGTTATTTTGGCAGCTGCTCCTTACAAAGGCTCTTGGGGAAGCTGGGTATCACTTGGTAGGTGCAACCAGCCATCACTTGATGGCAAGCACACTCTCCAGTCTATAAATGTTCCATAAATTGAAGTTTGAGGAATATTTCTGGCTTGGACGGAAATATGCCTAATCAGATCCACTGTCTGAACTTCTGCATAAATAGGCCTGTGACAATGTTCATCCCCTTTAGTCACCCTAACAAATTTCCTTTCCCCAGGAAGCTAAGCTGCTCCTCAGTCCATCTCTAAGTTGCTGGGCTGCCTTAAAAGATTTCATTGCTGCCAAATCAACGTTAGTACACATACACACACCTCACATTTTGTCCAGTCCCAGCTGCCCCACTCCTAATGTTATTGACTAATATTATCAAGCAGAAGTTCTGATGCTTCCCATGTCTTGGTTCAAAGTATCATAATATTGCCCAACTATCCATTAATCTCTATTTCCATTTGCAGATTTAGCCCTTCTGGTAGTGTGGTTACTGTAAATGAGCGGTACAGGTCAAAAAGTGAATCTCCATGGCGGGTGGATGAACCCAAACAACCCAGTTCCCAGGTAGGTATCCCTAAATTGGGCTTTACTACTGCAGTTATTCATATAGATCAGGCATGGTCAAACTTGGTCCTCCAGCTGTTTTGGGACTACAACTCTCATCATCCATGACCACTGGTCCTGTTAGCTAGGGATGATTTGATCTTAATTTGATTTAATTAATTTTATAATGAATGTTTTTAGAATGTCGGATTATTTTGATTGTTGTTAGCCGCCCTGAGCCCAGCTTCGGCTGGGGAGGGCGGGATATAAATAAAATTTATTATTATTATTATTATTATTATTATTATTATGGGAGTTGTAGTCCCAAAACATCTGGAGGGCCAAGTTTGGCCACTCCTGATATAGATTGTCTATAGACAGGCACTTTGTAGTGGAGGGCTGGGGAATGGACATACAGCACACTTCTTGAAAGCATAGTCTGAAAGACATGACACAATGGAGAGGGAAAGAGGTTTCCAGTTTCATGGAAAGATGCATTCATTACTTTTATCCCCAAACAAAACAGTGACTTAACAAAGACCAAGAACTACAGATCTATTTCATTATTGAACTGTGACTATAAACTATTTGCTACAATTTTAGCTAATAGATTGAAAAGGACACTGGCTGAGACAGTCCACAGAGACCAGGCCGGGGTTTTACCAGGCCAACAAATGAAAGACTATATAAGAAATGTAATTAATTTAATAGAGTATTTGGAAGTAAGAAATGGAAAAAAAGGCTGCGTTAATCTTTCTAGATGCAGAGAAAACCTTCGATAATATTTCATGGTCATTCATGATCCAGGTTTTAGAGAAAATGGAAATAGGTAACTCTTTCATAGCAGGAATTAAAGCAATCTATACTGATCAATCTGCAAATATATTAATAAATAATATTCTTTCAGACAAATGCCAAATAGAAAAAAGAATGAGACAAGGCTTTCCCCTGTCTCCACTGTTGTTTATTATGACATTAGAAATATTGCTTCAGAAATTAAAGGTATTGAGGTAGGATGTAGAGTTTATAAATTAAGGGCATTTGATGATGATGTGGTGCTGACACTAGAACAACCTTTTGAAAATAATTATATTAAATTGTGGAAAGGGGTTAAGAAAGAGTTGGAGATATGGAGGAGAATAGAACTGTCCCTGTTAGGTAGAATTTCAGCCATTAAAATGAATTTATTGCCTAAGATTCTGTTTTTATTTCAATCAAATCCCAATTGTAAATAATTTAAGATGCTTCAAATAATGGAAAGAAGATATCTCTGGCAGGGGGGAAAGCCAAGAATTAAACATAAAATTATGATAAATATAAAAGAAAAAGGAGGCTTTGCTCTGCCAGACTTTCAAATATATTATGAGGCAGCTTGTTTGTGTTGCCTTAAAAAAACGGATTGTATTGGACAATGCAGATATAGAGTTTGGGAGAAGTATAAAAATCTGCTGGAAAGCAAAACACTTTTATGGCTATCTCCCATCGAAGCAATCTCAATTAAGAGAGTTAATATGGACAGATAATGGGTGACTTACAGGGAACTGCTGGATTTTATGGGGGAGGGGACCCAAGCTGAAACCAATGGAAACCTAAGGAGTCAAGTTATGGATTGGTTGCAATATCACCAGCTGTATTATATGTTTAACTCAGATAGAAATAGTTTATTTTTTGACCGAAGCTCACAATTTGAAAAAGAACTCTTTCAAAATAAGGATAAACTTTTGTCTAAAATGTCTATGAATGGGAAACAAGAGACGAGCTAGTTAAAGCTTCAATGACACACTGGGCAATAGATATAGGACACAATATAGATCTTAACCTCTGGGAGAAACTCTGGCAAAGTGACCTGAAATTTACAGCATGCTATTCATTGAAAGAGAATTATTTGAAAATGATTCATAGATGTTACTTAACTCCGAGTAGGTTGGCTTAGATTTATAAAACAGAATCAGATAAGTGTTGGAAAAGTGTAGAGGGAACCTTCTTCCACATGCGGCGGACATGTAAAAAAAAAAGTTCAAAATTACTTTCCCCAAAAAACCAGAGTCCTTTCTGTTGGGTATAATCCAGACTGAAATTCCCAGGTGTCAGAAAAGGTTATTTATGTATGCAACAACTGTGGCCCGTGTTTGGTTAGCCCCAAAATGGAAAGTGATTGAGGTCATAACTAAAGAGGATTGACAACTTAAGTTGACAGAATATGCACAACTTGCAGATTTAACATATAGAATAAGAGAGCAAGAACATACTTTTAAAGAAGACTGGAAAATGTTTATTGAATATATGGAAAATAATTGTTTACAGCTGAAAACACTGGCAGCCTTAAGATAAAATCAACAGAGTAAATAATTTTTGATGGATGTAAAAGTGAAAAACTAATTTGAATGGTTATAGTAAAATATGCAGGAATGTATGATATGTAAAATGAACCATGGAAAGAGAAGAAGGGAAGTCACTGGATATTTTAAAGTTTATAAAATGTTTATTTGAAATTGTAAAACAGAAAACTTTATAAAAAAATTATTATATAAAAAAAGAATAAAAGGGAATCAGAGAAGGAATCCTTCGCTAAAAGTAAAAAGTGTGCTCAGTAGCAAAGAAATGATGAACACTACATTTTATTGAGTTCCTGTTTGTATAGCACTATCCATGAATATGACACTTTACAAGAAATGAGCAGAACTGCATTCTAGAAAATTGCAGAAGAAGACAGCTATAAAATAGGAATAAAATGGAGATGGAATAAACAATGGAAGAAATGAATGCCATTATTGCAGCTGCATCTACTTATGCATAAAATATATTAATATAAATCTGGATTCAGCTGGCAAACCTCATCAGCGGGAGTCCTGTGGAAGAACTTCTGTTTGTAGTTTTGCAACCATTGGTGGAAGACAGAATGTTGGTGTTGCACATCCCCTCCAACACATTAGTGACATTATGTAATGCATTTTCCCCAGAATCAAATGTCAGTGGTATACTAACATAGACTCCTGTTGGTTAGTTATTCCACATATCATTACACCTTTCTTGTGGTATTACAGTCCCAAGGCCCCCTTCCCATGCTGCCTTCACATTGTTAGAGGTTTTCCAAATAGTGTGGTAATGTTGTTTGTTGTTGTTTGTTATTGTTATACCCCTCCCAACTGACTGGGTTGCCCCAGCCACTCTGGGCTGCTTCCAACAAATATAAAAGCATAATAAAACAAAAAACATTAAAACTTCCCTTCAGATGTCTTCTAAAAATTGTATGGTTCTTTATCTTTTTAACATCTGATGAGAGGGCATCCACAGGGTTGGCACCACTACCAAGAAGGCCCTCTGTCTGGTTCCCTGTAGCCTCACTTCTCGCAATGAGGGTACCACCAGAAGGCCCTCAAAGCTAGACCTCAGTGTCCAGGCTGAACAATGGGGGCAGAGACGCTCCTTCAGGTATACAGGGCTGAAGCCATTAAGGCAGTGATGGCCAAACTTGGCCCTCCAGCTGTTTTGGGACTACAGTTCCATCATCCCTGACCACTGGTCCTGTTAGCTAGGGATGATGGAAGTTGTAGTCCCAAAACAGCTGGAGGGCCAAGTTTGGCCATCACTGCGTTAAAGGCTTTAAAGGTCAACACCAACACATCGAATTGTGCTTTGAAATGTATTGGGAGCCAATGTAGGTCTTTTAGGACCAGTGTTATATAGTCCTGGCGGCCGCTCCTAGTCAGCAGTGTCTGGCAGCTACATTCAGAATTAATTGTAGTTTCCAAGTCACCTTCAAAGGTAGCTCCATGTAGTCCAAAGGCGACTTATGCCTTGTTCATATAGATCCATCATTCTGTACAGCTCTTTTGACTTCCAGCCTGAATTTGCTTATTTTTCTGCTCATGAACAAAATGTAGATGGTCTAAGAATGGGAACCACTTATCTCTTCCATAACCCCATTGTTGCCTTCGAGAAAAAGATTTGTTATCTCTGCAAATAATAAGGGTTTGAGAGATGGGAAAGGAACAAATGATATACATTTATTTTTAAAATCTGTTGATTTTATCTATATATTGATTGTTCTTGTAGCTGTTCTTATAGTTATTTTTAATTAACGCTTTATACTGTTTTGTGTAAACCACCTAAATATTTTAACTAAGCAGTGCATATCAATCTCATTAAATAAATAGATAGTAATGGGGCAGGCAGGTGGAGACACAACTGTACTTGCCTGAGTCGTATGTATTTTGGCCCTGAGAGGGAATTTGAACATGGGTTTTCCTATTTTTAAGCCCCACGCTGTAGGCCCCACCCCCAAGCACTCTTGTTATCTTTGGGTCCAAAGAAACTTTAGATCCAAAGAAACTTACAGCCATCTCTTCAGAAGAGAAAAACAACCCTCTTCCCACATACAAACTAGCTCATTATCTTTACTGCTTGTCTGTAATATTTCTCTCTAGGTGGAGGAGTCTGCTATAGTTGGAGTGAGTGGCTATGTTGAATATCTCCGTGAACAGGAAGTATCTGAGAGGTGGTTTCGCTACAACCCGCGTCTCACTTGCATCTATTGCGCCAAATCCTTCAATCAGAAGGGTAGCCTGGACCGGCACATGCGGCTCCACATGGGCATCACACCCTTTGTTTGCCGTATGTGTGGCAAAAAGTATACTCGCAAGGATCAGTTGGAGTACCATATCCGCAAACACACGGGAAACAAACCCTTTCACTGCCATGTCTGCGGGAAGAGTTTCCCCTTCCAGGCCATCCTCAACCAGCACTTTCGTAAGAATCATCCTGGCTGCATGCCTCTGGAGGGGCCGCACAGCATCTCCCCAGAGACCACAGTTACGTCAAGAGGGCAGGCGGAGGAGGAATCTCCTCTTCGGGAAGAAGCCAATATGGCGGGGGAGACAGCCCAGGGATCTGTGTCCACCACTGGGCCAGACTGAAGAGGAATGCAAAATGGGTGAGAGGGATCCTCTCAGTCCGTGAGCAAATCCCCTTGAGACGGTGAGCTTGAGTTCTCATTTGTGCAATGTCGCCGCTGGACAAAGAAGCTCCCAAGATGTTGCCAAAATAGAAAAGATATGAAAACAAAGTGCTAAAAGCTCACCTCCTTTTCCTCATCTCCTTTTGAGGGGACGAGACAAAAACTGGGTCAACTAACCTCCGATTCAGGGATTGACAGCTTTTTTTTTGGATGGGGAGAAGCTTTTTTTAAAAAAAATATCCAGTAGTGATCAAGGAATGACAGCTTTTTCATTTTCTTGGCATCAGACCCTGTGGTCCTGTGGGCTGTAGAGGTCTAGCTGTGGTGAGTGCAGAGCTCCAATATCTCTATTCATCACAGTAGTTGTGCCACTGAAGAAGTAATGGAGACAATAATTAGTTCTCCCTCTCTCTTTCCCCCTCCCCCTCACAAAATAATCTTCCAGGTAATTATTTTTGAGAAGAATGGTTGTCCTGGTAGAACCTAATTTGTCTGAGTGTATTTTATCTCATTTTATTTTGGCGTGTCTTTTTAAAATTGACCCATTACTTAAGGGCTTTCTGTTTTGTGTCTTGGCTTGCCCATTCTAGGTGTGTGGTCTTGCCTGTTTGTGATGAGGCAAGTCTCTTTTGATCAGTATTTTAGAGGTGACACAATATTTAATTAAGTAAGCTACCGAAAAAGACGGTAGTAGCTGTGAAGCTCTGCCATGTTTGGTGGGAGATATTTTCAGTTGTGAAATGTGGATAATGCAGAACACTTTGCAATTCTTGATCAATTTCTGGGCTCTGCAAAGACTGAAAAGGTAGGATGAGGTTTCCTGTCATGAATAATTGTTTAAATAGCGGCTTTGCCTCAAAGGTCATCTTTTGCCTCCCTTCTAATATAACAGCAATATTTGTATATCAAAATAATCAAATTCCATTGGAGGGGATTGTGGCTTGACTGTCTAAGAATGGTTCTCTATTTGGTATTTTTATATTAAAAATGCAAAAAAATATATGCATTAGTAATAATTCAGAAAGCTCCAGTTTTCTACAAGCAGTGATAGCTCTTCCTTGAGCCTTTGTAGTATTTTTCACATGAGTTTACTGGGAAGATAACAGTGCCGCTGCCAAACCCAGCAAATATGCACTTGCCTCATGTTTCCTAATATATTGCTTGTTAGTGTAAGGATGCGGGCATGGGAGGGCAAATCTCTTGAGCTTTTGTTTGAGACTTGCAAAATAAGCAGCAGTTCAAGCTCTGCTTTAGTGTTGCGTTGTATTGATGTACAAAAAAAAGCTGGTATCATGCCAAGCAGATGATCTCAAGAAAATAGCTGATAAGATGAAAAAGCAAGCTAATTGGGGAAGGTATCAAAATGGGAAGGGGAGAAGTCATGCTATCATGATGGGAAGGGAGAGATGGCCTTGTGGTAAACAAGCTTGTGCTTTGTACTAATAATTGGCCTCCTTGTAAAAATGAGGATATTTTCTTAATTCGTGTTTTGGTTGAAAGAATGAATGAAAGCAGAAAACTTGTTTAACCCCCCCCCTCCTTTTCATTGTTTGGTGTTAACTGAGAAATGCCTTCTATTCCCCACCTCACAGCACCAAGGGTGCACTTCTCTGTAAGGTGGGGAGTAGAATGAATTTCTCTTTGTGGTCCGAAGACAGGAAACCACCAATAAAGGTCAACTCATAAAAGCTTTAAAGAGTTGGATGAGACCCTCCCAAACTCACACACATACACGCTCTCATTTGGACTGAAGCAGGGAGGGTAATAGAGAGATACAAATATATATGCTGCTTTAGTTATAGCTTTCAAATTTACCAAAAAGAGTAAAATTACACTCAAGAGCATTGGAAAATATTTCTAGTTACTTATACAAAGATTTTAAGCATTTAAAAATAGAACTTTTAAACTATTACCAAACTGTAAGGCATACATTTATTTATCTACACATATGTTATATATAGTTATAATGGGGAAGTTTATCTGCTGAGCTGGTGATGGTGTAGGTGATAGCTATACAGAAGAATTTTCTCAAAAGCAGAATTGCAGCAAAATCCATCCAAGTTTAGGTGGCAACGAGTTGAAGTGGAATATTGAATGTGGTATTCATGGAGCTGTGAGTTTCTTGAACAAGTTGTAACTGTACTGATACTGTGAACTGAGGAGCAGCCAAGAGATCCAGGTTCATCGTGCAGCAATTCTCTGCTTGCTGGTAAGACTCCTCTCTATTTAGCCTGGCCAGAGTCAATAAGCACTTCTTACATTTTAGCCTAGGTTTAGTTTTAGAAGAAAAATAAAGCTTGTGAAAGGTGTTTTTTTAACTTGCCACTGTAGAAATTAATCATTTCTAATTGCATGCGAAGGAGCCAATATTCTTGCCCAGATCTCACTGAAGGGAGGTTTACTGCTTGTAGCTATAGTTCTTGACCTCATTTAGATGGAACACTACATCTTCATTTGGTATTATGAGTTAAAGTCTGCATAAGCCTTGAGTTCCCACGTTCTCTCCCACCCATCTTTTGATGCAGCCACAATGAGTTCACAAGTTGTTCTGTTTCAGATTAGCTTGGAAGTTGACCTGTTGTCTGAACACAAACTGATGAATCTTAACTATGATTTGTTCATACAGGCTGACTTTAAACCATAGTCCGTGACGTTGTATTGCTTCAGTGAACTATGGTTAACATTAATCACAATTTAAACTTTAGATGCTATGAAAAAGGTCAGGTTATCTAAAACAGAACCTTCTAGTTTTCTTTTAGCTGCCTTGAAGGAGGAGAGGGGAGAAGGAAGTATGGGAGCGCAAGGCTTTCTGTATTTCATTCTTGTAATGCTAGGCCACAATTTAGCATTATGTCCAAACAGCAACTGTAAGGAATAGAACCAGGGATCCTTATTTTGTGTGTGCATATGTGTACAAAGGACTTGGGGGGTCGAGACCTGTTTGGCTCTCAGATACTCTCTTAGCAAAATTTAATCTTTGCCAAAAAATCCTGAGATTTTTGTTATTCAAAGAGCAAGTTTCTAGCCCTGATTCTAAAAGAGAGAGTCCTGTTTGTGGTTTCCATTAATAATTTTGGAGCTAGAGGAAGGAGCAGTTCTTCCAGTATTCTAGGGGATCTTGATAGTACACTTTTATCTGTCACCTTCTTTTTCTTGATGTGTGGCAGAATAAATGAGAATGAAAAGAAACAGAAATCCTGCAGGAAAAAATGCATTTAAATTGTGCATCCAAATAAAACATACACATTACTTGAATGTATTCAAACAGCTGTGATTTGCATTATTCCAGTCAGGCCTGACAAAAGTACATACCCTCCTTGAGCAGCTGCCAGGCCCTAGCAGGGCCCAATCCAAGGTGTGCTTTGGAACCCAGCCACCCTTTAAAAGAGTGGCTGAGTCTGGGAGCTGCCATGTAAATTTCTCACAGGGCCCCAATGTAGAGTTGCTCTGGGGCATTGTGTCATCTGGTACTGATCCAGATCTACAGTTGCCTACAGCTGCCACCGTGGCCAGGTAAGGGAAGGTCCCACTGGAAAACATTTTTACTAAGAGTTCCCTCAAGCATGGAACTGGCCTCGATTCCAGTTACTGAGTATAAAAAATGGCAGGTGCTTTAATCAGCCTTGTTGTCCGAGGTTCAGAACCTGAGATGGAAGGGCAGGTGTCTGGCAGACCAGAGGACAGAGCCAATTGGTGACTGAAGAGGATGGTTCCCAGCCAGTCAGGATAATAATTTGGCTTTGCTTGGTGGCTCAGGGTAGAGTCTGCTGGATATGAGGGTGGTCAGAGCAAATAACAAAATCTCTTCAAGCCATACAGAAAATAGCCTCCCCACTTCCTTGTCTCTACTCTGCAATGTTATCCTTTCCCCTGGATACCCTGAATTCAGAACCTGAGACCTGAGTCAGTTCTTTTTTTCTGAAGTTGGTTCTTTTTTCTTTCTAGAGTGCAAATGACCAAGGGTTGTAGCCAGTGTTAGACCTACTCAGACTAGACCCATTGAAATTAAAAGACATGAGTAACTTAGGCCCATTATTTTGTGTTGGTTTATTCTGAATTAAAACTTAGTTGGATACAGCCCTAACACATGTGTGTGGGGCTGGTGGGTGCATAACACATTTTGTGGGCTCATTTGCAAGGCTGGTTTTGTTGCCCAATCACATCTTTTGTTGCCCAAAGCATCTTCATGCTTTGTGTAGCAATATTCATTCTTGTCTATTACTGGTGATTTTCAAAAGAAAGTAGCAAATGTCAGTGGTAGGCTTACGTATAACTGAAAGAAAACCATGTGCCAATACTAACAACCTTTTCTACTACAGAACAATTGCTTATACAGCACAAGAGTTACCATGCTCACTACTATAACCTCAGCCTTGACTCTGCTAATGACCTATGCCATCAGTAGCATTAGCCTAGTCAGGCACAGTGCCCTTAGGAAGACTAAGGGGTGACTATACTGTGATCTCAGCCACAGAGAAGGCAAATGTAGGCTTTTGTTTGGATTATAAAATGCAGATGAGCTGGCAATCTGCTTTTCTGTTTGGTGCAGCTACATGTTTTTACCCTTGCGAAACGGATTTCAACTGTGATTCAAAGGGGAAGTGAAGTGAAACCCTTTCACATCTTCATACCTCATTAATTAATGGCCCACATCCAGGTAGAATTTAGTTGTAGTGATTAATGTGTCTCATTCTTTTCCATGGGACTTAGTAAAAACTAATATTACCTGGATTCGGCCAGTTTCCCCCACTTCTGTTCCAGAAAAGGCCAAGAAAACTTGATTGCTTGCCTTTGGCAATTGTCTCTAGAGGGGAAAGATCGATTTCATAGCTCTATGCTTGCAAAACAGTAAAAATAAAGTAATAATAAACTTCAGAATGTGAAACATTGCAGTTATCTCCCTGAGTGTGCTGCTATGTGTTTGTCTTGCCAAAAGCAATAGAGTGATGTAATTCTGAACCATATCACTGCTGAAATGGGAAACAAATATGTGTATAGTTGAGAACAATGATATGAAATGTAGATTATAATTCTATGTCCTTACCTTTGAGTAAGCATCACTGAACTTAGTTGAGGTTGCTGATTAAGCGTATATGGGATTGGATTGTGATGGTGGTCCACTAGCTCAAGCACTAACTGGCATTCCAGTTCCGCTAGCTCAAAAGATTTCCACTTGCAGAGCTGAACTTTCCCTTCCTCTCTTCTCCCCTGCAGCCCCCCATGCTCTCTCAAAATCAGCTCTGGGGGCGGGCACAGTGGGAGGAGAGGAAGGGAACATCCCACTGTGCAAGAGGGGTCTGCTTACTAAGATTGGATACAACCCTGAGTTTGGTCAGATGAGACAAACTGAAATAACTGGCACTTTCCCAGCATTCATAATTTTCCTGCAATTTCTAGTGGAAATACGTGCCCATTTTCGTTTCTTAAAGCACCTTTGGATTGTGTACTTTGGAGTGTCAGATGCATTTTTCATGGCATACCTTAGAGGTGACGCTGGGTTTATACTTCAGTGCCTCTCTGTGTGTTGTCATAAAGTGGCTTGAAGATTTATTGTAACAATGGTCTTAATCCAGATTAATCCCCCCTTTGTGTGCACACATACTTAAAACAGCAAGTATATACAGGGTGATGCCTGTTAAATATGAATTTTAAAATATTCCAAGTTACCCCACAGAAACAAAGGCGGTTAGGATCAATTATAGCTTTCTGTGGCAGTTACAGACCATTCGGGATATTAGTCCAGTGTTGGATGCTTCAAGTTATTACCATGAAATGGAAACATGGTAAAATAAATTCCTCATGAAGGTGGAGCAATTGTGTAAATTCTACTTCGGTGCTTTTAAATAAATGCTAGAGTTTATTTTAAAAAAGGGGTAGGGATTGTGTAGTACAGTTGTGCAATTTGCTGCTTGCTTGTTCACTGACGGCAACTAGCAATTGTTGGTGAACAGATGTAGAGTCAGTTAACTGAGTGGACGGAGTCAATCACTGTGCAACGCTGCTCTGCCTTTCTTGGCTGTTCAAAGTCATGTTCGGCAGAGCGAATGGCTGTTTGCAACAGTCTCTAACCTGGGGATTAAAGCACCATGCTGTGTGGGCTGTCCATGGAGCTGGTTTACTCTGCACTCTGTTTCTGGGTTGGAAATGGCAACAGAGCCCCACTGATCATACATGGGGACAAAACAGAGCTTTGCGGACGTGTGTTAGAAATACGGAACACATCTGTTGGCTTTGCGTGTGACTTTCAAGCTGGTAGCCAGCCAGGTGTATTTCAGGTATTATTGGACTGCAGTTCCCATGGTCCCTGATAAGTGGCCAGGCTGACTGGGGCTGATGGAGACCAATATCATATTGTGGGCCACAGATTCCACATCTCTTTCCTAGGCAATAACCCTGCCCACAGCTGGGCTGCATTTCTAAGTTACCTGCTTTGGCTTTGAGCAGCTGGTACAGGCAAGTAGCACTGTGGAGCAGAAAATGAAATAAAAAGCCAGCCAGCAGAACGGGCTCTATTTATAGCAAGATGCCCTGGTTGTTGCTATGTTCTTCCTGAGGAATGAGGGGTGCTTAGGCCAGCTTTCAACATGAGCAGGGGTAACTTTATTCCTTTGATATTGGAAAATGCTATCTAAAACAGTTGGGAACCCTTCTTTCTTTGCATATGGAACTTTCCGGGGAACAGAGCTGCCTTTGCTGGCGCAGAGCTCAGTGTGCATACCAAAAACCCCGTGTGAGCCTTAAGAATGGCAGGAAAAGAGCAAAAGTATTGACTAGTGTCTGGATTTTTCAATAACACAGACTTCTTTGTCAAATAGGAACTTGTAGTATGCACACATTTTAAAGATAATTATTGCCAAGAATTTTAAGTTTTTAAACATTCTTTATCTTGTTAGTGGGTTGTTTTTGGTTTTTTTATGTGCAGATTTCTCTGTTTCTATATAACACCAATGGAACTGCTATGCCCAGTTAAAAACAGCAACAACCCAGAATCTGCCAGATTCAAACAGGTTCTATGTTCTGGGCAGGCAAAACTTGCTCTCTCTTAAAAAATAAAATACTGTCCGTGATTGGGCACAAGATTGTACCAGCTGTGCATGTTGAACAAAATTTAGCTGTTTGATTCAATTAAAGAAACAAACCAAGTTAGTTTAAGTGGAATTTAAAAGCTTTGGAGTCATAGCTGGGAAGGATAGAAAGACCCGAAGTTTAATTGGGAACCATTAATAAGGAACCATTAATCTTCCAGATTGGTATGTGACTTGGTAGACTGTGGATTCTTTTATTGAAAAAATGGCTGGAACCAGTTGCTTTAATATTCCTGGGTTAAAATCTAGTCTATTTGAAAATTGTTTCTTATATTACATATTGTGGCTACAGCATAACTCCAAGGAGATATTGTCATATCTACATAGATGAATCAGTGTTACACAGTTCAGGGACCTGCTATGGATCAGATATCTGAATCATGAGTCTGTTAGAGGAAAATCAGTAATATAGTTGGGACTGGTTGGTATGTTTGCACTTGAGAAAATGAAATCTTGCACCTATAAACTTATGCTAATAAATGACTTTATGCAAATTAGGCTAAATTATGTACATTATTTAACATTATGCTTTCATTTTGAATATGATTAGCTCTTTAAAATAAAAGCACAGTTAAGAAAATTTGTCAAACATGTTATATTGGTAGTGAAGAAAAAACATTGGCCTTGGATATTAAAGGCCACTAAAGGTTATATACAGCATAATTTTATTTTGTTCCTAAACAGGAAAACCAAAACCTCTTGTACCATTCAAATGTGACCTGTGCTTGGAATAAAATATACAGTATTATAGTTGTAAATTTTATTTTACATACATTTTCTGTTTGCTCTGAACTGATCTTTGAATTTGTTTGAAAAATTTATAATTTGGGGACAAGAAGCAAGTTGGCAAGAAAAATATGGATAAAAGAAGGATGGGTGAAGCGGCCTGGGCAGAAGTCTTGCATAATGTGGTCAGAGTGAGAATGTAACTGGAAGTCACAGTGGTGGAAGGACACACAAGCAAACAGAAGCTCCACTTCTTGAAATGGTGGGACTCTTGGTGGGCTCTACTAGCACTTTTCCCTGAATAAGAATATAAAAAGCGCCTAGCTGGATCAGACCAAAAGTCCAACTGGTCCAGCTTTCACAGGCAGAAGGGAAGTGCCATTCCCTGCTGTTTGACCTCAGCATCTTGTACTGGTATATGGCCTCTGCTTAGCTATACTGGTTAATAGCTATTGGTAGAACTATCCTCTAATTTTCTCCAGGGTACTCAAGTGCACATCACTGCGTTTTATGAGTTTTGTATGTTTGTGATGGAAGAAGCACTTACAAGGCCAAGGTTCCTGCAGTAGCGTGTCACAACCATGGGAAGAAGAAATATACATTCCTCCTTCTCTCCCACCTCTGGCCTGCCAGAAGAAGCAGGGCAGAGATGATTCTATAGGAGTAGCCAGATTCTTTGCCATGTACCATATTCCAGCTGGGATTCTACATGTGTGGGGTTGCGGAAGTATTTGCCATCTACTTAAAGTGCTTATGTGCTTATGCAACAAATTCTGGAAAGCATCCTAAATCTGCAAAAATTAAAAGCAGAAACAGCCTGAAATTACAGGAAATAAGATTTCTGTTGAGGCGCACCTTTTGACAATCAGTCCATATGAAGTCTGATCTTTAAGGTCCATTTCAGCAGTTTGATGCAGCAAGTACTATACTCATTCCACTGCCTGCTCAGGCACATGGATAATTGCCATGATCAATTCAGAGATTGATGTTAATTCCCTGCAGTTGCTATGTCACATGGAAATGGATGTTTCTGTGTTCAAGAGGATAGCAAATGGTGGTAGATTCCAAGAGCATGATCTGTCTCTGTCCATGCAGGCTGAGGAGAAGTTTTGTTTCCCCAAAGGCCGCTTTGTGTGAATGTGGGCCTCAGCACCCACAGCCTGCCCTCCCATTGCCAGTGTGGGGTCACACCACTCAGCTGTGAAGTTCTCAGGGTGACTCTTGGGCCAGACACTCTCTCATGAGAGAGTGTCTACCTACCTCATGAGGTTGTTAGGAGAGGTTGAGGAAAGACCCATCTCCCCTGCCCTGACTCCCTGGGGGAAGGTCAGGATAAACATGCCGTAACTACATATTAATTCTCACTTTTGCATCCTCTCCAGAGCCTCCCCCCATTCCCATTGCAGCTGCCTTCTGCAGTGGGAATGTTCCTACAGAACGCCAGTTTGTAATGGGTGTAGCATGCCACGGGTGTTGTAAACCAAATGTTTGTCCCCTACCTTAGCTGTAGCTGCTTCTTCCAGATGGACAATTGATGAAACACAGTTTCAGGGTGGGAAGATGTTCGGACATGGCCATTTGAGCTGCTACAGATGCAGGGGGAAGGTAGGTTATTGTTCCTTTTCCCTTGCTGCATTTATCAGTGGATTCTAGACACTGGTTAAGACCTGCTTAAGATGTTGCTGTGTAAGGCAGACCCCCGCTCCATAAGGACGTGGCACTCCTTCCTGCCTTGTCTGTTTTTGTGTAATGCTTTAATGGGCCTCTCAGACCATTTGACATAATTTGAATAGATTTGTGCCCTCTCCATTTTAACTTCTCGCTTATGTTTATAGAGGATTCTGTTCCGTAGTTCCATAGGCCTGCCATGACTTCGTTCTTCAATATTATTCCAATTTGCTGGAGAATCCTGTGCTGTGGAAGAACATGAGAGTCAAGCATCTGTCTTGAATGCAGAAGGTCCCAGATTCCCAGCATTTCCAGGCAGGGCTGGGATAGAAATCCTGGAGAGCTGAGGCAAATAGGTGGAGACGGTATGGTGAATGTGATTCTGATTAAGGCAGCTTCCATGTTCCCTTCAGGTTTTGTTTCCTGAACAGAACTACTTTCTGCTTCATGGTGCTCCTGGAGAAAAATGCATAATGTACATTGTTGTTTTTACAACTTTAGAACAAGGTGTTTAAAGCACTAGTAGCATTTGAAGTTACATTTTTATTCTGTTTTGAGGCACGGGCATATGTGGAACAGAGAGGTGAAAGTCCTATGGACTGTGTCTTCAGTATTCTGCTTCTGGGACCTTGAGGAATAGTCAGAGGTTGAGATGTGTGTTCCTTTGGTTGCTTCAAGTCACCCAAGTGCCATGAAGTGTTGAGCTTTTAGTATGTTCCTGGCATCCACACTGGATCTTCCACCGTCTTTCGTCAGACAGCCAAGGTCGCATATTTGCTGGCAAGTTCCAGAGCTTGCCAACTCATATCAGCAGTGCTATTTGGAAAAACAAAACAAAACACTGATGTATTTTGAAACTACTATGCAATGGCTTTGTGAAGTTTTCATGCTCAGATTTAACTGTTGGCTGAAGTTTTCTTAAATCAATTGTTTTATCTCCCATAGATGTTGCCAGAATTGCAAAAATGGAGTTGAACCTTACTTAACTCGCAGTACATCTAATGGTGTTTGTTTTAGCCATGGTCTCAAGACATATTTCCCTGCACCTCTTCATTTTTTCTCTTCCAGGGCTTCCTTGAGCTGTTGGTATAAGCAGTTCCCCAAAGGGGCCTCTTCAGCACAGCCCCCAGTAGCAAATGCCAGCGTAATTCCCTGAGCCCTTCTTTAGTAGTTTAACTTCATTGTGTCATGCACAATGGGGAGAGATGGGACACCACTTGGCAAGTAATTCTGCCATTTATTTAGTATTTATTTGTGTATTTATTTATTTAACTTGCATAATTGTCTCATGTCTGGCAATGCCCTGCCTGCTTCATCAATGCAGTGCAATTTTCTTGCACAGAACATGCGGACCTCAGCATAACCTGTCCTGGCCCTCTCTTACTGGGAAGCAGAACAATGGAGGTGCATGTCCGTCCCCCCCAAGGGACAAAGACGTTACCGCCCACCTTTAGGCAGCAATAGTGAAATCAAGCATACTTTGATTCTTTCTTCCTTTATGGCAGTAAGTCATTAGCGAACCCTTACCTTTTAACTTAAAGAGCGTTGGCGTTGATGCGGAAACCAATAAAAGAGGACATTTATCGTGCAGTTCCACTGGTGACCTCATTGAAATATCACAGTTGCAGCTATAGCAAGCTTTTAAAATCTGCTGCAATAAGTGTGCATAATAATTTATTTAACCTACTGTGATTTCCTAATTTAGTTTGGCCTTCTAAATTAACGTGCAGCTTTGAATATGTAAGTGCCCCGTAGATTATAAGATTCATTCACTATTTAACTGGCTGCACTAGTGTTATAGAGAGAGATATTGGTCGTTGTCTGCTTTTCATTTAGTTGTTATGATGTTAAATCAGAACAGGAGCAGGACATTAGTTGCAAGTAAACACTAGTGTTGTCTCTTCTCCAAAATGAGTATTTCAGCAATGGTTGGTGTAACAGAAACTTTCTGTTTTGCCTCTGAGGATGGAGACTATTTCGTGGTTTTCTCACGTTGTGCATTGAAGCCCCCAATATCTTTTGCTCGTTCAGGAAATGAATCTAATTGGGTGAACAAGCTCTTAAGGGTACACTTTGCTCAGCTTTAGCCAGAAGATAGCTGTGCATTTGGAGTTATAGGGTCAAGAAAGCAAAGTGGCCCAGAATATTTTATAAAGTTGGGATGCAAAGTACAATTCAGCTAGAAAAATAGTTGCAGGAAAGCGACTATTGTAGTAAAAGTTTCTGCTGTTCCTCCTGACTGAATTACATGTAGTTGTTTTCTGCTGCCAAACTTTAATTCCTTCTGAGCAGAGCTTGTGAATGGGATGGTTTGCAATATCTTGGAAGGCATTGAGAGCAGTTCTCTGTTTGTGATTACCTGATAATTGCACCAGACAATGATTAGTTGGATATCTCCAGGAGATTCAGACCCAATTAAAAATATTTAAACTACCAATAATGGCAGTTGGTGATGACTGGGTACATATTTTTCCTATGGGATACTTAGACTAAAGAGTACAGTTGTATGTAGATTAACAGAAGTGGGTTTTGAAATTCAGTGAGGCTTTGTATTGCATTTGAAGGTCTCATCTGATTTGTAACAAATCAAACTGGCAATTAAGTTTAAATGACTTAATGTGAAGGGTTGCAAATGAGCACATCCCAGTGTATTGGGGCCAGTGTGTTCAGCAGAGACTTTTCATTCTTTCTTTTTCCTGAGTACTTACCCCACCCCCCAAAATATCAGGAACCAGAAGGTGTCTCTCTGCCTAAACAATGAGCTCCCTGAGACAAACTAGGTTTGAGAGCAGGCTCAAGCTAGATGTTCCACCAAATTCAGAGTTGCAGATGAAATCAGTACCCTGTGTGTCTAGTTCCACCTGTTTTCCCTGTCTCCATGTGTAGTATCGATATGTGTATTCTCTATACACACAGATCCCAACTGCTAATGTATAAAGATGGATTAGACAATGTACCACATGGTGAAGTCTTAAGTTCCTGTTACCCCACATTATGGGACAGCAGAGGAGGCACTGCCTTGGGTGGCAACTGCATGTTTGCAGGATTCACCTAACCAGACTTCCACTTGTGCAACAGGGCTTTCCGCCGCCACCACTTGCCCCCCCCCCCAAGTTGGCTGGGGGTGTTGAGAGAGCTCCCAGAACAGCACACAGGGGAGGGGGATTGTTTCACCTGGCAAACTGCAATGCTGTGCAGACAGTACGGTTGGAAGATTGCAGTGCTGAACTCCACCCAACAAACTCTTGAATGTTTTCAGTGAGCTCATAATCAGCGCGCTCTAAACGCCAGCAGCAATTCTGTAGTTCTTTCTCTGGTGCTATTACTTGATCTATGCATAACTAAGATCCTGCTATTCAGCCGCTGGCCTTGCAGTCATGCTTTTTACCACCTAGCGTTCAACCTAATCTGATGCACAAATTTCAGATTACGAAATTCCAATTTACATTCTGTAAATTGAATTCAGTGGAGTTTAAACGTAAAGTCCACCCAAAGGGGTGTGTGCACTCAGTCCCTCCACCCCCACCCTTCCCACTCAGTCCTGTTTTGCAATTTGGGGTTAGTCCAAAAGATGACTTTTTCAAGATGGCCTTTCATAGGTTTTTAATGTTGGTTGTAGGCAGATTCCTGTTATCCCAGGATATTTTTATCATACCCAACAGTGAGCAAGCCAGTTCTTCTAGGTCCAGTATACTAACACAAAGCTTACATTTTCAGATTAGCTGATTATACATTGTCGGTTACAGAAAAATAGTCTGGAACTTCTTGGAAAATCAATACCCAATATATATGAGGGTCTTTAATCTATAGAGAAGCTCCTCTTTGTGAGCTCTAGATTATGTTTCTTATCATGCAGTCTTGTTGACAGGGATGGTTTTCTGGGCCACTTGGAGACCTATGAAACATATTGCGGGACAAAGTTCTGGTAGGTGCAGGGGGCAAGTTGGAGCCCCCCTTTAGTGATGCTAGTAATCCCTGGCCTGGATGTGAAATACGCAGCTTCATTTTGCTGACTAGTACAAGAAAAGACAAACCTGTGTTGTTAAAAAATGCATCTAAGTATTACAGCTCAGCTAAGTCTTTCCAGCATCTATTGCAAATCAGCTTTCAAAAGTAGTGTGGCACTTTAAGCAGGTTGTTTAAGCACCCTCACTTCTTTCCTCCTGTCCCCCCCATATGCACTTTAAGCTCTGTGGCTGTTAACCTGTTACATGCAGGAGGGTTGTCTTAGATGGACAATGGGCAGAGGTGATGTTAACCTCGCCTGCCATTGCTGCCTCCTCTACCTCCAGAGGCAAAGGCATTGTGTGTACCCTTTCCTGTCTCAGCATATCCACACCACTCAATAATGTGAAAGCTAGAACGCTGGCATGCAGTGGCTTTTGTGAAGTGGGCTAGCCGATTTTTGACTGTTCTCATGAGCTAAGCTGTGGCTTTCAATGATCAGCTGAGCCACAGAACCTAAGCTTTTAAAGAGGGATGGACTAAACTGCCATGGGATCAAAACTATATTGAAATTCTGTAGGTTTTAACTTTTCCACGCGTGTCTCTTCCTGAACTTCTGCCTCAATAATCTGTTCTTGGGTGGATTCTTGCTGAGACAGACTGAAAGCTGGCCCTGTATTGGATGTTATGGGCTAGGGTGCCACCCTCTTGAATGCCACTCATGCCAAATGAGAGTGCCTGTAAAGTACAGGTGGTTTGGGATGCGGTGCTTCTACCTTGAACCCATGCATTATAGCTATGCGTTGTGCATGTTGCCACATCACAAATGAGAGCACCAATGGGATATCTGTCTGAATTGCACAGCACAGATAGATACTTGGTGGCATTTCAAAGGGTGGCACTCATGCCCACTTTCTGTGGTCTGGCTTTTGGTGGGATGTGTGGGAATCTTGAGCAAACTGCAGCTCAGAATGGATCACTGTCACTGGTGAATTATCCAATTTGATTCTTCTGCTGCGCCCCACTCCTAAAGTTTTAAATATATAACTCTTCTTTTATTACAGAAATACCCTAATCATGTGTCCCATCCCCCCCTTTAAAAACTAATCAACCACCACCTGGCAGACCCTTTAAAACTATTGCTCTGTGAATCTGAAACACACAAGATATCTGTTGCAGTTCTTTTTTGGTTGTATTGCATTGCATTGCAACAGAATTCATACTTCACTTCTCCAACAGGCTGAAATGTGATCTAGTTGTTTGACAATAATTGATAGCAGAACAGCCCAATTTATTTTTTATTAGCATTTTCCCCAACCCACATTTGGTGCATCCTTTATTCTCCCATTGCACATGGAGGAAGAAAACAAAAGGGAGGTAATATGGTCATTATTCTGTGAGTGTGTCTTTTGGTGGTGGTGCTGGTGGTGGTGGGGAGAGTAAAACAACAGTGAAGATAAAGACTTGTACAAACTTATTTAAAGCAGTTTAGCAAAAATAAATAAACTAAAAGCTCTCATTGAACAGCTTTAAAAACAATGTGAATGGAAACTTAGAAACTGGGTTAGGACTCTGAAAAATTCTATAAATGTATACTTGAAATTCTGTTTGTATTTTAAAACAAATGCATTTTCCTCTTTAACACTGTGTAAAAGAAATGTTATGCATGTGAGTGGTTTGAGAATTAAATGGTTTAATACTCATAACTGGAGTGCACTGTCTTTTGTTTGACTGTCTGTCCACAGCCCTGTGTACCACCTCTTCCATTTAACAGTCCCCAAACTAAGGTTTTTTGTTGCCACCCATCTGTCTCACGAGACGATGGAGTGCACCTCCAGGGGTGAAGTCAAACCGGTATGTTAGCAGCACTGAAGTGACCTCCCCAGTGCACAAGCCTGGGCAGTGTGTGGAGATCCTGAGCTGCCCAAATGACAAGATCAGCCTCACTGATGTGGCCCAAAGGAAAGCGGAACAATACTTTTGGCACCAGCTTGGCTGCAGGAGTTGCCAGAAGGAGGCATACAAGGCGCCATCCAACCATCTTAGGGACTTCATTCCAGATTTCTGCAGGGTTTACTCCTTAGCCTTTTCTTCTCCCAAAGATGTTCTGCAAGGCAGTGGAGATGGAGGATCAGAGTTTTCCTTCTCTAGATGGACTCCCTTCCCGGATTGATGAGCCCTGTCTGCCCCTCACTTCCCTCTACAGCACATGCAGAAACTGCATTCTTGATCGTTGGGCCCGCTCTTGGTTTCATCCACCCAATCTGCTGGAGCCTGTCTTCGCATGCAGGGAAGTCCTTAACTTACCAAGGTTTAAGACCCATCAGCCCCCCTCATCTGGTGAAGTCTGTCAGTTGAAGCTATTCCCAGACTGTGGCCGCTGTTGCATGCTGACAGCTTGTAGGTACCACAGGTGAGAACTGAGTGCAAGGTGGGGACCAAAGGTGTGCAAACTAGCCCTGAAGGAGCATACCAGAGGCAGTGCCCCTCGCCTAACAACCCATACACCCCAAACTAAGGTTCACTACTCACGCGAAGTCAGTTTTCCCATGTCTTTTCAATTTATTGGAGCCCCTCACTGGTCTTCGTGGACAAGCTGAAATCATTCAGCTTCTTCAGCTTTCACAGTGGTAGCTTCGTACATGCCTCATGCCCTTAATCACTCTGTCACCAAGCAAAAAGCTATGTACAGTGGTCCACCAGGAAAGTTGTCAAGCGCAAAACAAAATATGAGTGGTAGGCTGTGTTTGCTTTCTTGGGTCACAAGTTGTACAACCTATCCTTCCTGGTTTTGCCATTGTCCATGGATTGCAGCCCTATAATATCATTCGCTTCTGTGGCAAAGGCTCTTCCAAAAACCAAAGCATGGGCTTTAATGAACAACTAAGATAACAGCCATCTTCTTCAGCAATTCAAAAATGTTGCTGAGATGGCAACCGCTAAAGAAACGCTCTAAAGCTGTATCCTATGCACAATTACAAGGATGCAAGGTACATGGAACTAAAGGATTATCACTTCTGAGTAAATATGCATAGAATCAGGCGGCATATACAGAAAGTAGAATTCATTTCAGTTCAAGGTGCAAGTAGGATCTTGAGTGCTCTTCCAGTGCTCTTCAATGCTTCCACTGTTCTTAAGTGGAAATAAATGCACAGATTGCTATATACACCATGGGGCAGGCAGGGTGTTTTTTGTTTTGATACCCCATTTGCTATACCTTGTATCTGTGATCAACCTCCATTAATGAGACTTGGGACCTTCATTTTATTAATCAAAGTCAACAAGTTAGAATTCAAATTTGCATAGCCAACTATTTATTCAGTAAAGCTGTCATCATTTGGGAATGGCTTCTAAATAGCTCGCACGCTCTTCCTGGTCTTTAGGAATAGAGTGGCCATGTTATTCGCAGGGCGGCGGGGGGAGGGATCATTCCCCAATACACCTCTCTTGTGGTGCAGCTAGCCTCTCCAAACATCGGCCATCTTAAAGGTTAAATTAAGGTACCACCAGTTAATACACTACTGTCTCTAAACATAGCTGAAGAGGTAGGTGTGTGTAGTAAGTTGTGAAAAACAAATCTTTGTATCTTCAATTTATTCTTCCAAGACTCAGATTTTCAAAGAAAAAGAAAATGCTGCTAGCCAGGAAGAACAGATGGGAAGAGAAAAACAGGAAAGAAGGAAGACACACAATACACAAGCAGATGGTGCCTTTGCCTCTGCAAATTGTCCTGCAAGTCTTCCTGTTGTGGAAGGAGGAATTTTTGGGTTGTCTTTGTTTTTGTTTTTATTATGCATTTTTATATATTTGTGTTTTAATATTGTAATTTTATGTTGTGAACTGCCCTGCGGTAAACAATTTTAATAAAAATAATAACAGAATAATAATGATGAAGGCATTTCAGAGTCAAAATGCACAGCTGAGTAAGAATGGGTTTAGTTGTAATTTGAGAACATGTCATATATAAGAGAGATACAGCAATGATACCTTTTTATTAGCTGTTTCAAAACAGGAGGAGGACCACTGAAAAACAACCTGAAGTGTTAAGAGCAGGGATTGGCTACTCTGCCCAGGAAGAGAATGGCATTGATGGCAACTTCCCGTATGAGCACCATGAAAGGTCTGTTAGCATTGAAGACAAGTTTGTTCAAAGGAAATGAACGGCCTGCGATCATGACGGCTGTGGAAGCAGCTGCCTCGCTGCCTTCTTCATTCACCTGCCAATCAAAGATGCACAGAATTTAGGCCACACGTTTTCAAGAGCAATTGCACTGGAGACCAATAGAAATAAGGGCTTTCTTCTTCCATAATGCCCTATCCCTCGAGAACATAACTAGGGTTGCATGTTTCATTTACTAACTGGTTAGATTAATCAACTAAATAGGTGCCCCCCTGATTACTTGGAAAGCAGATTTTGAAATATATACACATGCTGATCAAAAGTATAGTGGCAGACTCTCCAAGTGTCCTGTTTCCCAGGGATGTCTCTGATTTAGAGAAGCAGTCCCAGTTTTTGATTTGATCCTGGGATGTCCCACTTTTCCTTAGACTGTCCCTATTTCCACTGGAGAAATGCTGGAGGATATGGAGTTATCTGACCCCGAGGCATCTGAAGGCAATCCTGTATAGGGAAGTTTTTAAATGTTTTATTATGTTTTTATATATGTTGGAGCAATGGGATGTCCCTATTTTCATCGGGCAAATGTTGGAAGGTATGTAATCACCATTTTGAGGCATCCGCCCTTTTCTCTTACAATGGTGGAAATGTCTCTCCTAAAATGATACCTGCTACAACACAAATACCTTTGATATAGCCCCTGTGTGTGAGTGCTGGAGCACCGGCTTACCTCTAGAGAGGCTTTGTGGAATGCTTCAGATACAAAAACATCCCTCCGGGCACCTGAAATTATCCCTGGAAAAGACAAGAATTACAGTAAAATTACAGTATAAATTGAGGGAGTGCAAGCTGCCTATTGGGGGAAAGAAACCGGCCCAGGAGTTTATGATGTGGCTATTAAGCATTGAGTCTGTGGAGAAATTGTCAGCAAATGGTGAGTGTGTGTGAGAGAGAGAGAGAGAGTGTGTGTGTGCGCGCACACACACGCACCAGCCACATCATGTGATCAATTCTGCAGAGTGGGGCTTACCTGCCCCCCCTCCAATATTTTATTCAAGTTGGCACCCCTGTGATGGAATGTATACACTTCCCACTTACGGCACTGCTCCTCATTGCATGAGAAGCTGTAGAGAGGATGCAAAAGGTGGGAGCCATGTGCTTGTGTGTGTGAGACAGAGAGAGAAAGAGAGAGGGGAAGGAAGGAAGGAAGGAAGGAAGGAAGGAAGGAAGGAAGGAAGGAAGGAAGGAAGGAAGCTGCAGCAGCTGCATCAGAAACCTGGCTAAAATTGATTGCAGAAGAGAAGGAATACACTAGAAGGCAGAGAGCAGGCTGTAGCTAGAATGCCCTCCAGCATAGGGTGATGGACTTCTATCCCCCAATTCAAAGTGGCACAAGATGGGTCTCTGAACTGGACCTTAGAGATTGTGTGCATGTTGATGGTCTGAACTGATGGATCATATAAACCAGGTGTGGGGAATCTCTGTCCTCCAGAAGCTGCTGACCTACAACTTGCCATCACCTCTGACTATTGCTAATGCTGGCTGAGGCTGATGGGAGTTGTAGTTCAGCAAAATCGGGGGGGGGGCAAAGACACTCCCCAACACCTGATATAATCAGGAGTTTCAGGGCAAGACTTTCATTTTATCCGCCAGATGCACAAATACACCTGGGGACGGCGGGCTTTCAAAACCAGGGCAAAAAATATAATTGTAAAGAAGTTTGTTTAGTTTTATAATTAGGGTTGCTTTTACCATGTGCTTATTATTTACTTTTTGGTATACATTCTTAGAAAATCTGGAGATGCTACTTTTATTTTGTCTCTCATGGTAATGAGACCAAGGCTATTCCTGATAAATTGTGTGTGTGGCCTGGGGCAGGGAGGTAGCATATAAGCAAAGTTTTGCATATGATTGTTAAAACTGGATATATTGTTTTGAAGTCAATCTTTACTATTTGATGGTTTTGGATCTTTCGTGACAGCATCAGCGTGGCAACAAGAGAAGTGGTGCCGGTAAATAAAGGGCCACAGAACATATAATTAGTAGTAGGTGACTGCAGATCTTAGAGTGACAAGCAGAACATAGAAGCTCCATGAACTTCCTGAGACCAAACACGGGTATGCCAACATATAGAATCATAGAATTGTAGAGTTGGAAGGGACCCCAAGGGTCATCTAGTCCAACCCCCTGCAATGCAGGGATCTCAACTAAAGTATCCATGACAGATGGCCATCCAATCTCTGCTTAAAAACCTCCAAGGAAGGATGTTTTTACAATAAGGAGGTCTAGAAAGTTGTTATGCTTTGAAATAAAATATGAGAATCTTGGGAATCCAAGTTGTTCACCTCCAGGATCTTTGAAACGGAATGTGTCCCCCCCCCCTTATTTTTTAACAGCAAAAACATTTTTTGCCAGGTGTGAGTTTCTGTACATAAAATGTTAGGCTGAGGGTGGTTAATTGGAAGGGCAGAGGGGCATCCTATCCTCTTCCCAAGCACAGGAGCCCTTCAAGACACACCTGGCAGATTGGCGTCTTCCGGTCTGAAGAGATCCGTCAGCCCCATCTGTTGCAGCTTCTCCTTCAGGCTGAAGCTGTCCTCCACACGGAAGCGGGGCAGATGCACTGAGATGGAGACCTCTCTCAGGGCATTCAGCCAGCCTTCCAGCTTCTCGGCTGTCAGCCCCTGTTCCACCTCTGCCAGGGGGGTCTGTGCAAAGGGCAGGATGAGCACCATGGTGATGTCATCTCCTTTGTAGGGCAGCTCCAGGACCTGCACTTTGGAGCTTGCAATAGAGGCGTGCTTGAATGTCGCTTCCTGATACATGGTAGGCACAGGGCAACGCCCAGAACCAGTTCTGTAAAAGGGCTCCACGTTTGTATTTTCGAGCTCGAACTTTGATTTCCAGTGGCCCTGGGTTAATGCATTGAAATAAAAGAGAACAATCAGTCAGAAGCCAGGGATCTGGACTACCCAGCGCAATTTACTTTGGCCCTGATTTCTCACCAACCCCATCCAGGTTTACTCCCCACAAGGAAATTATTAATCTGGAATAATTACCACACATGGCTCTGTATCACTGAAATGGATTGGTATATACACAAAAGCATCTGAAGATTTGTGGAGGGAAACCCATCTTTGTTAAGACAAGTTCAGAAGTACAGTGGTGTTGTTGTTGTTTAGTCGTTTAGTCGTGTTTGACTCTTCGTGACCCCCTGGACCAGAGCACACCAGGCACTCCTGTCTTCCACTGCCTCCCGCAGTTTGGTCAAACTCATGCTGGTAGCTTCGAGAACACTGTCCAACCATCTTGTCCTCTGTCGTCCCCTTCTCCTTGTGCCCTCCATCTTTCCCAACTTCAGGGTCTTTTCCAGGGAGTCTTCTCTTCTCATGAGGTGGCCAAAGTCTTGGAGCCTCAGCTTCAGGATCTGTCCTTCCAGTGAGCACTCAGGGCTGATTTCCTTCAGAATGGAGAGGTTGGATCTTCTTGCAGTCCATGGGACTCTCAAGAGTCTCCTCCAGCACCAGAATTCAAAAGCATCCATTCTTCGACGATCAGCCTTCTTTATGGTCCAGCTCTCACTTCCATACATCACTACTGGGAAAACCATAGCTTGAACTATACGGGCCTTAGTTGGCAAGGTGATGTCTCTGCTTTTTAAGATGCTGTCTAGGTTTGCCATCGCCTTTCTCCCAAGGAGCAGGCATTTTTTAATTTCGTGACTGCTGTCACCATCTGCAGTGATCATGGAGCCCAAGAAAGTAAAATCTTTCATTGCCTCCATTTCTTCCCCTTCTATTTGCCAGGAGGTGATGGGCCCAGTGGCCATGATCTTCGTTTTTTTGATGTTGAGCTTCAGGCCATATTTTGCGCTCTCCTCTTTCACCCTCATTAAAAGGTTCTTTAATTCCTCCTCACTTTCTGCCATCAAGGTACAGTGGTACCTCAGGTTAATAACTTAATTTGTTCTGGAGGTCCGTTCTTAACCTGAAACTGTTCTTAACCTGAGGTACCACTTTAGTTAACGGGGCCTCCCGCTGCCACCACCACATGATTTCTGTTCTCATCCTGAAGCAAAGTTCTTAACCCGAGGTACTATTTCTGGGTTAGCAGAGTCTGTAACCTGAAGTGTCTGTAATCTGAAGCATCTGTAACCTGAGGTATCACTGTAACTATTTCACGTTGAGATGTCTTGAGCGAGTGCCCATTGAGAGGGATCACGACAGAAACAGGCTTCAGATACACAAACTGATGATCTCACTTCCATTCCCACTGATGTTTACAATTATGCCTTGTAAGGTTGGGCAGGCAGTCAGACAATGCTCCCTCACAACTGGCTCCACATCCTCTCTGCAGACTAGCTATATTCCTGCCATCGGCCTCTCGGTCAGTTTTGTGAAGCCAGCATCCTCATGGGGCATGGCTGCCACACGCACCCTGCCGTCAGGAACATAGCTAGGCTTGGTTTCAGAAAATAATTTTCTCCTTCCATCAACAGCCCCTCTCCCCTCTGTGGGCGGGTTTTAGACCACCTTTCATCAGTTCAAGCATGTCACTCTCGTGACCTTTCCATACCTTAAAGTAAATAGTGTTGACTAGTACCAAAACGGTGAGGGCATCAATGCCTCCTTCCGGGATCACATTCTTGATGAGCATCTCTGTTTTGTTTGCCACCCAGTCGTTAATGAGTGCCCGAGATAATTCTGGCTTCTCCTGAAACGTGGGACATAGAAAAGGCTCTATGAAATCTCGCATTCTACCAGACAAAGTATTCAGATGTTTAATTATTTAATTTGGTTCAAAGCTAATAGAATTTCTCAACCACAGTCCCTCAGTACTATTGTTCAACACCTACAGTAAAGGACATAATACCTTTCAATAAAGAACTGGAGACAAGACCATCAGCCTATGTGGAAAATTTATGTGGTTGGTCATGTGTCCAAAGTCATGGTTACCAACCAGCCAAAACTATACAGGCCAGTACAAATTGTCCTCTTGGCCAGTTGACAGAATTGGAGGACTAAAAAACCAAGAAAAATGCAGTAGGGGCATAAGTAGCACTCACATGTGCGCTAAGGGAAGCGGCTGTGTTTATAAGTGAATGGCACATGCAGGCCACTGTAAATGAATGCACCTTGCATGGCAACTGTGCTCAAATCACAGCAGTTTCTGACTGCAAGAGAGAATTTCCTTGGTAATAGTTTGCAGTTCTGGAACTCCAAGGGAAATTCAATGGACCTCATTTGTCTTGACCTTCTGTAAAACGAATAGGACCTGCATATGGGTGGGGAGGTAATATCGCTATGCCAACACTAATGAAATAACAGAGTAACACCATAGGGGAGGGGTGGAAGCATATTTTGTGGCATACACTGTCTTAAATGCAGTTTATTGATGACTTGTGACAATGTCTGGTTGACATGGAAACTGCTTCAGGGGTGGGGTTACAACCAAGTAGCATGTAAATTTTATGAAACAATTTTATTTTCTAAAATAAACAGAAAAAATAAAAAAAATATTTTCTAAAATAAACAGAAAAAAATTTATTTTCTAAAATAAACAGAAAAAATAAAAAAAATATTTTCTAAAATAAACAGAAAAAAATTTATTTTCTAAAATAAACAGAAAAAATAAAAAAATTATTTTCTAAAATACAGAAAAAAATTTATTTCTAAAATAAACAGAAAAAATCCAGAGAATGACTCTAAGCTAAAGCCCCGAGAGTAAAAACCATAGGTGTGAAAATCTTAATTCACACTGAACAGTTCTCCATAATGTTTTTATTCCATTTTTTCCATCATAACAATTCATTAAGAAAAAGGCAACCCTATAACTTGTCCATAACAGCAGCCAAATCCAGAAGTAAATTAGCACAGAATTAGAAAATATTACCACTGAACAAATCAAGTAAAGTTGCAAAGTGCTGGGAGACGCAGGACAGCCCAGTAGGAGGGGGCAAAGAGGAGGAGGAAATCAGGTCTGGATGTGAGGCTGGGATGTGAGTCATTTGAGGAGCAAAAGTGAATGTGGAGCGTGGAGGGGGAACTAAGCTCCCAAACAGCAACAAAACAAAACAAAACAAAAACCTGCGTTAACTTCTAGTTTGCATCCATCAGTATTCATCCTTCAAGTTCAGAAATGTCTAAGAGAATAAGAAATATATTCACACCTCTTAATAGCATCATCACATTTATGACTCACTTTGAAGTTCAAAGGCCAGAGTTTAGCTCCATAAACCACCTCACTAACATTCTGATAGGTTTCATTGAAGCTGAAGGACTTCTCCCCAAAGAGGCGGTTGGCTGACACCAACTCTGATGATTTGTTGGCTTTCTTGTAAAGTCGGCAGTTAAGTTTGGCAAAGAAGAAGTGGATCTGATCTGATGTCTTTTCTGAAATGGTGTCAAACTGAAAAACCTGGAAAAACAGGAAGTAAAGATCTTAACCCAAGGTACTATTTCAGGGTTAGCGGAGTCTGTAACCTGAAACCTCTGTAACCAGAAGCATCTGTAACCCGAGGTACCACTGTATTTCCAAACGGATGCGTCTGAAGTGGCAGACTTTTTTAGTCTACCATAGCTTATAATGCACTTGGCTACTACTCTGTTTGTTGGGATCCTGGAAGCCTAGACCCAAGTTTGAGGCAAGAACCCCAGCAGAGATTCAACATGGCAAAACATGCAGCAAAGAAAAGATGGAAATATAATAGAACGTGCCCTTCCAGTGAGTTCCTAAGTATCCCACTTCCCTACCACACAGACAGACCACATGTTTGGGAACTTATAAAATGGTTACATTACAAAACTATTCAAAGGTCAGATTCATGTATTTTTCCATACAGCAGTCAGAAAAAGTTGCACAGGCAGTGAAATATTGCTTGATTACAAAATGGTAAAAGTTCCTAAACCATTGGTATAGAAAAAAGCTAGTTTCAGACTGCATTTTTGTTGATAAAGGCATGTGGTTGGAGGGAGCAGCTCAGAGCTCCTCATACAACTGATTTCACACTTAGACTGAGACAATGAAAGGCTTGGTTCCCATTTCCTCCCAAGGTGAGGGGAAGTGACCTAGGCTAAGCTCTACTTTATGGCTTTAACCCAGGCATCCCCAACCTTCAGCCCTCCAGATGTTTTGCACTACAATTCCCATCATCCCTGACCACTGGCCCTGTTAGCTTGGGATCATGGGAGTTGTAGGCCCAAACATCTGGAGGGCCGCAGGTTGGGGATGTCTGCTTTAACCCCTTCATGCATTAATTTGACTCAAATATGCTTATATGAGGCTGGTTACTCTACACAGTTTATTCTGCATTCATCCTGATTTACTAACATTGAGTTTCCACAATGGTCAAACTATGTCTGGTCTTTACTGAGCATTTGTACTGATTTGTTTGTGGGGTAGTTCTATGACAATGGACATTCTGCTTCTGGTGTGTTTACGCATCTTTCCTCATCACTTTCCTGATCACAAAATGTCATTTTCTTTCTTAAACTGGATTTGTTGTGCAAGAGAGCCCTTTCATCCACTTTAACTGAACAGCCCTAAAGTTCTGGTATGTACTTGAATTTCTCCAGCAAAATACCAAGAGTCTGGAGGAAGCTTTAGTTTTCAAGATGAAACATGTTATTTGCGGGGGGGGGGGAGCACAATTTCCCCTCTGTCCCTTGGGGGAGGGAATCTATGAGACTGCTCAGCATATGTTGATGGAAGAGACAAGGGAGAGCACCAGGGGCGTAGGAAGGGGGGTACAGGGGGTGCGGTCCATCCACCGGGTGGGGCAGCACTGGGAATGACGCATGGGGCTTGTGTCCACCAGGCAGACTCTGTGGGCAGCTTGCCACAGCGCCCCCTTGAGCGGGTTGGCACCATGCCCCCATAAGGGGCTTGCCCCACCCCCACCGTTCTGGGTCCAGGTGGATATGTCAGTTTGCCTGATGTGGACCTGACATTCCAAACAAACCACAATCCATAGTTACAAGGATGAAAAGCTTGTCTTGTTTTTGGTAACTGAAAGCTTATGATTTTCAGAACTTAAATTTGTATGTACAGATCTAGGTGCTCTGCCTCCTCTGCCTCGGCAGACGCTGGGAAGCCTGCGCTGGTCCACATGGTCTTGGGAGGTGCAGTGCCAGTCCACACAGCCTAGGGGAAGCTGCGGCCTCCTCCTCCTCAGCCGGTGCCAGAGATGTACTTCTGGACGTCAGCTTCTAGAAGTGCCACAACAGAAGGAGGAAGAGTGACGGGGACAAGGCACGGCCAGAGCATTGGAGCCAAAGCAGGACATTCTGGATTGGGATCAGTAGCCAGGGTGGCTTCTGACAACCTGAGATGTCCCACTTAAAACAGTATGACCTTCCAGTGCAGATTTAGGGACACATGAGAGGGGGGGAAGGGGGGGAGTCTTGTTGTTTGATGGGCACTTGTTCTGTTTGCACAACTGCCCTATATGCAACATGCTGATCTGTGATATTCTTTATTCATGGTGGCCTAAGGTTTTAGATGAGCTTTAAGGGACACAGGTGGCGCTGTGGGTTAAACCACAGAGCCTAGGCCTTGCGGATCAGAAGGTCAGTGGTTCGAATCCCCGCAACGGGGTGAGCTCCCGTTGCTCAGTCCCTGCTCCTGCCAACCTAGCACTTTGAAAGCACGTCAGAGTGCAAGTAGATAAATAGGTACCGCTCCGGCAGGAAGGTAAACGGCGTTTCCATGCGCTGCTCTGGTTCGCCAGAAGTGGCTTAGTCATGCTGGCCACATGACCTGGAAGCTGTCTGCGGACAAACACCAGCTCCCTCGGGTAATAAAGTGAGATGAGCTCCGCAACCCCAGAGTCGGTCACAACTGGACCTAATGGTCAGGGGTCCCTTTACCTTTACTTTACTGAACCAATACCTAAAAACCATGTGGAAAGATTAACAACCAAGCATAGAGTGGAAATCGTTGAGTCTTCCGAAAGGAAACACTCCAGTTCAGTCTTATGCAAGAAGGCTGTCCAAACATAACCCTGCCCCCACGTTACCTCCATTAGCTGCTGGAGGGTGTTGCCACAGGCTCCCAGCTTAGTCATGGCAAAGGCTGTGGAAATGCTGAGGGGTGACAAGAAGATGTTCTCATCGGCATTCCTGGAGCTGGTCAGTTTCTTGTAGAAGAGGGCAGCAAAGCGAGAATTGGCCTTGGACAACTCCCAGACACGTGGGTTGGTGGAGCTGGGAAGGTTCTCTTGAATCGGCCCAGAGGCTGCAGCCTCTTGGGCCTTCTTATCTGGGTTGCGGTAGATACACATAGGGTTTACAGGGATATCCTTTGGCTTGGCAGTGCATACATCCTTCACTAAATGGTGGTGTGGAGTTACAGCAGACAACAGACAGATGAGAAGAAGTAGTGGGAGCTGCATCTTCCTGTAAGCAAGAGGGGGTGGACTAAAGATGAAGAGATCCAGCTTTCTCAAACATAAATGAGCATGCATACAGATAAACCACCTACGGTACTTCCTGCTGAAACAGCCACCCAGGAAGTATCTTAGTGCAGGAAATCAGAGAGTAAGCAAAATGGTGCTTATTCCTCAGTGAATGAGTTCAGGAGCAAGACAGATGAAGCAAACTGCATTTTACTCCTGTAATGATGGTGCTGTAATCTAAGAGAGTTTAAAATGCAGAACTGGACATATTTGTTTGCTTTTTTAAATTGGGATTGGCAATTTTTTTTCTTCTTCTTTTGCTCTAATGCATTCAGGATGTAGAAACAATTGTAAAGCATGGAATGCCAGATGGGGGTGGGGAGAGAAATGTTAATTGCATGCTTCACAACTGAAGTAATGCATGTGACTGCCTTTCAGGGGGTTGGACTAGATGAACCTTGGGGTCCCTTCTAACTCTGTTTCTATGATTATCTGAGTGTCTAAAAGCCACCCCTCCCCCCAGTAAGGCCATTAAGTCCAGCATCTAAAATTACCTGTTTGCCCCAATTGTGCCTTTGAGGTATAATGCAGCCATCGTGGCTAGAAGCCAATGACAGTCTTATCTTCCTTGAATCCATCAAATCCCTTTTTTAAAGCCATCAAAATTGGCCAGACCCTTCACTGCTACATTTTGTGGTCACAAATTAAGAGTTTAACTTTGCATTGTATAGCAGAGCACCTTCTTTTGCTTCGCCTTAGTCTTTCACAGTTTCACTGGGTGGCCCAAAGTTGTATTATGAGAAGGTGCACGTTGTGGATAAGAGTAGTTTTTCTCCATCTTATATACCTGTATCATGTTCCACAAGTAATCACCTTTTTTCTACAGCATGCCCAAACAGTTTAGTGCAAAAATTCAAATGGCTGCCCCACTGAGGTAAGGCTTTACTAATAATTGAGGGAACTACCCCTTTGCTGTCTTTTAATAGTACCCCAAACTCCACCACCTGAGGCAGGTGACCTCACCTGGACTGGCTCTGATTTAAAGAAACCTTCAAGAACTGGGATCTCTTACCTCCTCCTTCCTGGGGCTTTCTCTCCTCTTAAGGCAGCGTGAGCAAATGGCTGGTTTGCTTGCTTTTGGCAAAGTTCATCCCAGTCAGTAAGAGTGTTCCTTCTACTCAGCCAGAGCCAAAACAAGGAAAAAGGGGGTGGGAAGGCCATGGAGGTCAAAGGAGAATGACCAGCTGAAGCAGGTTAAACAAAGAGGGAGGCCAAGCAATGTTTGATCTGAGAGGAGATTTAATGTTCAACTCGATGTGGGAATGTCAGGATATATACTGCACATACGAAACTGCAGATAGACCCAGCAGCACTGGAGAAGCAGCAGCGGGAGAAAGTAGCTCTGTTTTATTTCTTAAAACTATTCTTCGTTCATTTTGTTGAAAACACGCAATATGAATAAAGCAATGTAATCCTACTCCTTTTTCCTGGGAGAAAGCAGTTTCGCAAGCCAGCCCACCTCTTTGCAACACATGGCCTTTCCTGGTCTTAAAGGTGGCAGCTATGGGATGACAACATAGAGAGGAAGGGAACACCCAGCCAGCCTGCTTTTAAGAGCACTCACATGAGAAGCATGCCTACCCCCAGAACGGTTTCATAAAAATAAGTATTGCTTGCACCAGCACCTGCAGATATAACAAAATGGCCATGCCGGGGAGAGGACTGGAAGGTGTAGGTGGACTAGCCCAATGACTGGGATGGGAAGAAGATGGGGAGACACAGGGCCTGCCTGCATCATGCATTTCAACTGCTTTAATAGAAGCTCCATCTCCCTGGGAACTCAAAGAGCTGTATTTCTGTTAGGAGGGCTAGGAATCCCCCTCAGGCAATGCTCAGGACCTCAACAAAACTATAGTTCCCAAGACACTTTTTGAAGAACCTGCAAGTTATGCACTGTTCTTGGTTTGTGCCTGTGACAGAGTTGGGAGTCTGGATTGTGTTCGGTTGATTTTTGGCTGCATACAGTGTTGTGGAGGGTGGGGTGATTAAAAAATCAATCCTCCCATCAGACTGAGAATATCTCCTCACTCACCCAGTTTAAGATATTCCCCCATTCTTCAGCAGGGTTTCTTTTCTTTCAACAAAGTAAGAGGCTCACATATCTGTCAAACAAAGCTTTCATAATAAAGAAAACTGTCACACAGCAACATAGTGTTTGAGAGAAACTAAAACCACATGATGAGGCAATAATGAGAATTTGTCTCTCTAACTGAACTGAACTGAACACCCCAAGAGAGGGGCCAATTCCAGAGCACAACACAAAAGTCCCGCCCACCAGATGCCAGACATTATACTATTCAAATTAGGCCCCAGTGTTTTCCTTACATACACACCATGCCCTGAATGCACATGCGTGTGTGCACACCCACCCACCCAAATTCTGGGCACTGTAGTTTACCTCTCACAGAGTTAAAATTCTCAGCAACCCTTAGCAAACTAGTGCACAGAAATCTGCTTCAAATGTGCTTTAAATGTATAACCCACATGCAGCCTGTAATGTATGTTTTGGGTAGGAGGGTTGCAAACATATGCAATTGTTCAATGGACCAGTGTTTGGTTTGTGCTGCTGGGCTCTGAATACTTAAGATTGTGCAATATTTGAGCATGTTGATGAAGCCCTATCTTCTCCAGAAGCAAGTCTGCAGAAATAATGTGATTAGCAGACTCCTAGTTTCAATCACATTTCTGAAGATACTGTGATCTGCAACTTTCAAATGTCATTTCCAACATCAAGCCTTACAAATGAAGCTTATTTAGCTAGCCAGGTAAATGGTAGTAGCAATCCTATTGTTAACATCACTGCCTTTAACATTTTTGAGCTAGGTTTGCAGCAGTGTAATTGGCTAGAGACCCAGGCTTGTGGAGGGGGTTTCCTAGGAAAGCTACCCTCAGGACTTCTCCTTAGTAACCCCCACTCCCATGTGCTTGTTTGCAGACCAGCAGGTGGCCTGCCCAACAGTTAATGGCAGGGACAGCATCCTCTTAGCACTCCCCCCCCTTCCTGCCATAGGATTAGTGGGCTCTGATGAAACTCTGTGCTTGCCAGAGTATGCTGTGCATCTGAATCCTCTGGTTTTGTTTCATTTATTTTTATATGCTTTCATGTGTTCTTCATATTGCCATTTTACTTCTTTTGGAGTGTGTATTTAACAACATATTTGTTTTCACACTGTAGAAGACACACTTGAGGAAAGAAATAACTCAAACTAAAAACATGTTGATAGCAACAGCTGTCAAACCCGCAACCTCCAAGCAAATCACAAAGTCAATGAGCTCATTGCCTTGGAGTCTTCTTTATTATCACCAGCATCACTTGAGACAATTTTTTTATTTTATTTCTTGTTAAATATACCTCTGCAGGGCACAATCACATACAATCAATACGATTGGTAAATTACATGAGCTCTATCCCAAGCATATATGCACCAAAATGTCAAAAAAGTTATTAAAAAATGAACTCCACCCAAAAAGGTGATAATGACTTAAGAATGTCTCGGGGAGACTGGTACAATCCTAAAAAGACCAAAGGAAACTTGGCTTAACACCCCCACCCCACCCCCGCACACAACCATAAAGAATGCACACAGATATAGAGGAATCCCACAACTGGAAATGGCTTGGGAAGTGCGAGAGAGGCAGGTTTGATGAACAAAAACAGGGAGTGAAATCTAGATCGAAGGCTGCAAGTCCATCAAAACTAATTTTAAAATGCCACCATGCTGCTGATAAGGTCGCCTTGAAGGAAAGGGGTCCATGGCTAGCAAAGAGGCTGCTTACATAGCAAGCAGAGACTGTAAGGCAATTGTAAACTCACAATAGGCAGCAGAGACTGAATTTAGGGATCTGTACAGAGCCTGAAACTGTGATCTGTCAAGACAGCCGGCAAAAAAGGGGGCACTGCCAGTCCTGCTCCCCACTCCTAGCTGCCTTTATCTAGTGCTAAGCTAGGGGGATCTCCCTAACCAAATCCAGCTGTGGGATTCTGTTCCAGTTACACAATCTGGTTTTGGATGCCAAAGACTTGTGAGTATTGTCTGCCACAACAAACTAACATTAACGACAAGAGGGCACAGGGGGTGTCTTCTTGCAGACATCCCATGAATTCAATGGGACTTGCATGTAGAAGACAACCCCGCTTACAAATGGTGCCCAAAGTCACTTTAACATACACAGAAGCAAACAAATTTTGTTTATAGCAAACACCAAATACTCCACAGGATTCTGTTTTTTATATATATAAAAGATATGTATACATGTAACATCAGCATATCTAATACTTTTGAGAGAGAAAGAGAGAGAGAAAGAGAAAGAGAAAAGAGAAAGAGAGAGTCTCTGCATTTAAGCATATGTTTTTCTTTTGGTAAAAAAACCCCAAACTTTTGCCTCCAAAATTAGATACTTTTTTGTATGTGGGGAGAAAAGCATCAGGCGGTCATAAATACATAAGTTATTTAGATATAGGCAACATCAGAACAGAAGCTACCCAGAAAATGGCAACTGTAGGTATTAAGGAACTTCTAAGATACTATCATAATGAAAGCTGAGAGTGTTTGCTGTCTTTCAGAACCAGAGCCTTACGCTTGTAGCTTAAGAAATCAAAAAGCAATTTTTTTGCCATAATAAATAATTAAAACACTGTGAGTCCATTGGAAAATCCAGCACAATGTTTACCACAGGAATCCCATTGAAGCAGTGAAGGAAAGGAGCCATTTTCTTCTCCTTGTTACTTTGGATGTCATCAATATGTCCTCTCAGTGAGCAATCCTTTCAATAAGTACAGAACTGTCTCTGGGTTGATTTGGTGAAACAGGAAATAATTTGGTGTATTTAAATGATGAATATTAGGCAATTGATCCTGAAAAGGATGGAGGGCCCTTCCTCCAGAGCTGCGTATCAACCCAAGACCAGCAATTACACCAGAAACCATTTGGTGATGCAGGGACATAGCTAATCTCATGCAATTTAGTTTACTCAATCAAGGCCATTGCTTTGAGTGTGTCTGTTTAAAAGCACAACTGTGAATTTTGAAAAGATTCATCTGTTGTGTTTTCCATATAGGGGAGTGGGAGAAAAGAATTGGAGGTGGGAAATTCTGTACCAGAATCTCAGTAGCTTGGTTTACACATTACATTAAATCATAATGTAAAAAACCCTATTACGTCATGCTTACTTACCGTGTTCCTGCCACAGATAAAACAAGCCAGACTCTGGGTTGTTATACTGTCCAAACCTGGGCTTGTGGTTTGCTTCCTCCAAATAAACCGCGAGTGGCAAGCCTGGAACCAGTCTTGGTTACAGCTCATGGTTTGGAGTAAACAAACCACAGGCTGGGTTCAGAGAACATGACCAGCCACGTTCTGGCTTGTTTTATCTGTGGTGTGGCGACAGAAGCAGGGAGAAGTGCCACTGGAACTTGTGAGCAACATGCAATGCCCTGCTCCTCATTCACACAAAACCAGTTTGTTTTACACTGAGATATAGAGTCCTGTGTTAACTGGACCCTATCAAGCTAAACCTTTGCATTACAAGAATGAGCCTCCACATATCCTGAGCTTATGTACTCAATTCCTCCTCCAGAATGGTGGCAAGGAGATGACTAGAAGTTTATTCTTCCCATTCAGATGAGCCAGTTTATCGCTTGTCCAAACCGTATACAGTAATTAAACTTAACTATGATTCAACGACAGAAGCCTGGCTACTAAACTATGGCTTGAAGCTGGCTTGTCTCAAAAAAAGGGGTAAGAAAAGAAAGTTAAGATTAAGCACTTTTTCTTGGTGCAGACAACATGGGGTGATATTCTACTAAGATTTACTTAAATTCATTAAATTTAATGCACTATTAGAAGAATTACACAAGGACAATTTTTTAAAAGATGATTTCACTGCAATTTGGGTTGACAATAGATTTTATGAGTATAGCCAGACATGGGAATCTTCTGCCACCCACTCCTCATACTGTATGGTTCCCTAACCCCCTTCTCTTGGTGAACAAGGCTCATCTGTGGAAAAAATAATCCTTATGCCACTAGGTGGTGTTATAGTTATATGAATATTTTGAATAAAGGTTTAATTATTTTTATTACTTCCATCCATCTCAAAGCATTACTTAAGAATTTGCACTATATTTTGGGGGTTTTCCCATTTTCTGTGTGTATTGTGATTTAGTATATATTATTTCTAGTTTGATCCGTTTGTCATATGCTTTTATGATTTTGTATGTTACATTGGCCTAATACCAAATCAGTTATTGTGTAAGCTGCTACTATGGAAATTCCAACTTAGGTGTTTTACAGGTCCTGTTTTGCAAATATGATGTTCATTAGTCTTACGAATAAAATAAAATAAAATAAAATAAAAACATTTAAAAAATAATAATAGGACAAAGTCAGGTCCATTAATTTCAGTGGGTCTACTCTGCACAGAACTTCATGGCATGATGCAGTTAATCTAAAACTGAAAGCTTTTGAATGCCTCTTTGCAGCTGTTCCCAGGAGAATGCAAACTCAAGGCTTACACAGGCTTTTTCTTGTAATGCTAAACATAGTTTAGCACTATGTCTGAATGAGGCCACTGATATACCTTTTTAAGTTCTTTCTAGAGCAAGTCAGTACACAGATTTGCTTCATAAGATGGAGTCAACTGCTGGTATTAGTCATTCACTTTCCTATAGGGGGTGGAATTCAGTGCAGCACTAAGGCGATTGTTCCATCAACGCAAGCATTTCTTTCTGCCTGCCTAAGGGCTTCTTTTCCTCCCCTGCAGACTCTTCTAGGGGTTCTCTCAACCCTCCAGAGCTGGTTGGAGGAAGGAGCAGGGGGAAGGAAGCCTCATGACACTAACGTGCCCTGGCTTTGGTTAACAGAACCAGGTAGTTGAATCTGCCATTCATAATCAATTTCGTACTTCACAAGACACACTGTGCCAAGCAAGTATCTGGGGTTGTTGGACCACAGTTAGGTGATCCTGTCTGCCCCTTTAGATAGTCTGAGTATGCAGCTGCTAGCTTTCCTTCCACTGGTCTACTTGCCTACCATCCACTTCCATGTAAGCTAAAACTGTAGTCTGTTTATAACAACAGGCAGGGCATGGGGCCAGATGAGAGGCTCGGGATGGGAGATGCATCTGTGGTATAATTTCTTCTGCTGCCTCCAGATCTTAAATGAACAGGTTGGATCTCAAGAATACAACTTGGCAAATCTAGCGCTGGAAAAAGTTCCCTTCCATAGACAGAAATATTTGCAAATGCGTAGAACATAATGTAAATTTCACTATGAACATACTGATGAGATACGGGGAAATGACTGAAGAGTGACCTCCTTGAGGCCATTTATTTTTAAAAAGCCCATGCCTGCTTAGTTAGTAGAACTATGAAACCAAGTGCTTTTGGATTACATATGCTTGTCTTTATGGATTCATGTATTAATTGGTCAGAATGAAAGAGGCTTCTATATAGCTTTGGACATGCAGAAAAATGGTATAATGTGTCTAAGATACAACTCAATACACTTTCTGCAGCCAAGTACCACAGAGCTACCTGTGCAGTGTGTTGGCATGCATTTGCTTCTGCATTTAACTACATCTGGTGCTACTTCTACTAAAATTCTTCAAGCTTCCTTATATTTATTTTTACTAGACCTCAATAGAAAATTTCAAGCAGGAATAATGACAGTAAACAATAACTTTTTCATAAGCCCTTTTTTGTTGCAAATTGTAACTTGATGTGTGATGGGAGAGTATTCAAGCATTAAAAAAAATAGAAAAGGGGATATATAAATGGCTGCAAATTTAATGAGGCTTAAACACACCACTTCCAAAATCTAATAATTTATCATCACTGAATGTATTTTTGTAAGGCTCAACAGTCATAAGCTTTTAGACATATTTACCAGTGTTAAGAGCTGAAAACACAGAAACCAAGTTCAATAAAAACTGGCTAAACCAGTAGGATGAATAAAATAAAAATACCCCACCCCCACCCCACCCCAAAAAACCAACACCCAAGAGTAAAGCACAAGTCTTTGGCTCTCCTTGAACAAAAAGCAAACAAAACCAAAAAAAACAAAACCAAAAAAAGGTATTTCCCACATTTATACAGACCCCCCATTTGCCTACCAGTAGGGGCAATATCACGTTTGTGCATCACTGAGTAATAACACCATTAGAAAAAGGCAACTTCACAGAAGTTATTGGCTAAGCGAATTCATTTGAATGCTCTATTTTGAGGCAGCAAGCTTTTGACTGGTGCATGATCAGGGAGGGTGACAGGCACATCTACAGAAGGAAAAGGAACAGAAGCAGAAGAAGCTAGAGCAGTTAAATTAGAATGGGTACTGCAAAAAGCATTTAAGTTATCCTGTCAATCCTTCATAAACCTTTTACGGAATTAAATTTTGCTCTAACCGCCAAGGTTACCTAGGGCAACAAAGGACATCCAGCTCAAAATGTTCTAATAAGGTTTGAAGTGAACAGGGTGTTGTAAACAACAAAGTGGAAAGAAAGGAGTAATCTACAGAATTGATCATTAATAACAGCTATTAAAATTGTATGCTAAATGTATCAGAGAAAAATAAGCCAAAACTTAAGCACAGTATACAGGAACAGTGGAGGAGGAGGCTGTAAAGGTTTGTTGACTATTGTGAAATACATCTATGTCTGTTTGCCTATTTCCTCATTGCTATAAGGCATCCAGAGTACAAAGGTTACAAAGCTAGCGTCAAGAGAAGTGGAGTCTGGATCCCATGGACAGTTTAAAGCCCAGTGTGTTATGATGTTTCTCTTAAAACAGAGAGAAACCGTATGAAAGGGGGGCGGGAACTAGTCCACTGGTGAAACAGCAACACCAGCAGACGTCTCTCTATTTCTCAAGCTTATGAATCTCCAAGCTCAAAAGATTCAGAAAAGAGCTTTTTGAATGCCCCTAGAATATAGATATTTCTCAGGTTTCAATATTTTCTATGTCTCCTTTACAAAGAAGGAAGGATTCACTGCCAACCAGCTCCTTACCTTAAATAGTGCTGAAAAGTCCTAGCAAACTAATTTAGGAAAACTAATTATAAAGGAACAAACTAGATGAACTACAGAATTAGATTCTTCTACTTGAAAGCCAGTACACTTCACCAAAAAGTCACTGAAAAACTTAAAGCCTTTTCCTAATTCCTTATGTGCTCACCTTTGTTGAGTAAATCTTTGCACCAAAAAATGAGGGAAACAGGAAACTCAGCCAAGATCAATGTGGTTTGAAAAGATTAAACAAAAACCTTTGCTTGTGCAAACAGGACATTAACCTGGATAGGACACTGTGCACAGAGTACAGCCTGGGTGGGGGGGATGACACAAATATTGAGAGATCTAATTCTTAAGCTCACATTCAGAGCGTGTACTTTTATAGTAGAAGCTTCTCAGTATCAGCAATGGCATTTTCCTCATGTTCTGCCCATTCTTCCACGTGCTCAATGAATACACCCATGGCAGGGTGATTAAGCCTCTGTACAAACTGCTTTTTGCAATGTCCCTAAGCAAACAGACAAGCCTCGCCATATACACTTTGTACCCCCGTGGGCAAATTTCACAGACTAGTGAATGCACGTAGATCAGGGTGGCTGGACTTGCCGCCATGATGCTGCTCCCCTATACCAAGGGTGAACCATCTTTTTGGCCCAGTGAGGCGGATCCTTCTCTCTCCCTCCCCTTGGGCCAACGCGGACAAGTGGGCGAGGCCACCCACCCTCCTGTCAAAGTTGGCCCACAGAGGTGCAAAAAGATAGTGAGCAACACATCAGCTGATGCAGCAGTAGTCCCACCTCGCCTTCTGCAGGCTTTCTGCGTGCAGCTGTCGGCTGGGTGGGGGTTGTCCTGCTTTCTGCAAAGATCAACTGCCTGTGCTGGTTGCCTGCAGAGGGTGAAGCAGAAACCAGTCAACACAGCGGCACCAAGCAGGACGGAGGTCCACCTCCTATCAGGTGACGCCACCTGCTCACCAGAGTGACGTCACTTGATTGTCAAGTGGGTGTGCTTTATGAAATATAGTCTCATGGGCCAAATTAGAATCTTGGACAAGCCCAAATTGACCCATGGGCCAGAGGTACTCCACTCCTGCCCTTTATGCATGTTCACAGTATGCACATTAAAATGACTGAGAAGTGCTGAAGTCTCTCTTCCCTGAAGTTAGAAAATTTTCTGTAGATGAAATTATTCTAACAGAAAGCCAATTTTTCTCTTTTTCTAAGTTAGGCTCTCTCTGGAGGGGAGTCTTTAAAAGATTGCTACATAATTTATGTACAAGGTTAACTAAATTTTGTTTTCTTGCAAACAAAGATGATATTTTGGGCTAGGCCCTTCATAGACCTGATTCATTCAAAGGAGTTCCTGTGTTGTGAGAAATAAGAATAATAGTACTTACAAGCAAAGTTAGCTTGTTTCAGTGCTCTCCTGATATTACTCTTGCTTTACCGCACCAGGAAAAGCAGAAAGGTGTGATGGGCTCCCTCAAGTGAACAATTTTCATCAAGAAAAGAAAGTATTTCTATCTAGACTTCAGTGGAAAGCAGGGCCAGGGGAAAGAAAGGTAGTGCAAAAGGAGAAAAAAAATTCTCATGTTAAAATTCTGATAGAGTGGTGTGTGAAGTTAAGAGAAGCTGAAGATGATTGTTAAAATGCCTTTGAGATATATTTTCTCAGTGCCTCTACCTCCCAGATGTTTTATAACAGCTGCACTCATGTGAAAAAATTCTTAAAACATACCCAATATATATACAGATATAACTACATATATGTGTATATATACATACATATATAGATAATTTTTATTTAAATAAAAAAATGAATGCTCGAATCCCAAGCCAATACATGTATCAAATTTTTGGCCAGCCAGGTCTGTAGGGCATAATCAAATTCAATGTGAAATAGTATATAAATGCGGTGCCTTGACTGGGCAAATTAAATAATCGCTACTCAACAGAGTCTTCTGCTTGGACTCTCCTACTGGTAGGCAACAGGGGGGCTGTATCCCCCCATTTTGTTCAATGTAACAGTAAGACAGATGCAAAATAGCTGAAGGTTGCTATGACCTCAACAAGGGTTTAAGGGAAGAAAAACAACCTAAAACAAGATTAATAAACTTCTGCTTTTACCCAACCAAAGCAATGCTTCAACTTATTACATAACCAGTGCTTTCTGAGTTTTAGTAGTCTAATCCATATGGGAGAAGTAGGCTTAAGAGATGTGTGGGAGCTTTTGCAATGGTTTCCACTCGGAGCATCTCTACCTACATATAACTTGGAGGGAAAGAGGAGGAAGTCAAATTATGCACAGCACAAGTAAGACCACTGCCTGCAACAGTGGCATTTTAAGGACAATCTTAAATGCAATGATGTATGCAGCAAGAAGAAAGGTTTTCATCCCCTCTAGATCCTGAAGGGTGTTGCTGTTGAGACAGAGTTGCTGAAAGTAAATCTAAGGAGTTCTATTATCTTGTCAATCTCTCCCATTACTCAGAGAAGCCTTCACTTTCAGAGACTGAATACAGCAGGGATAGGCAACTTCCCCTCCCAAGACAGACCAGGGACAACCAAAAGCAGCTTCGGATGCAATAAAGATGCAGAGGGAAACACAAAGTAAAGGGCCTGCACTTCCTGTCTTCTTGCTTCTCTCCATCCCACCCAAACTATAACTTCTACAGTTCTCATCTTGGGCAGATGCAGCAGCTTTCCCTGCATTAGGATATCATGCAGTCCCCATCCTTCCCAGAAACAAAAGTTAACACAGAGGTTGTGCTTTAGACCTGACAAAGAAGCAGAGAGACCCAAATTTCTCAACCTAACCCATCTCTGACAACTGAAGCCATTCTACACTGCAGTTTAGGCGTTGTTTTTAATCTGCAATGGCTGCCTTTCGAGCGTGCTGGGATCAATCAGTATTAGCCAATTTATGCTGCCTCACCAGAAATGGAACAGCTATTTCATTCTTATTCATGTAAACAGATCTGCTTGTTGAGGTGATGAATGCTTTACATGCTTTACAAACTGAAGTTAAAAACCTACCATGCTTAGAAAAATACAATGGATAACGGTGATGTACTAGCATGCTTAAAGAGAGTTACTTTCAGAAACTCTGCAACACATTTTCTGACAAGGCAATTGAGAGCTTCCTCCTCCATTGCAACACTTCCTATTTTCTTTTCAAACTCACACAAAGCAGTGGTGAGTGAGACTGTTTTGAAGGGAGAAGAAAAGAGGAAATTATACACTGGGTATGTAATAATACCAAAATAAAAGAGAAAACCTACCTCATTAAGATCATACAATTAATCAAACAGAGTGTGTGTATATATATTTATATATATAATATCTGTTTCTTTTAAAGCCCTGGCATTCAAGGCATCCAAAGTTATTAAAATAAAGTTCATTCACAGAACAAAAACAAATTTAATCTGAGTTGCTTGCAGATACTGCTAATTTTCATTTTTTTAATTAAAAAATGTGTTAATGTGAACTATGTGCAGGGTTTGTTCTAGTAGTGGTGTTGTGCACATTGTCTCAGGACCTGCCATTGTTGCAGCTCTTGCTCAGTGTCTCCCATTATATCCCAAGGAGGGGTGAAGGTGACCCCAGACGGAAATGGAGAGGTGCTTTTGTTCCTTCAGGGAGCAGATGTAGGTGTTGCTCCTGTCCTCTGGGCATCCAAGTCGCCTCCTCCCGCTTCAGTATCTTCCGACAAGCTCAGAGCTGCAGTTTTGCTGGAGAGGAGGCCAATGCTTTCTTGCGCTGGAGCTGCTCCATTTGGAACATCACTGCTGAAGAAGGAATGCCAAAAGGGGAAATTAACAGTGAAGACAGTCAGGTAGAGAAAGAAAGAAACTGAATAAAGTTTTAGAAAAAGAACAATATTGAGAAGACATCTTGAATACAGTTGGCCATGGTGTTCCAAGTGGCCACTATCAATGACAATCAAAAGATCAGTACCGTCTGGTAAAATACAGAGTACTCTAAATACAAATTCAGATGAAGAGAGATTATACATTCTGAAGGTAGTGGAAATGGTTTTAACTGACATTTGCTGCGTTCCACTGTATCAGTTTTCTAGGCAAGGCACGTGGGTGGAAGCAAATTCCACATATAGTCGCACCTCGGAAGTTGAACGGAATCCATTCTGGAAGTCTTTTTGACTTCCAAAATGATCGGAAAGCAAGGTGCGGCTTCTGATTGGCCGCAGGAAGCTCCTGCAGCCAATTGGAAGCCGCGGAAGGTGTTCGGGTTCCAAAGAACACTCTTTGGAACACTCACTTCCAGGTTTGTGGCGTTCGGGAGCCAAAACGTTCGAGTCATAAGGCATTCACTGACCAAGGTATGACTGTACTTTAGAATGCATTTCTATGTTTAGACATAAAACAATAATAAATCACTGAAACAAACGGAATACACAAGAAAAAGAGAATATCTTGCCATGTTTATTTTAACATCTTTAATCTGCCTTGTTAAATTGCATCTGTTTGGACCTTCCATCTCCATTTAGGGAGCAGTACACCAATAGTGTAGTATGTTACAACCACTAGAAGAAGAAGAGGAGTTTGGATTTGATACCCTGTTTTATCACTACCCTAAGGAGTCTCAAAGCGGCTAACATTCTCCTTTCCCTTCCTCCTCCACAACAAACACTCTGTGAGGATAAGTGAGGCTGAGAGACTTCAGAGAAGTGTGACTGGCCCAAGGTCACCCAGCAGCTGCATGTGGAGGAGTGGGGAAGTGAACCCATTTCACCAGATTACGAGTCTACCGCTCTTAACCACTACACCACGCTGGCTCAAAGCGGAGCATAGACAGAGGTGGTAACTGGGCAAAATAAGTTTGACAGGCTACTGTGTGCTCTGTGACAGCATATATTTGCATGGTGATAGTGCTCCTGTTGTGACCCACCTTGGATCAGGCTGTGACCCACCAGTTGAGGACCAGTGCTATTACCTGAATGTAAGTGCAACATCCTCAGCTGGTACCTTGCTTTGCTGTCCATTTTCTGTCTGCTTACTGGCACTCACTTTGCTTTTCACTTCCAATGAAGACTGACTCTCCTGGGGAAAGAATAGGAATACCTACAGTTCACTAAATGTAAGTAAGATGTTTTCTATGCTTGTTTCACAGATGAGAAATAGGATAATTGTAAAACCACTGCACAGACCAACTGACACAAAAGCCGCAGAGCAAGGGAACACCTGAGAAATACCTGCCCCATCCATTTGTTCAGGATACACAAAAGCACATGTATCAAGCAGCAAAGGCTAAAGCATTCTATCATCGCAGGCTTCAAAACCACTGCCCCATTTCCAAATGCCAACTAACAGGTGTGGTGCCCAGGCTGCAAGACAGTGCGCATGCAGTGGTACAGTTTTGAAGAGAAACGGCAGAAGCTCATCATGAGATTTCCTAGCCATGCTCCCTAAAGGTAAAGGTAAAGGTACCCCTGCCCGTACGGGCCAGTCTTGCCAGACTCTAGGGTTGTGCGCTCATCTCACTCTAGAGGCCGGGAGCCAGCGCTGTCCGCAGACACTTCCGGGTCACGTGGCCAGCGTGACAAGCTGCATCTGGTGAGCCAGCGCAGCACACGGAAACGCCGTTTACCTTCCCGCTAGAAAGCGGTCCCTATTTATCTACTTGCACTTTGACGTGCTTTCGAACTGCTAGGTTGGCAGGCGCTGGGACCGAACGACAGGAGCGCACCCCGCCGCGGGGATTCGAACCGCCGACCTTTCGATCGGCAAGTCCTAGGCGCTGAGGCTTTAACCCACAGCGCCACCTGCGTCCCCTGCCATGCTCCCTAGGAGAGTCTAAATATGTAACCGTGTTGATCCATTTTATGATAAATGCCCAATTTTATAGGGATCAGCTGACAATTATATAATAGTGAGCTGGCAAAGGTGGTGTAGTTGTCAGCATATGGAATTTGGCCGGGGAGACCTGGGCTCATATCCCTGATCTGTCAGGTGACATGACCACAATCTGATGTACTGGTGCTTACTTCTGACTGCACGTGTTCAACTTGTACCACACACTAAGAATTAACAAAAAGATATTTAGTCTGCTGAAATGCAGCCTTTAGCTTTCAATTAGAAAGACATGCAATCATGCAAAGTAATATTACTATTTAAACTGCTAGTGTGAGGTAGGAATACCCACAAGGGAAAGAATACCTGCCCTCTGCTTGAATACTTTCCTCATTCTCCAATTTACTTTATGCTAATCTGTCCCAAATAGTAGTACAACTTGAAAGTCTCGTTATCTCCTCATTCACTTGCCAAGGGGGGGCAGGGGTGAGTCTTTCAATTACCCTGGCACTCTAACACTATATAATATATGATAAAGGAAAACAAAGCCCGAAAAGCTACAGAAGTCAGAATATTTAAAATCACTGTAGTCTCAAAAATAAGAAGAGTTAACACTGGCAGCTGTTATCTAGAATAACACCTTTGTGTGAAGAAGCACAGCAACTCACCCAGCAGCAGCAGCAGTTTCTTTTTCAGTCTCCTCTGCTCACCCTACAAAACACTCACCATGCTCAGCTCCCGGGTTCTCTTCCCGATCTCCCTCTCCACCTGGTGCAGCTCCAAGCTCAGCTGTTCACTTGAGATCATTCCAGGCCACTTAGGAGGTGGGGGCTGCGGCTGGCCTGCCAAGGGGGTCGCCTCCCTCTGCAACAGCAGCCTGTTACTAACAGCCTAAATGCATAAAGCGAAGCACATACACAACTGAGCACAGAAAGAACACCATGCAGACATGAGGATGAGGCCAAAATTCAGGAGTATTGCTTGGTTCCCAAAACCCAACCTTCCTTCCTCTCATGTGAAATACACAAATTGGTCATTACTCCCAAGAATGTTTCACACACACACATGAAGATAATCTTAAATCAGAAATACAGTTTGTGAAACATGCAGCCCTTTCCCCAAGCTTTGTGAACAATCTTTCATTTCAGCTTGTAGCATGGGTGGCGATGACTGGATCCATGCTCTAAAAAGATGTGAGACAGAAGCAAACAGCACTGACGTAAGACGTTCATTGCTGAATCAGGCCAAGGGTTCATTTAGTTCAGCACTCTCTTTCTGGGAGGAGGCAGCCAGGAGAGTCTGGAAAGCTCACAAGCGAGAAAAGATAGCGAGCACCATCCAGCTGTTTCCCCAAAAATTCAGAGATATACTTGGAACACAGAGGTTCCATTTAACTGTCACAGTTATTAGCCATTAAGAAACCAGTTCTTTGTGAAGCTATCCAAGCTAGATGCCATCACTCCTTCTTGAGGTAGTGAATCCTAAAAGGTAATTTGATGTTGTCTGAAGTACCATGTTCTTTTCTCTGTTCTGTCCCTACAGTCCACAGATTTCATTGCGTGACTGAAAGAGAAGCATGGTTGTGTCTCCTGTTTAAACTTTTTGAAAAAATCTGACATGTGCAGGGATTGGCCACCTTGCTCAAGGCGTCTCACTGATTGTCTGTAATCAAGTTTACTACATGCTGGTGCTATGGTGGAGCTGAAACCAAGCATCTGACTATAGTCCTGAGACCCCCCTCACCCACATCCTGGTTTCGAAGCAGTGGCTTTCTGTGATTTCTTGGAAGCTTACTAGAGGTTACTTAATGAGAAGGAGGTGATGGCAGTTAAGCTTCCTTAAAATATAGTTTCCCTATCACCAGTGATCTTCCCTTGCAACCTGTAGTTGCAGGAGTGGGGCTCATAATTTAAGAAGTGCTCATAAAGGGCAGCAGTGAGGCCAAATAGGCTTGGTAATCAGCTGGCTGCATCCTAGAACATGCCCCATGTTACTGAGCAGTGCACAGGAGCCTGCAGCAAATCATTCAATGTTGAATGAGTTGCTCCTAGCCTGAGAACCACTGTTCTAAAACGAATTATTTCTGCCTAATTTGCACTGATCTGGACCTAGCTGAACAAATAAAATAAAAGCATGTTGGTATCTAAATGACATCTGCAATTAAGAATTGAATTATATACGTATATGAAAATGTGTTTGAATGATTTCATCTTAAAAGTCTTGGCACTGAAGCAATATTTCAGAAATGTCTGTCACAAAACAGTTACAAGTCTCTTTGGTCTTTGTTTTTAACTTGCATATTATCTAGTGCAACATTAGGTAACTAAAACAACAAGAACAGAGAGTAACAGTCATGTGGGTATTTTCAAACCACCCAATACTCCTCCATTGCACCATCAGCAAAGGCATGCATGCCAAAAGTAAGCACCGATTTCTCTTTTATTCTTGAACAAGAGCACAATATTGCCAACAAATGCATCTTGCACACGGTGGATAAAAATCAATGATTTTTTTAAAAAATGGGTTTTTTTTAAAATTAAATTGGATTTTTTTGATTTAAATCAGATTTTTAAAATAAAATGCTTTTGGAGGAAAAATCTTTTTAAGGATAGTTTTCTATTTAAGTTACATTATAGTCCAAATGCTATTCATCAGGAAATAAGGATTTGTTTTAAGTTTTTCATGTGTGCTAAAACTCAGTCTAAGTTTTTTTTTTAATTGTTTAACCACATCAGTTAACAAACATGGATACATATGCTATAATATTATTGTTTTAGTTAAATATTTTTTTAAAATTGTTATTAAGGAAATGATTATTTTTCTCCTTCCAATAAAATACAGCAGAAAGGTTGTCCAAATATAAACAATAATTTCATAATTACCTGTCTTTGTATTTCTAATAGTATAACCAAATCAGTAATTTTTGATAGAACTGTAAAAACTACTCTGAAAATTTATTATTCCAAAAATGAAACCTTCATCTGGTTGTAAATATTAAGATTATACCAGCAAGAATGAGTCTTTCTGTTAAAAAATGATTAAAATCAAGTCTTACTGACTAGAAATTTAAATCGATTTGATTTAAATCAAATCCACACTGATCTTGCATCTATCATTCTTTTCAGGGAACCTACCAAGTTCATAAAAACCACCTGACTTTAGGAAGTCAGACCTTCCTAAAATGAAGACTGCTTGTGATTGCCACTGCAGAAAACCTGAATTGAGGTAGCTGTAAACCCCCAAATAGGCAGCCATGATCCTTCACTGGTTTACTTTGCAAGAACACTCCCGTTCTGGGATGACTATGAGCTACAGGTATCATTAGTGTTCATTGCTGTTGTCAGAAACATAAATTTTTCACCCTAAGAAATCAATTCAACTGTAAGATATACAAGATGACTTTTCAATAAATTGTGTATAGCCATTGTTCAGCCTTAGACAGTTTGGGAAGATAAGGCAAACAAAAAATTATATAGGAAGCTCATTACCCAATATACCACTACTTTGAAGACCAGAAAAATACAACAATAAAGTGTGTGTGTGAGGGGGGGGGGATATAAAAGAATACAAAATCGGAAGTCTTTAGGCAACAGCAGTATTGGTGCCAGCATCTTTTGTAACTTTTAACCACACTTGAAATTCCTAAATGTTATGAAAACATATATAACAGAATCAGAGGAAAATAAATTATATTCCCACTGTGCGCGCGCTCTCTCTCTCTCTCTCTCTCTCTCTCTCTCTCTCTCTCTCTCACACACACACACACACACACATCCAGTTTCTCAAGTCCCTTACTGCAAAATGACTGGGGATACAAGCACCCACCTCCAGTCCTCGTGTCTGCTGGCTAATCTGATGGTTTAGCTGCTGCAGTTCAAGTCGAAGCTGCTGTTCCCTCTCAGATGAGGGCAAAGGCTTCCCATGGCCAGCCACGTCTGTCATAGACAATCTCTCCCTTTGATGACAGAGAATTTATTTGAAAAAGAAGCAAATGTTTCAGTTCTCTCTTTTCAAGGCGTTAGAAAAAACAAAATACTTGTATAGTATGTTCACCTAAACACAGCAGGTTTGGATACTCTTACCTGTCACTAGGGCGTCCCTGAGAAGAAGGTATGTTTTGATGGGGTGAATATGGCGAACCTCCCCATGCACTGTGTGTTTCATAAGGGCTGTAATCTACAAAGCAATTGGAAAGGTCTATTAAAAAGTGCTGATTCAAATGACTTAAATTAATGGCAGAGAAGATGAAGTTGCACAGTTGCTAAGGCAATGTACGTAATATTAACTGATTTTTCTTTGCTTTTGTGAAAAAAATGTATGTTGAAGAAAGTCTGCAAAAATACTGACAGACCAGGATCATATTTTCCTCTCCTTTTAAAACAGCCACCATAAAATGTTTGGTAGCTGGGATGGGAATGGAGGAAAAGAACAAAGAGCAGTTGAACAACACCACAGAGAATGTTGGAGACCTTTAAAATACCCATTCCAGCTTTCAAAAAAGAAAGATAGAACTGCAGAGGGAGCAAAAAAACTCATCACTTCTAGCCTGGGAGAAGACTGCTTACGTAGGCTAAAAGGGTATTGGAGAAATCTACCTACTAGGAAGGGACGCGGGTGGCGCTGTGGGTAAAACCTCAGCGCCTAGGACTTGCCGATCGTATGGTCGGCGGTTCGAATCCCTGCGGCGGGGTGAGCTCCCGTCTTTCGGTCCCAGCTCCTGCTCACCTAGCAGTTCAAAAGCACCCCCAAGTGCAAGTAGATAAATAAGTACCGCTTTATAGCGGGAAGGTAAACGGCGTTTCTGTGTGCTGCTCTGGTGCTGGCTCGCCAGAGCAGCTTCATCACGCTGGCCACGTGACCCGGAAGTGTCTGCGGACAGCGCTGGTCCTCGGCCTCTTAAGTGAAATGGGCGCACAACCCTAGAGTCGGACACGACTGGCCTGTACGGGCAGGGGTACCTTTACCTTTTACCTTTACCTACTAGGAAAGAATCATCTTCATGCTGACTTTTGCATAACATTTAGAATTTGCTTGTATGTCACTAAAAGGCTTGCTCACAGGTTTGCCACAGTGAGTATGCTGAATAAGTGGCAGTGCAGCAGGGCCATGTATCCAACTTGGTACAATGTATGTACCAAATGCCTCCATTTGCTTCTCTGCCCAAACTGCCCCTGAAATCACTGTACAAGGCAGAGCTCCCACCTACTTCATGCTGCAGACAAGCACTGGGACTCAAGGAGGAACTTCAGGCACACTCAAGGGTTTACGTCAGCTCACTGAGAATTGCTAAAAAGCCTCTCCCTGTGGCATTTCACAAACCCGTTTTTGGATTTCTCAATTTTTGAGAAATTTGCCACATGGCATACAGGCTTTAGTTGAAGAAGCACAGGTACAAACACCAACTAGCTGTGGAATGTCTCCCAAGGTTGTGGCTGAAGGGAGGAAGCCCCTACAGGAAATTCTAAATTATTAGCAACTCCTAATTCTACACTTCGGGACTGATGAAAGCCTAGTGTAGAAGAAAGCAGGCCTCCCAAGGGGTACGCTGCATACCTGAAATGTTGCCTGGCTTTGTCGATGCCCCTTGAACTGCCATGGCTTGCATGGGACCAGGGTTCTGATACATCGCCTTAGATGTACGTGAGATGGCACCGAACCTTGATACCGTAGGTCGATCTCCAAATGGAATAAGATCATCATCACCAGTCTCTGCTGCTCTCCTCTGCAAATCCAAACGCTGGTCTCGCATCCCCTTGCTATCCACGTTCTGGAGGGTGGACCCAAAGGGTAGGGAACTATAAGCAAGATTCTCCATTTTGACTGACTCTTCTCAGTAAGAATAAAATTATCATTTCACAGAGAACGGGGGGTGGGGCATATGTGCAGAAAGACTCTGTTCCAACAAATTTCTTTCAAAATCTAGACACACTTTAAAAAATATTAACACCTTCTAGGATTTCTCTTGGCCCCTTTAATATTTTAATATTCTATAATATTGTATAATGTGGCTGCCCAAACCACTACCAAAGACAAAATAAAATGTTTATATACTTCTGTTCTGTTGAAAGGTTATACCGTTGGAGCCCACTATTCTCCTTCCTCCCAGAATGCAGCATCTCTCACACAGCTGAGGATCTCCAAGAGGAGCAGAACACAGTCAGGGCTACATCCAACCCCGTTCTCCACTCCTGGTTAAGCCCACCACCACCACACACGCCATTAAAAAATGTTGAAATGCTGCCCTCATTTTACTTGAGTGTAAATGGAGTGGCAGAAAGACAGGAAGGGGGGGCGTTTTGGCTCAGCGCTAAACATGCACACACAGGTTGATGAAGGAGGCAAGGCTAGAGCAGCGGATCAGACAGAAACACAGCAAACGGCCTTCTCTGAGTAGATACTTTTTTCTCACACAAGTCTTTAATTCAAAACTAATTTTTCACAACACACAAACAGTTCTCTTGTGACCCATGGTTCAGAACCATAACACTAACTTCTAGCTCCATTCAGACAACAACATAGTTTAGAAAAAGACAAACAATGATTTGAGTCTTCAAATGCTCAACCAACCAACCAGCCATACTTTAGAGATGCTTGTCTGGTACTATTTTCACTTCTCTTCACACTCAGCATCCTAAGTTGACTCTCATTTCCATGGTACCTCTAGCTCAGAAACTACAAGCCATTCAAACAATGGTTGCAAATATTCTTCAGAGTACAGTCTCCAATTCTGTACTCTTGGTCAACTGCAAACCAATGTCTGTCAATTTAGATATCATGACAAACCATATGCAAGCCTTCTTGCCCATGGCTTTTAGAGCATGATATCTGATCTGAGCTCTGATAATTAGAAAAAGGGACCCAAAATTGCACTGCAACACCAGTAATGATCCAAAAGTGGTCCACACCTTTTAACAAATAGTCTAGAGCTAGGATTTACTGCATGCTAAAACCAACTTATTATAATCTGCCCTTCTGGTACAAGGTCCAATTTGAACAGCACCTCTGGCACCGATCGTTTGGTCTTCTCTGCATGCTTACCCCCATCTCAACAAGTCCCACTGCTGCTGTGTCTTTGGGTTTTGCATCTTTGGTTCCAATGTAGGAGCCAATGGTTTCACATGACCAGGGAGAGTACTGGCTGTAATCATTTCCTTTGTATTTGCCAGCTACCTTCATATCTTCATCTATATACTGCAAAAAAACACAAAAAAAGAATATCATTCAGTTATTGCAATAGTACTAAAATTAAAATTTAAAAAATCCTATGTGCCTCCACTAAACATCTGAATTGACTCCAAAATTGAACTTGAGACAAAGTGGTTTGAAAGTGTTCAGACACTTCCAGTCTGGCTATTGCATATGGTATTTCTTGCATAAATGTGCATAAAATGTAAATAAACGTGCCCAACATAGCAAGCCTAGTTAACACCATTCTAATATTTAATGGGAACATGAAATATAGCTGTTAATACAAAAAACCTTCAAATATAATGAGTGCACTCAACGTGCCACTAAAATTGGGTGGCCATTCTAGTGGACTGGCTTATTTAGAAGTCAGCTCTAAAACGGGAAACTGATGGCACAGTATTTCTCTGAAGCTCTCATTACTGTGCCTCTAGCCCAGTTCAGACATGCTGCATCTGAAGAATGGTGGGCAAGGGAGAGAACGCCTTCCTTCCCTACACAATCTGACAAGACCCTCCTGCTTCCCAAGCCACTGAATCTCCACATGTGGCATAACATTTAAATAGGGTGCACATCTTTAAAATCCAATGTGCATAGGCTCAGATCATGTGGACAATTCTTAGCATTCATCTGACATGCTGATCATGCTGTTCTGGCCAATGTATGTATGCACTCTCTCTCCTACACATGGTTGGATGCAGTGAGATTCTGGCAGGGCATGGTTCAAATGCACCTTTCTCCCTGCATATCAATTTACATACATTGTTCATTACCAGGCATGTCCAAAGTCTGTTTCGGGGGTCTAATCTGGTTGGTAGTTTATTTCCTGGGGGTAAAATCCCTGGAAAAGCTCAACAACTTCAATCCTAAAATAAGCTCAACAACCTTGGGGTAAAATCTTAATCCAACAACTTTGGTTGGCCCTCACACATGTTCACTTCATCAAATCTGCCCCTCTTTGAAAAAAAATTGGGCACCCCTGTTCATTACTAAACCTACTTCCATGACTACTGCTAAAGCAACTCAACAGCTATATTTTCAAAACATGTTCACCTCATCAGTGTGTAAAGAGTGAGGCAGAGTTGGTGATGGTGCAAAGGGAGGTGGGGAGATGACCTTCCTTTCCTCTAGCTGGGCCATGATCTCCTTTCGTCGTCGGTGCAAATCATCTAGACTGGGATGAGGCTGAGGGGGAGGCCGGCTATAAGGCTCCTGAAGACAGAATATCATTTTGAAAAATAATACTTAAAACGTTTAAAATTTAAGACACAATTATCCATTCTACAAGTGAATCTAAAGCTGAAGCCTACAATCCACAATTGTTAGATTTACATCAATGACAAAGCACGGAGGGGGTGTATTTTTGTCCAAATTTGAAGACTAGAATCCTTTATATTTGAGCAACATGCTCCAAAGGAGAAAGTAACTCAGTAATACAAACTGGTGAAAACATCAAACCATTGTTTATGAAAGTGGCTTGTTTCAACAACTGGTAGTTAAGAAGAACCACAGTCTTAAGGTTGAGACAGCACACTAAATTGTGATTTATCTAAAACACAAGTGGAAGCTTCCAACTTTTTTGCAGCTGTGCTAGAAGAGGTGTGGGGAAAGCAATCTATGGTTCATTCTCATACTGCTAAGTCGTAGCTTAGTGTGAACACAGCCATTTAAAAGTTCAGAAGAAAACAACGAAGACACTGAAAACTGTTAACATACTAATTTTAGCATGCACAAAGTGCTATGTAATAGATATATAGGTATTTCTTAAGTATATTTATATTAATAAAGTTATTTACAAGTTTCAAACCGCTTAGTGCATCCATTAATTAGACATGGGCAGTTTTCCACAGTGGAAATTATTTTGCAGAAAATGTTCTGGTCCACTGCTCCTAATAACTGCAGCTTTCAATTGAAAATATGCAACTTTTTAGCTCTTGTGGTTGCAAAGATACCCATCTAAATAAAAGAGCAATGTTTCCTGAAATCTCAAAAGCCACGTGAGTTGTCAAATAATATTTCCATACAAATCGAAATCCAACTCCTATAGAAGAACAGAATCATTCTGCTCCTCCAAAACTCTGAAGTTGACCATAATAGCCTCTGCAATTCACTCCAGAAGAGGACAGTATTCCCCCCTTGATTCTCTGCAGAAATTCAGTTCCAAGACAGAGACTATGCTCTGCACCCTGTGTGGCAAAGTCTCCAACTATGTGTAAGTAAAGAAGTCCCAGCCCTCAAACTACAGATCTTTGGGTGAGGATGTGCTAGAACCCCACTTTGTATGCCTCAAGACCTCAGAGTCAGGCTGGAAGAAAATATCATCTTGTTCCTCCAACAAAAACACCTGTTTCTGGAGTCTAAGCTGCCAGGAAGGAGCGAGTCTTTGGTCACTGTAGAAGTATCTGTGCTTCCAATGGAAGCTATGGTTCTGGTCTAGAATTTTTTGAGTGAGAATACACTGCAAACTTTATCTCCCATTTTCAGCAACTGAGGGCAAGCCCTCCCTGTCTGTATGTCCCACATGGTTAGCAGAGGCAAAAAGAAATGATAAAAAATAAATAAATGTATTTTTAATTATAAAGGTTGCAAATTTTACCTTTTGTTATTGTAGAATCTTAGTTTCTTTGATGTACATTTTTTTCTTTAAATGAAACATATGGGCCTGATCTAGATGAAAATCCCTACTTGGTCATGAACTTACTCAGTGGCCCTAATCAAGCCCAACTTTCTACTTCTCCCTTGTGTAAAATGGGATTTCATAGAGCTGCTGCAAGAATGAAGACTGTATAGCATTTCATAGAATAAAATGCCAAGCTCCCCTACAGACAGACAGACAGACAGACAGACAAACAAACAAACAAACAAACAAGAATTGACATATAGAACTCGTACCCTGTGATATGAAGGTCTGATCTGACTCAGATGTGGACCAACTGGATAGTAGCCTTCCATCTGCGGATATCTGTCTCTTGTTTCAGGTACATATGGAGACACAGCTGGTGGAGGAATTTCGATGGGCACAGGGCTTCCTCTGATGATTTCTTCCCTCTGGTACGGCTGGGGAGGGGGGTACATGCGCCGGCTGTCATAATGTGGAGGGTACATGGGTTGTCCCATAGGAGGATATTGTTGGGGCTGCGCACTGTACTGAGAATTCACCATGCGGTCCTGGAGGTATGGTGGGTAATGTTCTAAATAAGGAGGGCCTGGTTCAGGAACAGACGGCGGAGGTCGGACAAATCGAGACATACACTGCGAAGGCTGAGCTGCAGGATAATACACACCTAAATACACAAAATAAAATTTTGGAAAGGTGCTTTAAGGCAATTCACTCTTTCACACCTGCTTCAGAGAACGGAAGTGGCAATAATTTGTCACTTTAAATCTCCTTTTCACTTTATGTTTGAAGATGTTAATCCATTTTTTACCAAGTTACAGCTGTTTGGAAAGAGCTTGGAAACACTTTGCATTATAACAATAGATCATCACTTGTCTTAACTTTTGGCCAATGGTGTTTTATAAATTACCATGAGGAAAACATGTGGAAGCCTCTCAAGGAGCCACTGTAGCTATGGGCAATTTGGAGAGGTGTCTCTGAAAGAGTCCTCTCAGCAGTGATGCTAACAGGACAATTGCTCATCTACTGACCCTGCTTGGGAGTGTGTGGCTCCCTTAGACACTAGAAGGAGCAGGAGTCACCAGGAAGACCCTGCCCTAAGAAGCCAGGTGATGACAAGGGGGTTGCATAGGCAATAATGGCAACAATGCTGAGAGGGCTAGAATGGAACATAGCCTTTTCTAAAAACATTGGCAATATTTTGTGTTGAGATCCCACAGGAAAAAGGGATTGGTGAAGTTGTTGTTTGCCACATGCACATAGGAAAACAACTTAAAAAGGATTAGATTGTCATGAAAACTAGTGGGATGAGATAAAAGAACCTGGAGAAGGTGAGCAACTTTGTATCATAGGATTGTCACCTTTCACTATGTTTTCAAGGAATGGGTTAATTCTTGGGAGTGGTACCTATTTCTAAATAAATGGCTGATACTCAAAGAAACTTGTGAACTACCATCTGCAAGCGTGAATGCTTCCAGTTGGTGGCAGCAGTTTTCAACTCTGAAAGTTGCTACATCGAGCCAGACAGCTCTCTTCTGGCTTGATGAAATAAAATAAGGCACTGTATTTTTCACTCTATAAGACGCACCCAACCATAAGACACACCTAGTTTTTAGAGAAGGAAAACAAGAAAAAAATATTCTGAATCAAATGTTGTTGAAGAGGCTTCACGCGGCTATCCCTGAAGCCAGAACAGCAAGAAGGATTGCTGCGCAGCAATCCCTCTTGCTGTTCTGGCTTCAGGGATAGCTGTGCATAGAATCATAGAATCATAGAATCATAGAGTTGGAAGAGACCACAAGGGCCATCGAGTCCAACCCCCTGCCAAGCAGGAAACACCATCAGAGCACTCCTGACATATGGTTGTCAAGCCTCTGCTTAAAGACCTCCAAAGAAGGAGACTCCACCACACTCCTTGGCAGCAAATTCCACTGTCGAACAGCTCTTACTGTCAGGAAGTTCTTCCTAATGTTTAGGTGGAATCTTCTTTCTTGTAGTTTGGATCCATTGCTCCGTGTCCGCTTCTCTGGAGCAGCAGAAAACAACCTTTCTCCCTCCTCTATGTGACATCCCTTTATATATTTGAACATGGCTATCATATCACCCCTTAACCTCCTCTTCTCCAGCCTGCATTCGCTCCATAAGACGCACACACATTTTGCCTTACTTTTTAGGAGGGAAAAGGTGTGTCTTATAGAGCGAAAAATACGGTACTTTCATTTCCCTATCTGCAAAAATCGTGAAATTCACTTACAATTTTCAATAACATTTGTAAAAACACAACTTACTTGGTCTTCTTAAATAGTGAAGTGGTTGTGCTTATACACTAGATCTTAGCCAGAAGGCCAAGTAGTGATGGGTTGTTGGGATTATAAGGAGGGCTGGTCATCCCTTGCAATTCTGAATGTCTGAACCTCAACAACCTAGGATCACTTACAGATGTGGATTCATGATAATTTCAGTTTTAGTTTAACAAAAAGTAGGTATCTAGCTCTCCTAGTTACAAAGCATCCTCTGAAAAATGTGTAGGTCGCCTTTTGCAAATGTGCAAAAGGTTCCACCAGTGTTTAGGGATGGAATTGCTTTTTCTTGCTTTACTTCACTTCTTGCCTTGTGCTCCCAAGCAATGTACATACACATCCCTATTGCTTTTCATTCATACATTTCTCTATTCCTTTCCCTCACCACATAACTCCAAATTCTGTACGTTTTGGCTCCTGAATGCCACAAACCCAGAAGTGAGTGTTCCGGTTTGCGAACCTTCTTTGGAACCCGAATGTCTGACAAAGCTTCCACAGCTTCTGAATGGTTTGGTTTCCAAACGTTTTGGAAGTCGAATGGACTTCCGGAACAGATTCCGTTTGACTTTCAAGGTACGACTGTATGCGGCCTAGCAAAATTAAAGTACAAAAAGGTGTTCCTCAATAAATTCCTTTATACACACAGGACCTGCATGCCATCCACAAAGGTATGACTGTACATGGCCTAGCAAAACGAGCAAAAGAGAGACAAAGGAAAAGCTAATTTGTCTGACCTCTCCTGCTCTCTGATTCATCGAATCTTTCTCCCCACTCCATGGTTGCTAACTGAAAATGGCTATAATTGACCAAAAAAAGCACAAGTAAGGAAGTGGGCAAGTTCCAGCCCTTTGGATCTCTGAATCTGTGGAGTGTATAGCAATGTTTGGGTATACAGTGGTACCTCCGGTTGCTGACGGGATCTGTTCTGGAGGTCCGGCCGGATCCTGAGGTTTCTGCAACCTGAGGACTGCTTCTGCGCATGCTTCTGGGTTTGCCGCTTTCGTATCCTGAAGTTTCCGTAACCGGAGGTACGACTGTATTTCTTATGTTTGGATAAGTGAATTGGTAGATAATGAGAAGGCTGATAGCAGGATGTGTGTATATGACACCTATTTTATTAACAGTCTGATATGCCAAACTTTTTAAATCCAGATGATCTAAAAGGCTGGAAATTTGAAGTGCCAGACTGAAAATTTAACACTAACATAGCAGTCTTCTCAAAAGCAATTCCTACTGAATTCAATGGGGTGGGGCTTTCTCACAGGTAAGTGGGGCCAGGATTGTAGTCTAATATATCACAGTATCTAGCACCCCACCGTTCATCTAGGGCAAATAAATAAATAACATGCAAACCTTTGCCCCAGGCCCAAATTTTACCCAGGTGGCATTGTTACCTGATTGGTAAGGTGGAGATTCAAATGGTGGACCTGCTCCCCGAGGATCTGGGTAGAACACATCTGTTTGTGGAGCTGGATACAACTGGGAGCCTCGTGGCACCATTTGGAGTTGCTTCCCAACAGATATTGGAGGCAGGTCTGGAGGTCCTCGGGGGGCCACTGGGTGAGAGTTCACGGGTAAGGCAGATAGAGAACTCTTGGGAACGGACTCCAGCCTAAAAGAGATCCATCACAACATTAGAGCAGCTACAAACCTGGGATGAATCCCACCGAATATTGCTGCTTTGGAGCCTACATTGATTTGTACATTGTCTTCTCAGCAACCAAGCATATGCAAGAGGTAGCAGAAGATGGAAGGTGGAAGCATCACTGCTGCCAGCTGATATTAAGGGAGTCCAGCTAAGGTTCCAGCAGCTGCGGCAATCCAGCTTAGAGAAACCTAAAGAGAGCCCTGCTGGATTAGACAAAAGACCCACTTAGTCAAGAAACCTGTTCTTATCAGGTGCCCATGGAAAGCAAGCACTCTCCCCCCATGTGATTCCCAGCAGCTGGTATTCATTGGCATGCTGCATCCAGACTATGCACAGCCATCACGGCTAGTAGTCATGGTTAGCTTTGTCCCGCATGAATTTGCCTAAATCCCTTTCGGAGCCAACCAAGTTTGTGGCCATCACTACATTTTGTGAGCAAATTCCATAGTTTAACTATGCGTTTTGTGAGGTCCTTTTGAATGGAAGTACTGCCACCTATATTTGAATGTGTGTATGATGGTAATGCAGTCCAGATACAGATGTGACCTGAATGCAAAAGTCATGTCTGTGCATCCAATTTATGCACACGTGGACTGCATTCTCCATATTGGGCAGTTTATATGAACACCATAAACAGGTAAACGTACAAGTCAGGAGGTGACCCAGGGGCACTGCTGCTAAGATGGTCAATTTTCCCGGGCTTCAAGGCTGAATCATAACTGGAGTCGGTTCCGCGAGAGATAAGTTGTGTAACTGCGCTGCCTGTTGAAACAATCCCATTTGGCAAGGCAGAGGGTTTTCTGTTGGGCAAGTCCATGCTCCCTTCGTCTGAGAGGATAGCTGCTGCCGATAGGCCCACTTCATTCAGCTGGCCTAAGGAGGCACTCAGGGGTCTTCGAGGAACCAGACGTTTGTTCATCTTACGAAATCTTCAGGAGAAACATGTGAGGAATTATAGAAAAAGGATGAGCTACAGCTCAAGCTGAACAGTTATTTTTCTTTTCCTACTCAAATGCTAGAGCGCAAACTTTAATTCAGGCACGACTATCGCAGCTGGAACCACACTAGGCACCATGCAGCAAACATGGCTGCTTGCTGCTTATACTCAGTTGCTGGGATAGTGAATACATAACTCGTATTTTCACTCAGTCCTGTCCTCTTTAACAGCCTGTAGCACACAAATCTTACTGTCTGTCTTTCTCTCTCTAAATCAGGGCATAATTTCAGTTTGGCAGTAAAACCCACACACTAGTATGGCAACAGCAGACTATCTAGGGGCATATTGGGCAAGATACTAGGAAGTTAGGAAGACAGGGCTTACCCCTGCAGAAGCCTTGTTAGTTGGTATATATATATATATTGAATAGCTCAAGAATTTAATTCTTTCACCACCATTTTATTTTACCATTGTAGATTGCCATGTCTTGCCCAACCCCCATGCAGATGATCTGAAACATTTATACCTTCAACCCTAATCAATTATCCATTCTAAACTGGATACTCTCCAGCTCCGTTTGCACAATCTGATAAGTTCACAATCAGAAATAGAATAAGTCATGGAATCTTACTTTTCTAGTTCTTCCTGCGAGTGTGCAAAGGTGCAGCTGGCCCCACGGGGGCAACCTCCTCTCTGCTTCATGTCTCGGCACATATATGTCTTATATTTGCTGTGTTGAGGAGGCTAGATCAAATGGAAAAATAAGGAAACTGAAACCAAAATTCTCAAAGTCTACAATAATGCTCCAAAATAAATCCAGAATAAAAATAAAATAAAAAAACCTGTGTAGACAGATCTCCAGAAAGAAAGCCAGTAAAATATGCCAGTGAACTAAGGACACTATGCAACTTATTTCCAAGTAAGCATGGCCTGGGTTGTGCTGCATGTGCTGTGATAGCAGATTTAATCAATGGAATCCACCCACCTCTTTATTCAACACCCAGTGTTAGAAACTGAGATACGAGAGCTAGGAGCTAAATGGCACCTTAAACCTAGGTTATGGGCACAGCAACAGAATGTCTAGGCGTGCTTTTTTTATAACAAGAATACAAAGCTGGAAATGAATGAACTGCAGCTAAAATATTATGTTCATTTTTCACATGGTCTAGTCCTTCCCCTGCCCATCTCCCTAATATTCTCAAGAGGGTCTCTTCTCCAGTCTTCAGAGAGTACCTAGAAGTGGGGAAGGGGAAAAAGGTCCTCCTTTCCTTCCACTCTGCAGTTTCCATCTGAAATCTTAGGTGCAGTATTGTGCCCAGGGCTCAGAAACTTGCTCACACTAACGAAATTCCTTGTCGCAAAATGCGCCTGGGACAATGGGAGTTTCGAACACTGTCAACACCTTGACAATATTAGGTATGGAACCATTAGTAGATAATACTTTTCCCAATGATGTAGCAATTCCAGGGTTGGAATTCCAATAAAGAGTTCCATTTTTAGGTTGCTTTTCTGTCATAATTTCTCCATTCATGGTGCAAAAGTTGCAAAGTACTACACAAACGCAAAAGCACTGCTAAATATTTCAGTGGTTTTAAAAAAAAAATTCACATCTAACCTGCCTGGTATGTTCTTCTCCTTCTACATCCCCATCAGCTATATGATTCAGTCACAATATCAAACCTCTCCGGAGGTGAAAAACAGTTTATAGATTTTTTAAAAAAAATAATTAACTATTATATTATTAATTATTAATATTTATATACTGCCCTATACGCACAGGTCTTAGGGTGGTTCACAGAAGTAAAAACTATGGCTACTGCAACCCAGTGGGGCACTGTATGCATGAAGGGAGAAGTGCAGGAGTCCTCATTATGTTATTAACACTCCAACTATGATTTGGAAGTTGTTCCTAAAGGCAGGCTTATGACACACATGCACGCTCTCTCTCCCTCTTTGCATTCTCTCAGCTTTATGTCTATGAAATATTACTCATACACAAATTATCATAGAAATTAAAGACAAGTAACACAAAAGAAGTATTACACAGTAGTGAGCTATACTGTACATAGCATAAGAGAAAACACTTCTTGTTCCAGTAAGTTAGAAAAAGCCTAATTACCTATGACATTTATTTAATACTTGCTACCTCTCTCAAATTTTAATGTAATTAATGGCCATCATTTCTCTACTATTCTGAATTCTAGGTATGCTTAGAACTTTTTTTAAAAAAGAAAACACTTTCCAGTGAGAAGCTTTGATTTTCTTTCTACAATTAAAAAGCTTAATGAAAATCTTCAAACTGCAATTTCCGATGTTTCCCTTAAATCACGTTAAAAAATAGTTACTGGGCACTCATAATCTGTGAAACCCACAGAATATGTAGTTCTTCCTCCCACCTTAATAATTGGACAAAACAATCAATATGCACAAAATGTTATGACATCTTCTGGATTTTGGGATCCCAACTAGGATCAAACAAAACTAATTTGGATATGCCTGAGGATGTGGGCTACCGTATTTTTCGCACCATAGGACGCACTTTTTCCCTCCTAAAAAGCAAGGGAAAAATGTGTGTGCGTCCTATGGAGCGAATGCAAGCTTTCGCTGAAGCCTGGAGAGTGAGAGGGGTCGGTGCGCACCGACCCCTCTCGCTCTCCAGGCTTCAGGAAGCTATCCGCTAGCCATGGGAGTCCCAGCTCTCCCACGGCTAGCGGAGCGCTGCATTAATCCCGAAGCTTGGGGCGTGCGGAGCTCCGCACGCCCCAAGCTTCGGGATTAGCGCTCCGCTAGCCGTGTCTAGGCTGCGGATAGCAGCCTGCTTCCCGGAGCGTCGGGCGCCCTGAAAGCAGAGCGCCCGGCGCTTCGGGAACACATCCGCAGCGTGGAGAGCCTTGCAGGAGTTCCCCGCAAGGCTCCCCACGCTGCAGATAGCAGCCTGCCGCCCGGCGCAATGGGGCGCCCTGAAGCAGAGCGCCCCTTGCGCCGGGCAGACATCCGCAGCGTGCGGAGCCCTGCAGCAGTTTCCCACAGGGCTCCCCACGCTGCGGATAGCAGCCTGCTTCCGGAGCGTCAGGCGCCCTGAAAGCAGAGCGCCCGGCGCTTCGGGCAGACATCCGCAGCGTGCGGAGCCCTGCAGCAGTTCCCCACAGGGCTCCCCACGCTGCGGATAGCAGCCTGCTTCCCGGAGCGTCGGGCGCCCTGAAAGCAGAGCGCCCGGCGCTTCGGGAACACATCCGCAGCGTGGAGAGCCTTGCAGGAGTTCCCCGCAAGGCTCCCCACGCTGCAGATAGCAGCCTGCCGCCCGGCGCAATGGGCGCCCTGAAGCAGAGCGCCCCTTGCGCCGGGCAGACATCCGCAGCGTGCGGAGCCCTGCAGCAGTTTCCCACAGGGCTCCCCACGCTGCGGATAGCAGCCTGCTTCCGGAGCGTCAGGCGCCCTGAAAGCAGAGCGCCCGGCGCTTCGGGAAGACATCCGCAGCGTGGAGAGCCTTGCAGGAGTTCCCCGCAAGGCTCCCAACGCTGCGGATAGCAGCCTGCCGCCCGGCGCGAGGGGCGCCCTGAAGCAGAGCGCCCCTCGCGCCGGGCAGACACCCGCAGCGTGCGGAGCCCTGCAGCAGTTCCCCACAGGGCTCCCCACGCTGCGGATAGCAGCCTGCTTCCCGGAGCGTCGGGCGCCCTGAAAGCAGAGCGCCCGGCACTTCGGGAACACATCCGCAGTGTGGAGAGCCTTGCAGGAGTTCCCCGCAAGGCTCCCCAAGCTGCGGATAGCAGCCTGCCGCCCGGCGGGTGGAGCGCCCTGAAGCAGAGCACTCCTCGCGCCAGGCATACATCTGCAGCGTGGGGAGCCCTGCAGCAGTTCCCCGCAAGGCTCCCCAAGCTCCGGATAGCAGCCTGCCGCCCGGCGGGTGGGGCGCCCTGAAGCAGAGCGCCCCTCACGCCAGGCATACATCCGCAGCGTGGGGAGCCCTGCAGCAGTTCCCCGTAAGGCTCCCCAAGCTGCGGATAGCAGCCTGCCGCCCGGCGGGTGGGGCGCCCTGAAGCAGAGCGCCCCTCGCGCCAGGCATACATCCGCAGCGTGGGGAGCCCTGCAGCAGTTCCCCGCAAGGCTCCCCAAGCTGCGGATAGCAGCCTGCCGCCCGGCGGGTGGGGCGCCCTGAAGCAGAGCGCCCCACGCGCTAGGCAGACATCAGCCAGCCCCACAAGCTCGGGGGACAGCAGGGAGGCGCAGCGCCACTATCCCGCTGTTCCTCGACCTCGTTCTGTTTCCCTGACCTGCTTTTGGGGGGGAAATAAAGGGGAAAATTTTTTCCTTTATTTCCCCCCCCCATAAAACTAGGTGCGTCCTATGGTCCGGTGCGTCCAATCGTGCGAAAAATATGGTATATGGCTAGCAGGATTTCTAGTCTTGGTACAGCTGACCTCCATGCTATTATCACAATCTGATTTTAAAATGCCTGTTTCAGAAGAGCTTTGTCATGCAGAAAGGGGAGATAAGTCCAAAGTTGCCCAGGGTTCACAGAACTAATTGCATGGTTCTTTGGGTCTATGTCTGAATGAGTTATGATTTATGAGAGTTCAAACGCTTTGGAATGGCTATGAATATTTCAGATGTAACAGTTCCATGTTTCTTGCTGAATTCCACTATTTACACTGCTTTGATAGATATGGGTTCCAGAACAACTTATAGCAAAGTACATTATACTTTCATTCAGTACCTTTTCAGTTAATGTGGCCACATGAAGAATTTTCAGACATGCAGGCAGCACAGATAATAGTTAGAAATGCTGTCCCAAACAGTAGTGCTAATATGTAATATTTCGGTGCTTTAAATGGCAAAAAGAGCTAAGTTCATTTGGCAAGGCAAGAAACCAAGTATTACATTTAAAATATTAACAGATACTAAAGAAAAAGGTAGATTCTCACTTCCAAATCTTTCTTTTTCTTTATTTTTTTTTCTTATGTTAGGTTAGGAAGAAAAGGTGGAAAGAGGGGGCTCACTTCCAAATTTAAAATTATATTATGATGCAGCATGTTTGACATGGATAAAGGAATGGATAATATTGCAAAAAATACTAGATTGCTGGATCTGGGAGGATATGGTAGACGATATGGGTGATATGCATATCTGGGGTAGGAAAAAAACAAAGGTACATAAAGACTTTCTAAATTACTCCATGAGGAGAAGTTTATTTGGAGGGCTATATGTCTTCAAGTACTGTATAAAAATCTACTTGAAAGAAAAGCACCACTGTGGTTATCCCCTATAGAAGCTTGTGCCCAAAAACAAATAAACATGAAGAAGAATTGGGGGACTTACAGAGAATATTAAGTTATACTGAAAGTGGGTATAAACTTGAAAAACTAGAAGAAATTCAAGACTTGGTATTGGCTTGGTTTCAGTACCAAATAAACAAGCTATTTAAGAAGAATGTGTTAAATGGTTTTAAGGAACAAAGATCTGATCTCAAACTGGGGTTGCTTGAGAGTAATGAAAAACTGATTTCTAAAATGTATAAAATGTTATTAGAATGGGATACTAAAGATGATACAATGAACTTAGGTCACAATAGTGATACAACTTCCTATGGGAAAAGGATATGAAATTCACTCCTTGTTACACACTAAGAGAAAACTATTATTATATACAGATAATATTTAACACCAAATTAACTGGCCAAGATGTATAAAAATGTGTCAAGTAAATGCTGGAAATGCAAAGAGATATAAGGGTCATTCTTCCATATGTGGTGGACATGTAAAAAAAAAAGCTAAAGCCTTTTGGGAAATTATATAATGAAATGAAGAAAATGTTTAAATGAACTATTCCAAAAAGACCAGAAGCTTTTCTTATAGGGATAATAGTGACAGATGTTCCAAAGAAGATGACCAAGTTATTTATGTATGTGACAACAGCTGCTAGAATATTATATGCACAGAAATGGAAAGAAGAGAAGGTTTCAACAAAGGAGAATTGACTTTGGAAAGGAATGGACTATACAGAAATTTCAGTAATGGACAGAAAAAATAAAGAGATCAAAATGATGAGCTTTAAATAGAAGAATGGAGGCCGTTCATAGACTATCTGAAAAAGCATCATAGTCAAATGGAATCACAGGCAGGATTCGAGATATAAAGCAGCGGAAGAAAAATTATAAAATAAATGAAATAGAGGAATATTTTATAATAGATAAAGATATAATGAAGTAAAAAGGGTTTAAGCAAAAACACTGGAGGTGATGGTGGGAAGTCAACTCATGGAACAATGTGATTTGATATGGTCAGTGTGAAAACGCTGCATGTTGTTGAACACAATTATTTTTTCTGTACTGCTATGATCTGTGGTCAAATTCTGCCAGTGCTTCAAAAACCTGCAAAACCTCCACCCAGAAACCAAAACCACAGGCAAAGATGGCTTAATCCTACATCCTGCAAGTCTCTGAAAGACTACTACCTGTCCTCAGCCTCATGTGTGCAATGTATCCCCAATGCGACTCATATAATCTTTGATGATTTTGCTGGAGGTGGCAGGGAAGGACTAGACCAACGCCCCAATTTTTACAAAAGCTTCGTTTTCCTAGAGTACTTCCTTCTGAGAACTCCGGGCATGAAATTAAAACATTCTTCTATTTTGTTGCTCCAATAGAGACGAGTGGATATTGGCAACTTATTCACCTTTTTTATCTTACGTATACTAGGGGAAGCATTTCCTTTCCTTCTTTCTTGATTTGGCAAGGTCTACTATGACAAAGTGTGCCTTCTGACTACAAGAAGTGCCACACAATAGAGTACCTGCTGCTGGTCTGCTCCTTTCTTGCTGTGATTTTGGATGTAATCAACCAGCCCGTGTACCACAGTCCGCACAGCGACAAGTCCATTCTCAAGCTGCTCCCAGGTGGGTGGTGGGGCATCTACAGTGTTTATAAGAAGAAATGAATTTATCTCTGGGAAATGAGAAATCCCATAGAAACAGGATCTGAATCATAGCAAGCATCAAAAAATTTAAAACATTTTTAGTTCTGAAGGAAGAATAAATCTGACAGGCAAGACTAAGGAAATGTCTATGGAAATTCAACACTGATTTGCCAGATTTAGGGAGCAGCAGCAGCAGCAGCAGCAAACATTTCCTTCCTGTCGGTAAGGAATAAAGTTATTCAAATAGGAATGCTTGAGAGCATTTGAACCCTCAGAGAGACACCCCCCAGAAAATATATTGCAATTGTGGGAAATATGGCAGAAGATTAGAGGTAATCAAGGAAAAGCAGCAAGGTCTGAGAGAGCCCAAGAGAGACATTTCTAGTGAAAGGACTGTCTCATTAACATGTGTTTCCTTTTGCTAAAATATGGCAATATAACTCTACTATAACAATGATAAGCAGAGAAACATACAGAGACATGTCCTCCTCAGGAAGGGCTGGGCAGGATTTAGCAAGACTCTGAGCCTAACCTCATGAATTCATAGAAAAATAATCCTATGATCCTGACCCATTCAGAATTTTTCAGGTCACAAGGCCTTTTCCTATGATCATTAAGGTCTGTGGGACCTTATGGAGTAGCCACTGTTGCCACAAAACCAACGAAGTCATAGGATACCTTAAAGGCAAACAACTTTATTGTGGCATATGTTTTTGTGGGCAAGCCAATCAGCATATGTATGTGACTTACTCCCAGCTAATGTCCATTGTTTATGAATAAACAGAGCAAGATCAGTAGTGTGAATGCACACCTGTAGCAGGAATAGCCTGGGGTCAAATGTGGCCCCTCCAGGTTTTTGGAACCCTCCCTATGCCGTCCCCCTCACCATCTTTATTCTGTGCACTCTTCAAGTGCTTTCCCCAGGCTGGAGTGTGTCACTGAACTTTGGTGCCCCTTGCTTGCCAGGAAAGGGAGACGTGTTATGTATAGAAACCTATATACATGTAACACACAACCTTTGCACAGAAGGAATGTAGCCTGCAGTACAAAAGAGTGATCTATTCATCCACTGACTTTCACTCCTGACCCTGTCCATCACTGGGATGCAGCCCCTGGAAGGTTTTCCACAAGGGAATATAGCCCTCAGGTTGAAAATGGTCTTCACTCCTGCTGTCTCAACTCACAGGGATGTTTTTGTGCCTTAGAACTCCCAAACGCTGAGACTGCCACAACTCTGAGAAGTCTAGGCACATGGTGGGCAGAAGGTAGATTTGTACTTTATAACTAAAGGTGCTCCACCCCTGGATGAACAATTTTGCACCCTGCTTTGGTTCATGGGTCTTAGTGTTCTAGTAAAAAATAAACAAGCCTGAAGTCTGTCCGCCATTAGAATATAAAGGAGACTAGAGCATCTCAAGAGAAACAGCTTTTTTGCTAACAAGGAAACAAGAGAGAAGTCTGTTCACCCGTGCTTCTCACATTGACACGTATCAGTTTGATTGAAAGATATGCACAGCCCCTTCTGCTGCAGTGAACATGAATATAAACCACTTTTTTAATAGTTACCTGGGCTGGGATCAATATTTGCAAGGAGTTCTAGATGGGGTCGAAGCCGGTTCAGATTGGCTGGGTCACCGGTCCTCTGGAGAGCGATAGTTAGTTCCTGAACACTCTGTGCAAAAGAGGCTGGGGTCTGCAACTTAAATATATATGTACATAATTAGAACTGCTTTCTGTACTCCTAGAGACCATCTTCAGTGAAACACACCTAAAAGATACATTTTTAAATTTCTTGTCTCACCAGCACTCAAGATGTGTGCCTTGATGTGAAACCATTTTTTCAACAGAGATGCACTTGCCATTCCTAGTGGTCAATCACAGCTTAGGCCCTCTCCAGTAATACAGCCTGCATGTTCATTAACTGTATATACCAATATACAATGCATCAAGGCTCAGCGATATTAAATCCTATTTAAGAGGACAGTTCTTACAGAAGTGAAAATGGAACTGGCAACCCCATGACAGCTCCACAAAGCACAGCAGATTCCTGAGACAATCTCCAAGCCACTTTTCTGCTTCACGCTCACGAGGAAGGCTTGGGCTTGTCCTTGACATTAAGAGCCCCTGAGAAGCACGGTATGCCATAGGAGACTCTTGATAGCAAGTGGGACATGGGAAGAAGAACCGAGGAGCCCCACTTACAACTAATATCAGCAATAAAAACACAGTAGAAAATTAAAGGAAGTGGAATGATTTGAAGAGGCTGTACCTTGTCAATAATTGACTGCATGTGGGATTTGTGGGACTGGTCTCCATATAGCAATGAAGACCACTGATCTGGGGCAATGCGCAAACCAGCCTCCATAGCAATTTGCACAATCTGGGAATCGTGTTCTCGTCTCAGAGCTTCATAGGTTCGGAACTCCTCCTTTAACTGCATCAGGGAGGAATCCTCATCTCGTTTAGTCACCTGGAAGAAAAAAATCCATCTGGATTAGGTAAAATGACAATACCCAACTTAACCAAATAAGGGAACAGTTTCTCAGTTCAGTTCCCTGGCCTAAAAGTATTAGCTGCTTATAAAGATTTATGAAAGGAAGTACTATTGCTCAAAAATAATTCTTCCAGTTTGTATGGGGGAGGGGTCCCCCCTCCGATGATCAGATGAAACGCTGAGACAATTGTGTATTAAATAATACACAAATTCTTAATAGATTTAGCAACAAAATAAAATATCTATGCACAAAGATTAGATTATCATTACTAAAACGAGCCTAGAGCCTAGATTCTCTATGAGGTGGGATTCCCCTTCCTCTCCAAAGGCACAGAACATTCTTCAGAGCAGTTGTGAATCCTAGGATTCTGTGAGTGATTCACTGTAACTAAAGGTGAGCAGTTGTTCAAGGAGTGTTAATTCTCTCCAAGGAGAACTCTTTTCTGTGTCTCTTTAAAACAAAAAGTTGACAAAGTGCAGCTGGAAGAAAGAACTCTTCAGTTCCTGTCCTTCAGAGAAGGCAGCAGTGCTCAGTTGCCTCCAAAACTAAAGGGATATTGGATTTTCTCATGAAATGCAGTACATGAAATTGCAGAATGAAAGCTAGTGCTCAGTTAAGCCTTGCTGCAGCTCATCAGTTTGAACTGCAACTCCTGCAAATGGCATTGGAAGTTTTAGAATTAAAGTGAGAAGACTAATGAAGTTCAGCAAAATTTCCTCATATTAGGGGTCTTGGAAAAGGTGGTGAGAACATGCCTGCTTTTCCTGTGACCTAGTTTAACAGCTTAATTTCAGACTCTTCTCTATGTCTGACATGGAAAGAGCCTCTTCTTGGCAGTGTCTGAAATTCCCTGGGCACCAGGCACATTTTGCTACTGGGGTGGGTCCAATTATAACCACATGGAGATTTCTGGGCACCAAGGTAGCGACTGACATCTCCATCGAGTCAGCTGACTCGTGTGTGGCAAAAGATGTGCGTCTTGTCCTTCTGCACTGCTGTGCGAATCATGGACATCTTAGTCCTCCACCATCACATCAAGGCAAGTAAGTGCAGGGCTGAGTACAGATATACTTGACACTGCAGCAACCTTTCCACAGGCCTCCCAAACGGAGTTCACAGACCACAGTTCTTGCATACTGGGACAAGTGAATCATTGTAAGAGCAAACTACAACCAAGCAATGCAGTTGAGATAACAGAATCATAGAACTGGAAGGGACCCCGAGGGTCATCATGTCCAACCCCCTGGCAAATACACATTCTGTTGTGGTGATGGTAACTCAGGTTTAAGGGGCCTTTGGGTGCCTAGCTTATATATATGAGTTTCTAAAAGTGGATCTTTAGGCCTGAAGTCTCAGGCGAATGATCAGCCAAGAGATATTCTGGTGCATTTTGAATGCTACATGATTAAAGATTCTGTTTCTGAAGCTCTTTGTAATATTCAAACTGGCTCATTGATGTGAAGAGTTTTTCTGAATATAGGTTATTCTAGCTGCACTCTTTCTGCACTAATAATAACTCAGTATCTACTTCAAAATCCCTGAAACCACAACCAGAACAGCTTGCTCTGTACCTTGAAACAGGAGGCTCTGTATAGAAGCTGGACAACATGCCCAATGCTGGTTTTAGAAGCCTGAGGAAATCGTGGCTCCAACCTCTGTACCACAAAGAGAACCAAGACTTTCCGAGACAAAGCAGATCCATCTTCCAAAGCCAAAAGAACTAACTTGAGAGCTTCCTCTTGCATTGCTGAAAAATAAAGAGTAGCATGGCAGAATGCCAGGTATTAAGAGCAATTTCAGATATATACTGCTTATTCTATTTTGTTTAGGCCTAACATAACTTAAAGGTAAAGGTACCTCTGACCATTAGGTCCAGTCATGGACGACTCCGGGGTTGCGGCGCTCATCTCGCTCTATAGGCCAAGGGAGCCAGCGTTTGTCTGCGGACAGCTTCCGGGTTATGTGGCCAGCATGACTAAGCCGCTTCTGGTGAACCAGAGCAGCGCACAGAAACGCTGTTTACCTTCCCGCCGGAGTGGAACTTATTTATCTACTTGCACTTGACATGCTTTCGAACTGCTAGGTGGGCAGGAGCTGAGACCAAACAATGGGCGCTCACCCCATTGCGGGGATTCGAACCACCAACCTTCTGATCGGCAAGCCCTAGGCTCTGTGGTTTAGTCCACAGCGCCACCCTCGTCCCTTACATAACTTACACCAGACTTAATGACTGCATTAGAGGTTCTACAAACCTCAGTGTTATGGTCAAGCGGTGAAATGTGGCACCCACTATACAAACAAGCAGTGTGAGTAGAATCCCGACAATATACAGTTTCACTTAAAAGAAAATCTTTAGTCTATATCACATGGCTTTAGAAATGTCAATAATCCAGTGTACAGGCAGGTCTACTGTTGAAAATACTGAGAATCCCAATGCATTTTTTGATGTACCCAAATTAAAAGATATTACAGTATTATAACTTACAGTCTAATATTATGAAGGCTGGCCGGAACTTTGTGCAGGTTGTATGGAAAACAATGTTGAAATATATCTAAATCAACTGTTTTCATATTCTGCATCTAAACTCAAATTGAATCTGTCTTCTCATTATTTCGACAATTTAACAGTTCTGTACTCAGCTGTTGTGCTGTGCTGATTAAGCATGGTGAGACTGCTAGGCACCTAAGACCACATGGTCCCAGAGTGGATTTGGTTTAAATCAAATAGATTTAAATCACAATTTAAATCACTAGTCAGTAAGGCTTGATTTAAATCATTTTCTTACAGAAAGACTCATTCTTGCTGGTGGTATAAGGTTTCATTTTTGGAATAATAAATTTTCAGAGTAGTTTTTACAGTTATATCAAAAGTTACTGATTTGGTCATACTATTAGAAATACATAGAAAGATAATTATGAAATTATTGTGAGGTTTAATAAGTTAACTGTTTATATTTTGACAACTTTTCTGCTGTACTTTTTTTTAGAGGGGAAGGAGGAAGAGAGATACAATTGGTAGGCCCAGGCTGGAAGAGGCTTGCAGAAAGAGCAGGCCGAGGAGAAATAGGCTGGTGGAAAGCTGGAAAAGGGGGAACCAAGGACTGGAGCAGAGAACTTCAGGGATTCCTGCTTCAGGACTGAAGTTCCCGGTAGAGACTTTATTGTTTGGAGAATGTCAGGCGAGCCCTGGGAAGAAGGGCCTGGAACCAGTGAACTCTTATTAGTTGACTGGCAAGCACTTCAAGGACTTGCAGATCCCAGTTACTATTTCCAGCACCACCCCACCCCTTTGGATTTGCTTCTACATTCAGGTTCCTATTCTGTACAGTTAAGTGTTAGTGCAGTTGCTAGAACCCAGTGGGATTGGGAAGAGGTTGCCAGCCCTGAAGCGCCTTCAGCACTTGCCTCAAGTCTGAGTTGCACAGGCATGCAACTGACTTGCACAATTATTACACAAAGATCCTAAGACTCTTGGAGTATTCTGCTCACAAGGTTGCGCTTTCATTTTTACTGCTTCACACTTGGCTACTTCTGCAGAACTATTCCACTCCAAACAATCTATTCATTGAACCTCTTGGAACTTAGCATTTAAGAGGTAAGGGGTTGATTCTGTGTATATAAATTTGCAAAGGAACAATGGGATTAAGGTTTTTTCCTCAACTCTGTATGTTTATTTTATAACATTTTTCCTGTGAAGAAAAGGCATGTTATCTCTGCAGACACAAATTCACACTTTCGAGAACTGCAAAAACAAGCATCTGTGATATCTTCTTGTTAGAAAAACTGCCCCAAATAATCTTACAGAAACCTCTGGAAGCGCATGACAATGTGAATGGATTAATGGAATTCATTTACCAAAAAAATTACACATTGCCTATAAAGCTTCATGCTACATAATCAAAAACAAATCCTTATTTCCTGATGAATAGCCTTTGGACTATAATGTAACTTAAATAGAAAACTATCTTTAGAAATATTTTTTCCTCCAAAAGCATTTTTTTAAAAAATCCGATTTAAATAAAAAAAAATCATTGATTTTTATCCACCCTGCATGGTCCTAATCTAGTAACGAAGATTAATAGAACTGTAGAATTGGAAGGGGCCACAAGAGCCATCTGGTCCAACCCCCTGCAGTGCAGGAATCTTTTGCCCAACGCAGGGCTTGAACCCGTGACCCTAAGATAAAGGGTCTCATGCTCTACCAACTGAGCCATGTCAGCAGTATTCACTTAAAATATATATTTTTCATGTGAGTGGGTACTCCAGCAGCTAAGAAAAAGCAGACAACTATGTGTGTATCCCAGTGCACATGACAAACAGCCATCCTACCGAAGCTGAACAGGTCTGGGTTTGGCCAATGCCTGAGAAAGTCTACCTGGCAACCCATGTGTGCTGTCTTGGCTTACAGGATGAAAAACAGGATATAAATATAACAAAAGCAATAAATTCATATGTTGAGATTATCAGAAGTCCTCCTCTGCCCCCTCAGCAAGGAAGATTTTGTCATTTGCAACAAAGAACAGGGTGTTTTCAGTAGTCTTCCCTGAGCTTTGGAATGACCTTCTATGAAAAGCGTGATGGTGCACTCACCTGGCCTTTAAGCTATAGCATAAAGCCCAGTCACATATTGAAGTCTACCAGTTATCTAAAAATTGGCAGGGTAGTTGTAGATGTTTTTATTATTGCTGCTCAGTGATGTTTTAATATTGAGACTATAAGATATCTTGAACCTGGCGAAAGTCAATATATAAATATTTTAAATAATACAGGGTTTAAATAATCCAGGGTTTCCATTTCATGCATCCCACTTCTCTGAATCCATTATCTGTGAAGTTCAAACTGTCAGCACTATAGGGAATAGATATTTAGGGCGATATCAAATATTAATCAGAATCATACTCACAGTAGACCCATAGAAATAAATGGATTTTTCCTTATTGATCAGTTCAGCTAAGTAGTATTTTAGTCATTGAAATTTGTAAGTAACCAAATTCACCAATTCCCTAAATTTTTGTTGCTGTACCAAATGCCATGGCTTGAGTGATATATACCTGGTCCAAGGAACTGGCAGCCTCTGGCCCTCACTGCAGCCCAGAGGTTGGAAGAAAGTTGCTGGGGGTTCTGGTGCTGAAGAATGAGCTCCGTGACAGTTCTTTCACCCAGAGATCGTGCTGCACGCATAGCCCTGATCCGCCCTTCTTCCTCCACTAACTGGCAGTGGACCAATGTCACAAGTTTCCTTTGCATGGGGCGACTGAGTACACTCTGAGTGGTGCTGTTCAGTCCCACACCTTTAAAAAAAAACCAGAAGCAGGGAAGTTATTTCTCAGTTTTTCAGGGGCAATGCCTTTGGCAGGTTAGTTAAATGGTACTTCAGTCTTAAGAGAGTTATAGCCTATAGAAAGTTTTTTGTAGACATCCCTTTTTTCTAGTTAGTGATCAACTAAAAAATATTCAGTTGTAAACTAGCTTCCATGAAACTAAAACATCAAAAAGTCACTCTGGATAAGTGTGCACTACAAACAAACTGGAACTGTACAAAGTAGGCCTGCAAAATAAGTTTTTAATAGATAATCAGGCAGCAGATTTGTTTCTAAAATCCTCCATTTTTAATATATTCTTACATGTTTCATGTTTTCTTTTTTCTTCCCAAAATTAATTCCTTGTCTTCAAAATGAACCAATTTAAGCCTTCATGAAGAAGTCTCTCCTCTTTCTGTTTTTGCTTCTTCACCATTCATTTCCAAATAATGAATTTCCTTATCAATTTATGTTCCCACTACAGTGGTACCTCGGGTTAAGAACTTAATTCGTGTATTCACACTCCAAATTATTTCATTGCTCTTCAAAGTAGCTGCACTGTTCCCATCATGAAGAACTCGCCCACATTTCTCTGTCTCACCCACCCCACCCCGGTTTTCCGCAGTGCAACTAACAAAGACAAGACTGAGTGCAGGGAATATGCAAGAGGGTTGAGGAAACTCTGTGAACACAGTAGTTTACCACTTGGAAAAAGTGTGGGGTTTTCCTTATAAGAAATCAATAGCATTGAAACGGCAAGAAAGTCAAACCAAGTGGAGGAAACTACCGGATGGGGCAGCAGAATTTATTTATTATTTAAGTGTCAAACATTTCTGCAGGTCACTGAAATGTCCTCCCTGTTTTACTGTTTTACAAATATGCAAATTCATAAAAGCCTTAGCTGATCGTTGCTGGCACCTGTCTGTCTCGAGTACACCTACGGGGGGGGGGGGAGAGTCAAACCACTGCATCAGCAGCACCAAAGTGACCTCCCTGTGATGTGTATGGAGGTCCTGGGCTGCCCAGATGACTCTCAGCCTTGCTGATGTGGTCCAAAGGAGAAGAAAGCAATACTTTTGGAAGCTTGGCTGCAGTTGTCGTCAGAAGGAGGCATACAAGACGCCATCCAACTGTTTTAGGGACTTCACTCTGGATTTGTGTAGAGTCTACTCCTTAGCCCTTTCTTCTCCCAATGATATCCCTCAAGGCAGTGGAGGTTTAAGATCAGTTTTCATTCTCTAGATGGGCTACTTTCGCAGGCTGACAAGCACCATCTGACCCTCTTAGCTGATGAATTAACTGATTAAAATTTGCATAGTTAATCAACTAAGGGTAGGGTCCACAGTAACACCTTCTGCTATTTCTTCTTGCTATTTGAAAATGAGGAATAACAGTAAGAAGTTTTGAACAATCTGATTGCTGAATTTAGCACTAGCAAATAGCCACTCAGCTGGTCACCTGCGACAGAGCTCTTTTGGGCAATCAGTTAACTTGCCTAAAATGAAAGCAAGTTGGTTCCTTTCGGGCTTCTGATGTGCCACAAAGGTATTGTGTAGGGCAGGCTGGCTAGTAAAATATTGTGTGTGGTAATGTTTCAATTCTATTTGCAATTTTTCTTTTCTAACATTACTTCTTTGGCACTCAAAGTGATTGTGTTTTCAGCTGCAGGTTTTCATCCATTGTAGTCAATGTAATAGTGTTGGGGGTATTTTTAAAAAACCAATAGATGCTGCTTAACTGTTTTAGTTTTCTTATAATGTATGAAAGAGCACTTATTCACCTCTTGCACTGCTGAGTGGTTTAAGGTACAAGGCTAGTTCTTCCACACATTTCTTGGCTTCCTCATAATGCTTGGTATCTTCAGCGCCACTACGGAGCGTTATTGGCTGCTGTTCTGGCACCTGTATATAGATAACAATCAAAGTACAAAAGTGAAGAGACTAGCAGTTCCAGTCATCTACCCCATCAACTGAGGAAAATGCAGTGCATCTCTAAAACTCTTTTAACTTTAAATAACACATATCACTTTAATACAAAGACGGATTGAAAGAAATTCAAAGCAAAAATTCCTGTCACATACTTTTACAGTGAGCCTATCAAATTCATCACATTTGTACCATTCAGTACAATAGTTGCCTTGCAACTATTCATCAAATTTTCTTCTATGACAAGAAGACAATTTATTTTTCTTAGCACATCTGAAAATATTTTCCTTTTTTATTCATTTCCAATCTTTCTGTATCACCTTCCTATAAAAATAGATTCAATGCCGCAGGCGTTGAAATCAGGAAGAGTTTTTAAAAATTATGTTAGCATCCCCTTCAGTGTGAAAAAAATATTCAATCTCAAAAGTGGTAGTAACTGTAGCCTATTACTTTGCCTCCACTGATCAACAGCTTATTACTTTGGTTAAAGATGTAGCCAAAATGTAGCCAGACTCCTGTGTTTTCAATAAACTGTAACTTAATGACAAGGGAAAGTGGGAACTTCCCATCTATCCTATCCATACTCAAATCTTCAGAACTCCAGCAATTATTACAGGATTTGATATCGGACAAAAGAAAAGTAATGATGTCTGAAGCAACCCTGTTTAGTATTTTTGACAAGCTACTACAAACATAAACATGGCTGTTACTAAGAGCTGGTTCACACATCATATTTACATAAGGTTCCAAGTTTGCAACCTGGAGAATGATAAAAATAATAACAAATCCATCAATACAATAGAAGGGAAAGCGATCATGGCTTCTCTAACTAATTGCCACCGCCCCCCAGCACATTTTGCTATCCAACACCAGCCGTCTCCTGCAGCAAGCAGGATTTAAGGTAGGCTGCATAACAGGTGCAGAAGGGGGGGGGGCAGAACTGGGGCATTAATGGCAGGAGAGGGGCCTGAAGCTACCTTCTCTCTTGAAACACTGGGAACTTAAGTGGGTACATAACTTTACCTCAAGTTGCAATTAGGCAACTTAGTTGCACCATAGACCCAAGTTTTTAGGGAAATAGTGCAGCCTACATCATTTGTATGTTGTAAACAAAACAATAACTTTGCAAAGTTAAGATTTGCACCTTTGTGGTTACTTGCTCTATCTGCCTTCTTGAGAACAATATAACATTTAAAAGTCCATGATCTGAAACACTTGTTGACTTCTATTGTCTATTATTTGCACATGGGTTTTTTTTAATGGTGGGGGCTTCACTTATCAAGCCTTCCTACCCCTGCCAACCTTTGCACCCCCAGACCACAGCAAACCCTTCACAACTCACCAAACCTCCTAGCCCCAACCACTAACCCCTTAAGACCTTCCTCTTTCTACCTCACGCCACCATTGCAGCCAAGCAGGATGAAGAGTTGGCTCAGTAGAAGGAACACCATGGAAAACCAGATGTGCTGGACAGCACTTCATCTGGGCCAACTCTTCCTGCACAGCTCCTTCTGATGGGTAGGGTGGGCAATGTATTGATACATCGTCCAACACCAGTTTATAGACCACATCATAAGAACCATTTCAAAACAATTGAGTTGGCAATGTATTGCAAAACACAGCCTTCAAACCCCAGGGGGCAGTATAATTGCGAGTCTTCTGGCGGCTGGCTGGCTGGCTGGCTTCCCTCCCTCCCTTTCCCTTCCATGGCAGAACTGTCCCACTCCCAACCTGGACACCCCTCTCCCCATAATTGTGGTGTCTCTACCTGGTGCAGGAATCATGGTTGGGCTGCTTTGTCCTTCCCCCTCTCTCTGTCTAGGGAAAAGTGGAAGGAGTTCACCCTCCAAACTTGAGGGCTTGCCTGCCTCTGAGAAGGGGAATCCACAGTGCAGATAGCACATACCTATTAAGCTCCATGACTGCGCCTTCGCCTGATCTCCACCACTCCACCCGAGTTATCTTCATGACTGCTCCCCCTGCACCCTACATAGTTCCATGTTTCAGACACTGTGATATATCACTAAATCACAATGTTTAGCTGGTGATATACTGCAATGTTGAAAACCAGATATTGCCTAGCCCTACTACTGGGATGACTCTTCATCTTAATTGGTGGAGGCAGAAGAAGCAGATTGCCAAGCTGTCCAAGGAGGAGGAGGAAGGTGGCCAGTAGCAGCACCAGCCGGCCTGGAGATTGCAGGCAAAGGAGAAGGACGGCTGTTGGGTTTCTGTGACAACTTGTTCTGGCTGTCCCTCTGCAACTCAACTGGGCATCCAACACCTATCTTCACACTGTAGTCAGCAGTGCCACTTGTCTGTGGCCAAGTGAATTGCAGTGCAACAACATTATGACATTTTCATTATATATACAGATACATTTGCTCCTTCCACAGTAAACAAATCTGATGGGGGGAAACAGGCTAAGATACCCTTACCTGAGCACCCACAAGCTGCAGCAAGGCTGAGTTCACAGGAAGGTGCTCGATGTCTGTATTGATAGTGGTCTGGTCGAAGGGGCATGCCTTCCGGTGGAGCTTGTTCAGGCACATCTTGCATACTGTGTGGCCACAGCCCAGGCTGATAGGCTTCCGGATTGTTTCGTCGAATGTTTGTGTGCAAATAGGGCAGGAAAGAAAATCCGTCCATTGTGGAGCTTGTACAGGCATTTCTTCAGGCGTTACTTCACAAGACAAAATCTAAAGCACAGATTCCACTGGAATCAACTTTTTTTTGAAAAAAAATGTTTTTAAATATTTTCTGTAAGTACAGACAGTCAGCACATAGTGTGAAATATGACCTGAAATGTAAGAAAAGAAAGAAAGAAAAAAGAAGTTAGTGTCTATAGATTCAATGCTTTTCACAGACTTCTTGGGAGTAGCATGTTCCATTTTATTCCCAGGACTGGTGAAACAATTTACCCCCAGCCTTGGAATCAGTGGCCCAATTCACATGTCATATTTAAACAAGCTATGGCTTAATGTGCTAACAGGTGCTGCTAAATGTTCCCAGAGTACTGCACCATTGACAAAACAAGCCAGAGTCCACCTTGTCATATTATCTGAACCGAAGCTTGTGGTTTGTTTCCCAAGCAAACCATAAGTGCTAAGCCGAAAATGAACGTGGTTGAGGTGATATGACAAACCAGACTCCAGTATGTTTTGTCTTCAGCACACCCAAAGGAGGTGTGGTGAAGTGTCATGGAAGCTTTGAGCAGCATGCACACTGACACTGCTCATTCACATTAAACCACTTTGTTTTAAACTATGGTATAATGGGACATGTGAACTGGGCCAGTGTTTTACTGTATCAAGCAGAATACAGTGGTACCTCTGGTTATGTACTTAATTCGTTCCAGAGGTCCGTTCTTAACCTGAAACTGTTCTTAACCTGAAGCGCCACTTTAGCTAATGGGGCCTCCTGCTGCGGACGCACCGCCGGAGCACAATTTCTGTTCTCATCCTGAAGCAAAGTTCTTAACCCGAGGTAATATTTCTGGGTTAGCGGAGTCTGTAACCTGAAGCGTATGTAACCTGAAGTGTCTGTAACCCGAGGTACCACTGTACTGCAAATTGGAGGTCAGAGTACCCAGTATCTTTCAGAAGAAAAGATCCCTAGAGTTTTTGGCAGCAGTGAGGCAGGAGGGGAATTGCCTATGTGAAAGATTTTGATGAAAGAAAGCTAAACTTTTCACTCGGCCACAAAAAACATTTTAATACAGCCTCAATCTAAGGATCCTTATTCTTTTGTTTTGTCCCCTTATTTGTTATTTCTGTGCTGGAAAGGGTCCTATTGCAAGAAGGAAAGCATGCCTTTTTCCAAAACTTGTTATTCCATGTCCGTCTACCAGTTACCAGAGCACACTGCCCTGTGCCATCACTGCAGCACGTGACATGCGTTAGGCACAGGCATACTGTGCCAAGTAGATGTGTTTATTCTTATTTCCATAGCCATGACCTATTATGGGATAAACTCTGTCCACCTGGATTAAATTGGGCAATATGGGCAGGATTGGCAGGATTACAACTAGAATGACATGGTGCAGCCAGGGTCAGCATTTCCCACCTTCCATGATTTTGCAATTTCATCTGGCTATGCAAAAGCATCTAGGATATTTTCTCACAGGACTACAGAACACATACCAACATGGTGGTGTATCAACTGCCTGAGTAGAGCAGGAAACACCGGCCAACCCACAATGTTACTAGATCACAAATATTTTTTCAAAGCCTATCCCTTCAGGTACATCTGGCTTAAAATGCCAAACATTTTACAAAGCTTTCCTGTTCTGGTTGTCTGGAAAGAATTTTTACTCAACACAGATAACCATGCGAATGCACAACTAATATAAATAATTCCCCCCCCCAAAAAAAACCAAGTAGGAACACCTTTTGATTATCTGCAAGACCAACCACAGAATCCTAGAGTTGGAAGGGGCCTAAGGGGCATCTAATCCAACTCCCTTTAATGCCGGAATCTCAGCTACAGCATCCATTACAGATGGTCATCCAACCTCTGTTTAAAAACTTCCAAGGAATGAGTCCACCACCAGTATCAATAATTTGAAACTATGTGCTGAGGTAGCACTAGATTCTGTTAAGTTATACAACACTGCATATATTTGTTTGTTTTGCACCATTTTATATATTTTGTTCCTTCTGGTCAGAGAGGGGCAAAGAAGCACCAACCTCTGACTGCTTCTAAGCCCATCCCAGGCTTTGTTCATTTCACCAAATGTTGCTCACACACCTTTAACAGCCAAGCTGCCGAGGAACTTGGTGGTGGTACCAAGTTCCCAGGCAGCTTGGCTGTGATGATGGTGAAGGTGGGAGGATGACGGCAATGGCTGTGATACTCAAAATATGGCATTTCTCAAGATATGGCACTTTTACTCAGTCCCCAATTCCAAGCTTTGGCTGTGCTTACAGAGCAACTTAAGTGTTCACGCAGCGCTAATTATTAGTTAATGTTACGCAGCCAATACATTTTGTACAACAGCATTTTTTTATTTACTTACTATACTTACTTACTATAAGTAATTTCGTTGTCCCCGAGAGGCGGCAATGACAATAAAGATATTATTATTATTATTATTATTATTATTATTATACAATTACTAAATGTTCAAAAATGTATACTCTCTTAGAGAGACCCCCCTGAAGACTATGCACCTTTTAACATGGCTGCCCACAGAGGCATTCATATCTTCAGATGTGATTATACTTGTTTTCAAAACCTAACAGCAACTGGACCTTGATAAACTAGTTGGAATGAACAGTATTAAGGTCTCGCAATAAAGTAACTGTTTTCTCATGATGTATTTGTGCACCTCATAAAAGAAAAGAATCACAGACTACTTTTCACACACTGCTTTCAGAGAAAGCAGACAGAATAGATAGATAGATAGATAGATAGATAGATAGATAGATAGATAGATAGGATAACTAAATAAATATAGATATATAATCATTTGAGACACAGTAGCTACATTCGTACGTCATGCTTAAGTTAAATCTTTGTTTAAACAAAGCTGCTTTAAACCTATGGTTTAAAGTTGGCTTATTTCGAAACTGACCATGGTTAACATTAAATCACAATCCCCAGTTCTGACAAAAATACCAGCTAAGTTTAAGGGAAACAGAAATCAAGTTTCTGAACTCCTCCAGGCAACATGGGAGGGGAAAGGGGAGAAGAAGTGTCTGTGGCTCACTGCGGCTTGTGCTCACTGCACTAAACCATGATTTAGCCAACATGGTGCCCTCTAGTTGTTGCCATTGATCATGTTGTCTGGGGCTGGCAACACCTGCAGGAAACCATATTGGCCACCCCTTGTTTAGCATAAAATGCAAATACAACTATAGATACAATCCCATAAACTTAGTCAGTTTTATTATACACACGACAGGAGGAAAATAGAGACTTGTATATGGTCAACCAAATGAGTATGTAGTCAATGTGAGTGATCCTGAAGTCAGGGACTACCTGACTTATAGTCCATACTCTTAGCTGCTATACTATACCAGTACCTTGAAATGCTTTGCTGAAATACCGTAGTGTGGAGACAGTAAGCTACATGTTCCATGCTCAGAAAGTTCATGGCTCAGAAGGTTGCTAGTTTCTTGTGCTTCACAGGAAGTAACCATAAAATCAAGAGGTAATGTGTGTGTTTCTCAAGACACTTTCATAAGCTTCCTGGCAAAGTTGAACTATGCAATGAATCATTTAGTGAGAGGAGCAGTTTTTGTTGTGTTTTTTTAAAGACACCTATTTTTGCGCACAAAAATCATACAGTTCTTTTGATTTATGACGACAGGCTCTTATATTTCCACCAGCCAATATCTGCAAGTGCACAGCCTTAAGGACACCTCAAGTAAATAATCCTCCAACTAGATCCCAGGGCTCAGTTTAAACTAGACAGATCAAAACAAATGCATCTGTCATGTGTGCATATTCATTAATTATGTGTAAAATACAGGGAACGCATTGGTCATGGTTTTCAGCATCCTGATTCACCATCCACCTTCTATAAGAAGACACAATTACCACTCTTGCTGCTGATAAGAGACAAAGTTTGGAAAATCTCTGAAACTTGCATGGAACTTCAGTGGTCAGGATGCAAGCTGTTACTGCCTACATGATTAGCAGAGCAGGAATAAAAATAATAATCATTATTAATTACCCATCCTTCACCAGCAGGTCCCAGGGTGGGTTACAACAATTAAAACACAATGTTAAAAGCAGCTTTAAAAAAAATTTACAATTTTAGGTGGGTCTTAAAAATATACAACTCAGGTGTCAAAAGCCAGAGTAAAGAGGTGCGTTCACCAAAAGCTAAATACTGAATGTGCCCAATACACCTCTGTGGGGAGCGAGTTCCACAACTTAGGGGCTGTCAGCGAGAACGCCCTCTCCCGACACACTACTACCCCGAGCTTCTGTGAGCAATGGAACAACCAAGAGGGCCCCACTGTTGATCTTAACTGATTCTGTAGGGAAGGAGGCGGTCTTTCAGGTATTTGGGGCTTGAGTCATATAGGGCTTGAATTGGGCCACAAAAAAAACCAGCAACTTGTGCAGGTTATAGAATGGCAGAAGAAGACTGAACCATGCAGGACACCACAGGACAACTCCCATGGGACTGAAAAGCCGCCTTCCCTAACTGCTTTCTGGAAATGGCCCTGGAATAGGAGCAGAACCACTAAAGCACAGTGCCCCAACCCCCACTGAGGCGCTCCAGAAGTTTAAAAATCATGCAAAAACAGCCATATAAATGCAGTAGATTATCAAAAATTATACAGGTTGCAGAATTATACTTTTTTCTGGTACACGTAGGGTACCATAAAGGTTTTATTTTTTTAAAGCACAAAATACACCACTGGCATTTCCCCATTAACAAATGTAGTTAACACTTTCACAGAAACAACCACAAGCCAATTTACTGCAGGTCTGCAATTTTTTGTTTGACTGACATTTATTTCAAAATATATCAAAACCCGCTCTGTTTTATAATAACAAATAAAAATTTGTCTCCTGCACTTCAAAATCCTCATTCTAACAGCCCTGCAAAGCATTCACAATTCAAACAGCTCTCAAAGTTAAAATCACAACTACGGTACACCTTTACAAAAAGAATGACTCAGTTGCAACATACATGAAACGTTCCGAGTTTCTGTTACACAGAATTTCCACAGCTATACAGAACAGCGAAACAAAGACTCTCTTCTGATCAAGTAAAATATGCCACATGATAGTGGTAGAGAAGTTTGAGCATTGAAAAACTGGACCTTACTTTTGCTTCTG